TATTATTATTATTCTTTTTTTCTACTTTCTTCTCCGGTACTTTTTTGTCCGGGAGTGTTCTCATAGAACCACTCATCCGATTGACATGAAACCTTTTTAGGGTTAATAGGCATGTTGTGTAGGTGTGTGGAACAAAGGTCATTTTGCGCGCACATGCATGCACGTGCGCGCGCGTGCAATGAGTGAAATGACTGATATACTTGATGAAGCCGTAACTTTTATATTTCTTGATCAATTGCTTTGAAACTCAAAATATAAAGATATATTAGTAGTCTAGATAAGACAACATGGTCAAATTAGCGTGAACTCACGCGCATGCATGTGCGCTTTTCTCTGATTGGCTGATACAAAAATCTCAATAATTTCCTTGTTTTTTGACAAAATACTTTGAAATTTAGAATATAAGTATATATTATAAGGTGCTACAACATGTTATATAGGAAATTTCTTGAAAACACACGCATGCAGGTGTGCTGCAAACTGATTGGTTGAAACTTTAAATGTCTTTAACTCCCTTGGTTTTTAACAAAACAGGATGAAATTTAAGACATGGATAGGCACATAGAGCTCCTACATTATGATACTATCAAAATTGAATGCAAGGCCATGCATGCGCGTATGCTGAATTTTGATTGGCTAATACTTAAAGGGTTACATCTCTCTTATTTTTCAATTAAATTCTTTAATATTTAAAACAAATGTATGTATTGTGAAACACTATAAGATAATTAATGTAAAAAATGTAGCTATTAGATTGGCTCATACCCATATGGCTATATCGGAGTAGTTTTCCAATGAAATACCCTTAAAAATAAAGTGTCCATCTATATTACAAAAGTATTGTCTAATTTATTGAAGCTTGTAGGGAATGGGGCATCACAAGGGATTGGGGAGCCGTTTGGGGAACATCTGTAACGGTTCCCGTTACAATTAGCACTAGTTATTAATATCATACACATCTGACTAAACGCCTTTTGCATAACACATATGAGACAGATGTAATATTTGTGACCCAAATATCTGGTTAAATATCTTCGTGGATTTCACTCATTGAATATTTTTTCATGAAAGTGATGAAGTAAAATAAAGTGAATGCCTATAAAAAAAAACAGTGTAAAATATTGATAGTGATACATAAAACATGGGATAAAAAGAATCCCCCATGATTTGTAGCTGGATATGATTTTTATCCAACTCGTTGTGTGTTTTTATCCCCTCGCCAAGGCTTGAGAATAAAAAAAACACACAACTCATTGCATAAAAATCGTATCCAACTACAAATCATGGGAGATCATATATTTCTTTACTTTTGAAACATTCACCACGATGACCTTGGATGGTATAGCTCATGACCAGGCTCCGGGGCCATAAAACTTAGATGATCTCACTTTTGATCTCAGTCTCACTTTTCCCTTATACATTCCTTTAGTAAAAGTGAGATTGAGATCAAAAGTGAGCTCATCTAAGTTTTATGGCCCCGGAGCCTGGGGTGTGAAATGACATTGAACTAAGGTCATCGGAACGGTATTTATCAGAGTGTGTGCTACAACTCTCAGTATAGGTCATTTGGACAATGCCCCTTGAATTTGCTGGCACGTATGTCTTTCACAAGACCCCCCCCCCCAAAAAAAAAAAAAAAAAACCCTACCCATATTAAAAACACTTTGCTTTAAGGCATGACTAATCATTTATATACTTTACCTCGGAGTCGTATGAGAGATCGTCGAAGTCACATTTGTATTGTATAGCCCCTCTCTTGATAAGACTGACTTTGTTTGTCTTGAAGTCAATCTACAAGAAATCAATTTTTAATATACATGTACATAAATAACTAAAAGTATGTAAACACTTTCTTCCTTGTGTCTTTCTCTGTTTTAAATTCAAGGTTATGTATTTTAATGTGCTATTTTTACTAAGAATTTATTTTGGCGGTTTTGGAAAGTAGACCTGGCTCCGGGGCCATAAAACTTAGATGAGCTCACTTTTGATCTCAATCTCACTTTTACTAAAGGAATGTATAAGGGAAAAGTGAGGCTGAGATCAAAAGTGAGATCATCTAAGTTTTATGGCCCCGGAGCCTGAACTAGGAAAATAACCCCGACTAATATTTCATATGCATTCAGCTTTACATTATAATAATTATATAGTATTAATTATAAAATAATATAATACATGCATGCTATTATGTATCGTAGATAATAAAAATCTTTTATCCGCATCAACAGCGTTCAATTAAAAACAAAGAAATCATACTTTGATAGTCTTTGACCTACACGTTGTACATATAAAAGTGTTTGTGTTTCGTTGAATTTTTTGACTATTTAGACACAATCTTACTACTTCGCTCAAGGAAAATGCATCGTATAAAATAATAATAACCGTAATGATAAGAAATTATTTTCTTAATAAGTCATGAATAGAATCAAGTCTAAGATGGCATAGACTGGAATTATTAAATGAACATAGAATTGAACATTCATGAGATCTTACGGGATGGTGTATATATCTGGCCCGTAGCAGCTGTTTTCAAAGGGGGAGGGGGGGGGGCTCCGAAAAAAGAAGTAAACTGGTAAACTGACAAAACTCTAAAATCCTTCTTCATGTAGGAGTGTAGGAGGAGAGGGGGGCTTTCTCCATCTTTTCGGTACATTTTTTTCTTTAAATGCTGGAACATACAGCAGCAAAAAGTGGGGTGGGGTGTGGGGGAGCATTCAAATCAAAATTTACATATTAAAACCATAGCAAAAGACTATTCTCAGGAAAAGGGAACCCCCATCCACCCTCGTATACTACGAGCCTGTATATAATTAAAAAAAAACAATGAAAAAATTCATGACTTATCTGATCAAGGTACAATTAAACATACTTATGTATTATGCAATTTTTAAGATACTTGATCTGAAATGATTTAGCCAATAACCTTTTCAAATTAATGACACATCTTGCAATGGTTGTATTTGCATTACTCAAACGTATCGACAATTACTAGTATTTGTAAATGCCAATTTCCATGGAGTAAAATTCATTTTCCTTTTACACCAGACAATGATATTCAGGACACATTTGTGACACTTTTTTTTCTATCAGATCATGATATACAAGTATTACAGTAAATCCAAAGCTTTACTAAAAACAAGGAAGTTACTACAGCTTCTAATATTCTACTTCGGTCCCTAGATTTTAATCATTCCACTGATTATTTAGCAAAAACACAAACACGAGCACCTGTTACAATTCAGGAAAAAGGCACATTTCCTCCCTATCTTATTGTATCCAAAAGACCTACTAATTAATTTTAGGCATGCTTCAAATATAAGGTCAGTACTGAAATACATGTTATTGAAATCAAAATTTACTGTCACTTAATTTCTTTAAAGATCATGCATTTACATGGTCAGTGCAGTTATGAAAAATCCCGTTTTGTTTTTATTGTGTCAAAAGGTGAAAATAAGCATATCATCTCAATATACCTTCTGAGGTGTACGTGTTTTTTACTTTAAAAATAACTTAGTAAATTACAATATATTAATTTTTCAAACATTTTATCAAATTTGCTACACAAGGAAGCAAACTCACCTGTAATATCACCTTCTTTCCGGAATTTTTAAAGACACCAAAATTGTGGACAGTTCCAACGACATGATAGTCAAAGGACTCCATCTGAAAAGACTGCTATAGGTAGAATGCTGAATGTACATTATACTTATACCTGTACCCTCAAGTTCACCAAGCCATAACAACAATTAGTCAGTCGAACTGACACATATAAATATGATACTACCTATATCTATCGTGTTAAAGTTTATCGCATTCTGTTACACTGATTATTTACATAGTTAATGACTTCTAGTATATACAAATAATACTTTCTAATGCAGGCATTCCCATGAAAGTCCCTTTTGGTTTAAAAAGTACATAACATCTACTTACCATTCAATGGAGGCACATGTACAACAAGATAAATGGATCCTTAGAAACTTGCTTGGGTACTTTTTAGACATACACACAAGAAATGGTAAATACCTTCCATTTGCTAGTAGGACTAGTTGCTTTACATATCCATTCATTCTACAGGAAATGTTTTTGTGAAATATTTTTATTAAAATTTCCTTGTCTTATTGCATTAGTACACAACGACCGGGAAGTTTGTATCAATCATATTAAAATCATGCTTTGAAATAGACACCAGTTTTACTTTGTTATCCGATCGTTTAAGATTATGAAGGGAGACAACCATCTGCTCATCAAACTGGGATTTTTCTGTAATTTTGACTATTTTGAAACAGAAAATAGAGATTAAGATGGAATTCATACAAACTGAAAACTAGCTGCAGGTCTGTAGCTCACGGGTCTTAAAAATTGGAATGAACGAGCATTTTTAAACCGAGACAGGCTTCTGACAAATAATTTGATGTTACAGGGATTTCAACAACCTCGTTTTTATTAAGTCAGCATTTCGAAAATTCTATGGTGGTTATAAATAACCTTGTTTGCAAAAATAATCTATTGTTGGATCGTATTTTTACTAACATGTTTCGTACCAATTGAGGCCATTTTTTTTATTCTAAATTTGACAACAGATTATTTCCGTCTATCTGATAAATACATGGGGCTTACGGCAGATGTGAACGGTCAACAGGGGATGCTTACTGCTTACTCCTCATAGCCATCTAATTCCTCTTCTAAAATTTCCAGGGGTCTTTGTTTAATGTCATGTTCACAAATGTATCGTAATCTTCACCTTTTTCATTTAGACAAGGGAACTACAAACCAGCAATAAAATTAGAGTACATACAGGCCAAAGACTGATCAGTGTCGTAGATAGTTTTATGAAGTCATTGTTGTGCTTTATCGTTCTGGGTTCTTGTCCCAACATGCTCTGTTCAAAATTCTCAGTCCAAGAGAAATAATGACTTGAAGCAGTATTTTCTAGAGTTTCATTTAATTATTTGTCTATAATTATAATAAATGTCTTGCTAGTGTATATGTTAGCTTATCATTTTTTTCTATGCCATCAAATCTACAGATGGTACATAAAGAGTAACGGGGATATTTATATAGAATTCTAAACCAGTAAAACCTCCTTATTGGAGACATATGGATTTAGATGTTCTGGATTGGATATGACACTTTATAAATCATTGCAATGTGACATAAGAAAAAGAACCAGGAAGCGATGGGACGAATTAGCTATTGTTTTGATTCTAATACTTTGAATTCAAATTCTTCCTGATATATTTTTAGATTTCGCGATAGATAATGTGGCCAAATATAATCTCAATACATGTATGTATATAAATTGATTTGCACTCAAAGTCAGAAGAAATGCATTTACATGAACACGAAATAAATTTTATACTTTGTGATAAGTCGTCTAGTAAAGTGGTACGACTGTACACTCTTCTGGGAGTTTTATTCACGGAATCTCCATAAAATCTCTTTAAATGGTAGAATTTGGTCAGGTTAAAATCTATTTTGTCATTGGAGTACCTGAGAGCAAGACTGACTCCCTCGCCAAAATACATTCTGTATCGCAGTTAAACGACACCCGTGAAATTTTTTTTATAACTTACATCTCAAAACACAAAATAGATAAATAAATTCTTTCTGAAGTCAATATGATTTTTTGAAGAAATGGTTTTATACAATGACATATTTTGGCCATATTCTGCAAAAATTGGACTGAGATATCCGACATATGTTATGGCTCCAGCAGACAAGCCTTGTAACAATTAATATCGTCTTTGTTTGTAAGGCTCTTTGTTAAACTGTATTTTAGAAGAACTTGGTTTTAATTCTACGTTTAAAAATCCAGCTTATACTCACAGTTCACTTTCTAGGGATGAAATTCTTCAAATTCACATTTCAGTCTTAAGGACAGACGATACGTTCCTCAATAATATATAATTTTTTCTAAGATTTTGTCACTGAAGTATTGCTACTTTAAATGTTCACTTGCAAAAAATTGAGGTACCTTACCAGACATTTGTGCAAGATACCAGAGGATGTTGTTTCCTATAAAATCCTTTTGGAAAAAAACTTAATTAGCCAATAACACAATTTTTAGTGTTTCAATTTTTAAAGACAATTAGAAACCAGTTTAGAAATCAGAATGTAACGAAAATTTTGAATATTTTCCACACAATACGAAGATATGCAAAACAGATATTTGAGGAACGTATCGTCTGACCTTAAATCTTTCCAACATTCTAGTCAACAGTGATGAATTTGATTTACTCTTCCTAAACTTCATTAAGTTCTTACAAACATAGATACTTTGCTGGGTCCAGCAAATGCTCTGTCAACCCCTTATCTTTAGTCCTCACAAGAAATATTAAGTGCTGCAGTAAAGAGAAACTTCAGACATCATGTGCTACAGCATATTCTGAAAATTTAAAATCACCAATTTTTTTTTTCAAAAGTCAGTAACATCAAAACGTATGATTTTTCTACACTTCATACAACTATTCCTCACTATAAATTAAAAACTAATAAATTAAAAATTGATATCATAGACACCTGCTTTTTCAATAAAAATGTAACTCGGAAATTTTCAGATCTTGTGATTGGTCTTCAACTAAATTACTTTGTCTAAAATCACTCTGATTCTTACACACAAGTTCTCTGAAGTTGCTATAAAAAGGATGCTGGAGTTCCTCATTGAAAACATCTATATAGTCTTCAGAGTCCAGATCCTCCAACAAGCTGTTGGAATTCCCATGGACGATAATTGTGCTCCTTTATTAGCCAACGTTTTTATATTCCTATGAAGCAAAATTTATTCAAAACCTTCTACATGAGAAGACGATAACACTTGCTAGGGCCTTCATCTAGACATTCAGATATATCGACGACGTTTTATCAATTAACAATAGTTACTTCCATTCATATGTCGACTCGATATATCCCAGTGAACTCGAAATAAAAAAAAATAACACGGAGTCTACCACATCTGTTTCATATTTGGAAGTTTTACTGACTAAAGAGGATAAGAGCCAACGAACAACTAAAGTGTATGACAAACGAGATGACTTCAGCTTTCTAATCATCAACTTTCCTTATTTATGTAGTAATATTCCGCAGTCACCTAACTGCGTATGGTGTTTATGTCCCCCAACGTATTCGATACTTAAGAGCATGCTCTGTGTATGATCAACTTTGAAACCGTGTCAGATTACTAACAGATAAGTTGATGTTTCAGGAATTTCAAAAATCTCGTTTAAAGTCAGCTCTTCGTAGATTTTATGGTCATTATAATGACCTTGTTAGCAAATATAACATATAACGTATTTTGACTGGCATATTTCATCCCAATTGTTAGGCCTTTGTTTTTATATTGAATTTGACTACGGAATATTCCGTCCATCTGATCAATACATAGGGCTCACGGCGAGTATGACAGGTCGACAGGGGATGCTTACTCCTCCTAGGAACTTGTTCCCTCCCCTGTAATATTGGGGTCCGTATTTTATACATTGTTCACAAATCTGTATTGTTTGTAGGTTGTTTGCTGCTTTTTTTAAATACCAATCACTGTTTGTTATTTTCGCCTTTTTTATTTCATAAAACTCACGGTATAAAATAGGTAGAGAAAAATATGGAAATCTGAATGGGGTATAAATGTTGCTCCACTAGTGTGGATATACTGTGTAAGAGCAATTGTGAATTTCAAATTCATTCTGTACAAAAGGATCTCTAAAGTAAATATATTATATTAGATATTACTGCAAATTATATCAAATTTACTTTAGTCAGCTTGTTCGGCCCAAATAAAGATGGTCTAGAAATTTTCCAGAATATACATGTATACACTGAAGTTTTTAAGTTAGAAAATAAACTTAAACATGCACAGGTGCTCGTGGACAGGAACACCCCCCCCCCCCGAATAAATATGCTGGGTCCAAGGATATTTTTACAATGTATTCCATATGAAAAATCCAAAAAATAACGTAGAATTAACGTTTTATTATAAAATCATACCCGCGGTATTACAAAATAGACCTTCTCTATTTTATAATACCGCGAGTATGATTTTTTTTTTAATAAAACGTTAATTCTACGTTATTTTTTGGATTTTTCATATGGAATGCATTGTAAATGTGTACTAGTAGATTAATTTATGGAAAAAGACGAATAAAAATATCTCTGGACGCAGGGTGTAATATTCGGGGGGGGGGGGGGCTAGTGTCCACAAGCACCTGTGCTTTGAAACAGATTATTGCACACATGCATTCAGATTCGACGCGGATATATCATTAATTATTTGAAGAGATCTTTAATTGAATTGCTGCACGCATAAAATGAATTGATAATGAAAGATATCTGTATTTATTTATTTGATTAAATGTTAATTTGGTGCTCCTTAGCTTCGGATGTTGCATTCATCTTTCGGGTTAGTGACCAGGTTCTTTTTTAATCATGTCTTCGAAACTAAAATTGCATGGATAACACCACTAATGATTATTATTATGTACCGTAATCCTGCATGCTTCTAACCAAAAATAAAACTTGTACATTTATACAAGAGGCCGAGGGGTCTTAACGGTCACCTGAGTATATTTGGCACTGTCAAGAATTCATAGAAGTATGAAATAGACCAAAAAAACTGAAAGATGAAGCTATGTTGCCCAAAAGCAAGAGAAATACGATGATCAGGGATTAACATATTTAGTTCAGTATTCTGTAAAAAAAAAATCTTGAACTAGATCTATTTACTTGCCTCCATTTGCCACTTTCACCATGCAGACTAAACAAAACAATAGTCCTTTAGCATCTTATACCCTTTCAAAATGGCCTATCTGGGTGTTTAAAGAAATTTAAAGTACAAAGGAAAGGTGTTTTGTCTCTTTCTTCATTTATCTATTATTTCCTAGTCTACCTGGTCATAACATGATAAGTTATCACTAAGAAGATGGGTGAACATGACGAGCGAAAAGCCTATAGTGTGACAAACATGAAGGTGAAAAATTAAATTTTAATTATATCAAAAATTTCCTTGATATTTCATCTAACATTAATATATACGTTATGTAAAATCTCTACAATTTGCAAAAATCTCACAAAGATTGAAAAAATTTGCTTATGAAATATTATACACACACTACAGAGGACAAAAAGAGTCATTTTCTCACACTATAACACTGTTTTTCGATATGAGTGGGTCTTCGCTCCCTTTTTTTAAAAGTTAGTCCTCAAAGTTTACATAAAAATATACATTTTTTGGTTTCGAAAAATATGGAGCAAAGACCCACTATACCTTGAAAATATACTTTTATGATACAACATTCGCATCTTTTCGAGAAATACTTAAGTCCATCAAGTTGTAGTAGTTGGGACATTCAGCCACTACTAATGAAAAGGTTTTGTACTTCGCGTTGTTTTTTTTTTTAAAGTTGTTTGTTTTAATAATATTTAAACCTTTTTATTAACCCTTTTTATTTCCAGGTAAGTTTGAGTCCGCCTAGAGTGAGCAGGTTCGTAGGAAGCAATTTCAGCTGGGGGGGGGGGGGGGGCACAGCCAGGATTGGCTCAGCAGAAGCCCAGAGCACGGTTGTGCTCGGGTTTAAATACCGTTCTTAACAAAAGAATGAAAGTAAAAGTTAGCCGTATAGTGATTTGATAATAAATTTAGAAGTAACCAATGTTTATCATAATTTCATAAATTTCAGTTATGAGAACTTTACTCTAAATACTAAATTCACATATTAAAATGATTTTTATATATCTGAAGCTATATATAGGCTTTCTGCACACTATGTTCACCCATCTCCTTTTCCCCTCCCCCCAGGAAAGGGGGCCTGGTTTATTCACACTTGAATCTACACTAACTAAGGAAGCTTCCATATTTCTTTAATCATGGTTTTAGATTTTTTCTATATGTTTGATCTTCTATTGTGGCCCCGCCATATCCCCAGGGGACATGATTTGAACAAATTTGAATATACTTTACCTGAGGATGCTTATGGATTTGCTCTTCTTGTGAAGAAGATTTTAATGATTTATCCCATGTATTTTCATGTAAAAACTGATCACCAATTAAGGCCCCTCCCTACCCCTGGGGGTCATGATTTGAACAATCTTGAGTGTAAACTACCTGAGGATGCTTCCATAAAAACATTTTACTGTTTTTGAGAAGATTTTTAAAGATTTTACCAACATAAGAATCTGATCACCCATTGTGGCCCTTCCCAATTCCCAGGGGTCATGATTTGTACACTATCTGAGGATGCTTCCATAAAAGTATCACCAATCATGGCTTTGCTGTTCTTGAGGAGATTTTTAATTCTTATACTAGTATATTTCTATGTAAAGCTTTGTTTGCTCAGTGTGACCCCACCCTACCCCTGGAGGTCATAATTTGAACAAATGTGAATCTACATATCCTAAGATTGCTTCCATAAAAATATCACCAATCATCGCTTTACTCTTCTTGAGAAGATTTTTCCTTTATATTTCTATGTAAAATTTTGATCCCCATTGTGGTCCAACTCTACCCCAAGGGGTCATGATCTGAACAAATTTGAATCTACATTATGTCAGAAAGCTTTCACATAATTTTCATCTTTTCCATCCCAGTGTTTCTTGAGAAGATTTTTAAATACCCCCACTCAATTTTCACTATTTCTTACTTATCTCCCCTCGGAAGAGGGTGTGGCCCTTCATTTGAACAAACTTGAATCTCCTTTACCCAAGGATACTTTGTGCTAAGTTTGGTTTGAAATTGGCCCAGTGGTTCTTAAGAAGACATTGAAAATGTGAAAAGTTTACAACGACAATAACAGACAAATTTTGATCAGAAAAGCTCACTTGAGCCTTGGCTCAGGTGAGCTAAAAAAGAACAACCGGCTGTTGAGAACACAAGAAGGAGTGTCACGATTAACCTAAATGTAAGACAAAAAATATTGAGCAATTTCCAATCATACAGTGAGACAAAAAATACCTAGCAATTTCCATGTTTATTTTTCAACTTCACAATGACATTTGGAAAGGACACGTTCATAAAATTTAACATCAAGATTTAATTTACAAACAGGCAAAAAAAACAGGTGATAATATAACACCAAGTGCATATTAAATAGAGAAAATTAAAATAAATGAGTACCGATTGTAATATATAACAATGAAAAATTGTTTTAGAATAAATATCAACATCAAAACTATCTATGAACTCAAACTACTTAAATATTGCCGTGAACAATTTATAAGCAAGAAATATTTACATTTTATCTTCCTAAACAGAACATGACATGATGTACATAAAATGTCTCTGCACAAACAAACCAACATAACTGTATTACTAAATCAGTTTTGATTGTTATTTACTGCATAAGTGTTATGTTTAAATTAAAAATGTTTTTGAAATGGAATATTCAAATCTAAACAAACCAATATGAATATGAGAAATTTACGAGCTTTTCCTCAATCTCTGCAATTCCATGAGGGATATTTAATCAGTAATCTATTTTGTGATTTGATAGCTAAATATATTTATCAGTTAAAAGACTAGGAGCAAGGGACTTAACCCATATTGATAGCTTCTTGCAGGTTGAGTATGGACTGAACCACATCGTTCTCCTCTTCTGCCGATATAGTTGTCGTCACTTCGGACGGATTTTGCGGATCAGCCTCTGTTGGCATCTCTGCCACTTGAGTCACGACAGTGCCATCCTCAGTCACGTGCGTTACTACGTCTCCCTCTATGCCTTCCTGTTGATCCACCACAGATTCCTGGGCCACATTGATGACAACAAACTCCACCATCTGTTGGTCTCCACCTTCCCCACTCATGGCGTAACTAATGGTCTGGACCTGACTATTGCCGTCTTCAATTGATCCTATGTATTGTATCGTCTCTGCATTGTCTACGTTTTCTTCCACTACTGTCTCTGTAATTATCTCCTCGGGCGGAACTTTTCCATCGTCCTGATGTTGCTGGAGCATGGATCTCTGACTGGCAAATTTATTTGGATCGTGGTGCAGCTTGTAGTGCCGATTGAGGTGATACTGAGTGTAGAAAGACATATTACACTCGTCACACTTGTACTTCTTGAGTCCCAGATGTTGTGCTTTATGACGGTCATAATGCTGTTTTCGGGCCATGACCTTGTCGCAAATCTCGCACTTGAATATTTCAAGGCCGCAAGATTTTATCTGATCTTCTGTCATGTGGACTTCAATCATGTGTATTTTCAGTCCATCGGGTGTTCTATAAGCTGTATCGCAAAACTTGCAAGGATAATCAACTGTTTCTTTGTGTACATTGGCATGCTTCAGCATGATTGTCTTTGTTTTGAACTGTTGACCACAAATATCACACATGTAGATAGGTCTATTTGTGTCATGAGTCTGAAGATGTGTTTCCAAAGCATGCATATGTAGGAATCCCTTTCTACAAAAGTCACAGTAATATGGATAATTTCCTGTGTGTGAGTGAACATGCTCTCTTAGTTTAATCAATTTTTGAAATTTCTTTCCACAGGTGTCACACTGGTAACCATAATGTTCTGGCCTGTGGGCATCCAGATCCCGCAGTGAAGGAAACTTCTTTCTACAGACCCCACATGTTAAGGAGTCAGTTTCCTCATGGACAGTCTTAATATGCAATCTCAATTCTTCTTTTGTTGGAAATAACTTTGCACAGACTCTACAGACACTTTCAGTTTGCTTATGGACACATACACGATGTCTGTGTAGATATCTGGTACTGGTAAAGACCTTTCCACATATGTCACAGGAAAAGTGTTTGGATTTGTCATGAGCATCACGTTTGTGATTCCTCAGCCTATATCCCTCTGGAAATACTTTACCGCATTCATCACACTTGAACTCCATTATGCTATGCAGCTCCTTATGAGTAATGAGCTGGTCTTCGCTCTTAAACTTAAAGAGGCAGTAATTGCAGGTGAAAGGCTTTTCCTCTGACTCTTCAGATTCTATTGGCATAGGGTTATCTTCGGTGCACTCCTTCTTGTGAGTTTTGTACTGGATTGCTGTATTAAACTTCCTAGTGCATGTATCACAATCAAAGACTCCTAACATCTTGTGTTTCCCTCTCATATGATTCTTCATCTCCCATTCTGATACAAACTCCCTATCACATTGTGTGCACCGATGATAGTCAGTCTTTCCTGCATTCAGCAGCCTATGTTGTTCAATATGCCTCATAAAAGACCTTTTCCATTTTATTACAATGTTGCACTGCTTGCACCTAAAGCTCCCCTTTTCCTCACTAATGTCTGCTGCTTCATTAACATCCTGTGCTGTTATTTTGTAGCCAGTTTCATTTTCTTTTTTCCCTCCACGCTTTCTTCCTCGCTTTCCTTTAACTTTTTTGACTGGCTCAGTTTGTTCCATCTTTACTCCTCTCTCATCAATTTCTTCATCTTCATTTGGCTCTTCCATATCTTCTTCATCTTTTATCATTTTATTGTTCTCATCATCGTTTTCCTCATCTTCATCTTCTTTCTCCTCATGTTCTTTTTCTTCTCCTTCTTCATCATCTTTCTTTTCATCCTGGTGTTTAGCTGCTTGGTTATCTTTTTGTGGAGTTGATTTTGAATTCTTTGGGGGTCGTCCTCTGCCCCTTTTAGGAGTGACTACTTCAGCTGCAGGCTCTTCCACTGTTTTTGCCTTCTTGCTGGCAGGCATCAATGGCTTCTCCACTTCATCCCGATTCTTAGGCTTTCTACCTCTGGGGGACCTTGTAACAGCAGGTGATTCCTCTGCCTTCCTTTTCCTTGTCATTATAGATCCAGTTGTATCCTCATTTGTCTTTGAGCTTTCATCAGTTGTCTGAGGTTCCTCAACTGGCTCCTTTTTTACCTTCACTAAGTATTCTTCATATTTTTTACTCACTTTGATCTGACGCCGTGAACGAGTTCTTGGAGTTTCTACCTCCTCTTCAACCTTCTTGACTGCAAGTACATTAAAATCGGGATCGTCATCATCTCCTTGATCTTCAACATCTTCATCTTCCATGTTTTCATCTTCACTCTGTTCTTTACTCTCTGAATTTTTGCTTTCTGTGCCATATGATGTCTTAATTAGAGATTCCATTGCCTCTATATCTTCCAAATTTTTCTCCAAATCTTCTTCATCCATTGTACTGTCTAATCCATCATCTGGTTCCTCACTAACTTGACTAAATTTACTGTCTTGGCTATTTTCTTCCACATCACCAGCAATCTGTTCCTCTGCAGTCTTTCCTTCCTCTGTGATCTTTGGAACATCTGAGGTTTCTGTTGTATCCATTCTTTCCTCTGCATTTGTTTGATGACTTTCTTTCTCTGCTTTCTCTGCTAATTGATTTGATTCTTCCACTGGTTTCTCTACTTTGTCTTTCTCTCCTGACCCTTCAGAGGAAAACTGTGACTCAGGTTGACTCGCTGTGATACTCTGTATGGCCTCCTCCAGGGGATCCACATTTGATTTAGCTGCTTCACTCTGTAGCTGTAAATTCTGTGCCAGTGTGTCCTCTGCAGAAGCTTGAAGGACTGCAATTTGTTGTTCTCCTTTACCATCCACTAGTTCTATCACTATCTGTCCCCCCTCTACTGACACCGTCTCTGCTTGTTTGTGTGCAGCAGGTGATTTCTCCTGCATGACAACAGTGGTAGAAACATTTTCCTCATCTCTCTGCTCCTTTTTCTTTCCTTTACAGATACCTAAATGTGTCAACATTGATCTTTTCCATGAACAGGGGGTACCACAATTTCCACAGATTAGCAGGCATTTTCTATTATTTCTAAGGGACTTTACAAACTCTATATCTGAGGTTACTATTTTCTCGATTTTACTTCCACTTTCACTAAGTGTGCTCAGCTGATCTCCAAATGGAATATCTGTTGTGATTGGTTTGTTCATGATAACCTTTTCCATGTCTTCCAACATGGAAGAATTTCTATCCCTGCCATCAAAAATATCCATCTTCCTTGGTCTTCCAACAGCACGCTTTTTAAACAGTGATGCTAGTGAGGATTTCTTCATGCTGTGTTCAAAATCAGGGTCCTCTCTCATCTCATTGTCGATGGTGAAGGAGCTGGAGTCGTCTTGGTCAGATTCAGCTGCCTGTACAGTCTGGGGGATCTTCTCCAAATCCATTTCTCCTGTGTATTGAGCAGCCTTGGAGGGTGAGGCAGATACCCCCTGATGCTCAGATTCATCCAGTGGATAATTACCTGTGAATATATTTTAAGATTTCTTTTTTATATATCAAATATGTTTTATAGACTTTTAAATATGTTCAAACTCACTTACTCAGTTTTTTTAATTAGCAAAATGGGTACTTAGTATACATTTTAAACTGATTCCAAGTAGCCAATTTCTTAAAAACGTTATGAATTTGTATCAGTTGACTAAAATTTGTGTAATCCCAAAGTTTACAAGCATTAGAAAGTAAGAATTTATTATTATCATTTAAGACATTTTTTCTTGCCACATTTGACCTACTGTTGATGAAGTGATAGAAGTTCTCTATGATATCCATCCTCTTGGTTAGAAATTCTTTGCCAGGTTCTGATCCTAGGTAGAAACAACTTCTCTGTTTCAGATTGATTGACATAAACAATGACTCCTCCCCTAAAGTGGCCAACTCCACACACTGAAAAAACACAAGCGTTCACTGCATGAAAGCCTATCTGTATATAATAGTAATTTACACTTACACTTAAAAATCATTGATAAACATTAACTCACATTTGAGTAACTATATTAATCATGCTTTAATTCTTCACTAATTTTGTGACATTTTTTTTTTTTTTTAAATCTATACAATTTTTTAAAAGTTCTAAACACACAAATATGTTCATATTGAACAATGCTAAGTTCATTATGCTTTTGTTTTCTTGGTAATGTTAAAATGGTAATAATCAGACATTTGCACACTATTTTGTGATGGGCTTCTTAGCACACTTCTGCCCATCCTTCCTTGAATCTCATAAAAATATTATCTAAAAGAGAAATTCAGACTATGTCATCTAGTCATGCCATTGACAGGAATGTTTTGTTTTTTGAATAAGAATGCCACACAGAGATTCAAAATGAGAGCACCTGATGCCCACATCATAAACAAGGATGGCCTAATCAAGTAAGTCATGTGAAGAACACCAAAGAAAGTTGTTATATCTTAAAAGATAAGATATAGAATTTAACCTTGTAAGTACATTTTGATTTATTTGATAAGATATAGAATTTAACGTGGGTTGTAGTAATTCATTGCTACTTACAACTTCCTCTACTGTCTGTTTCAGAGCATCCACCCTGCTTGTGTCCATTCTGACTGCCATGTTTTCTTTTCTTTTTATTTTTATCTAAAATTAAAAAAAAAAAAATATGCATACATGTAATTAACCGAGGTACATAAGTATCACATCATATGAAATCTAGATTTAGTAATACTGTGCTTTTGTTAATTGTCCTATAACTTTTAAAGATGTATAGCTGAATGTTACTAAATAACAAGGTTAGCTTAGCTAGTAAAATATGTCTTCATTGGGCAAGTATATAATACATACTCGGCACACCTCGGCTGACTCGTACTTTATCTGATTGATGAAGGTGACGGAATCAGCTAAGGTTTGCCGAATGATATAATACAGTAAAAAGTACATGTACTTTGAGTTGGGGCAGTTTATGCTTGATAAATAAAGCAGAATACAAAAGCATAGACTGCTTCTACCCATGTATGAATTGGGTAAAAATGAAATTGATACCTTATAATAACACAATATCAATTCTAGCATTAAATGAAAAAAGTTTAAAATAACATTAAAATGAATAAAATTTGAAAACAACATAAGGATTGATATGTTTTTGATGCAGGTCTTATTGTGATGTAGGCAAAACAAGTTTTACGATATCAACTATATTTTTTCTTCATCCTAAAAAATGGCACCTTATTACCATGATTACCAAAGTTATTTGTATTTTTAAATCACTTCAAACCTTGAAGAAAAAATCTTCATTATGTCCATCTACTAAACTATTTGAATCTCCCAGTATTTTATTATATTTTATTGGTTTTAGCAATATGCTAACAAAAAAAAAATTCTATTTCACTTTCCATCAGTATGCTATTTGATAATATCATAATATTAGTTGAATCTGATTTGTCAAGAAATATTTGTTTAAAAAAAACACTATTGCCGGCTGAATGATGATGCCACACCCTCCAGCGTAGCAACAGTCAACGGTTGATATTCCAAAAAATAGTGACTGCGCAGAATTTATGCACAAGGTTCACTGTTATATGTATTAATCTGCATAAAACATTCCGTAAAATATGTTAATAATATTGCATGTAATCGAGTGTAACATTGAAAAATTTCACCCCTCGAGAACCACTGTCAACCTCAGATGCACCACGGTTTTCTTGGGGGTGAAATTTTCATTGTTATAATTTTAAAAATTGGTTCTTATATAAATCTATGCTAAAAAATTTTTTAATATTTCCATTGTTTTACTGAGCGGTCATAAAAAAATTGATGTTTGACCACAGAGTAAGATATTGGACCTGCCGATGAGATATTGGGACTGCTTACATCACACAGTGGGCGGGATCAGCTAAATATTCGTGATTTGACCGAGTTTTAATTAAGGTAAAGGTAATTAACATCATGGAAGCCAGCAAAAGATAAATGTATGTCAAAAAAAATGTATAACAAAACATTTATTGATCGTGTTCTTGGGCAAAATTTGTTTTGTCAACCCCTCGAACCAAACTGTTTGCCTTCAGCCTCAGCCAAACAGTTTGGTTCTTGGGTCCAACAACACGCATGTTGCCCTCGAATCCAATCAATAAATGTATAATAATGTTACACTCAACAACATGCAATATTTATATAGTATTTTCTGTGATATTATAAAATTATAGCTTCCAAGATAACCTACAATTTCATTATCTCTGTTCATCATGTTTATATGTAAAACATTAGGGCTTCGATGATGATCAAATATTGAGAAGGAAATAATTTTCTTCATTTGTTTTGTAGATACATACAAGGTTGTGCATTAACTTTTTTCCTGGTGTAAGGGAGATAATTCAAAATGCTCATCACCTCTGTATTACCTAAACTCAATATAATTTTTGTTTTATATTGCTGTATGTTTATGTGTTTTCTTGTCCTCTTGAGTGTTTACAAATTATGCTTGTATCTATGTAAGTATGTTATGCCCCCATTCGGACCATGATTGGCAAAAAAAAAATTCTATATAAAGACATGATCTACTAAAATCTGTTTTTCGTTATACTGTAAAAGGACACATTTCATGATGATGAATCTATACACAATTTGGACACATTTCATGATGATACACAATTTACTGAAAAATAACTTCCAATTTTTTAAAATTTCGCTGGATTTAGTAATGCCCCCTTGTTGATGATTGCTTTGCTATCAAAATAACAAATTTCCCGCCAGTAGAATAATTACACAGAATGACGTCATACTATTTTTTCCTATTTGTACGCATTGACACGATAAAACGAAGAAAGAATAATCAACATTGTAAAAAAAACCCAATTCTTTATTCTTATAACCAATGACTGATGTATTTCAATGGTAATTGCAGACTCAGAGCAGTATAAATAGGAAATTTATCAGCCGATGTTCCCTATTGCCAACATGGCGGTTTGTGGTGAAAACCGACGCTAGGCCGAGCCCGATCATTTTCTCGTAAGAAATCAAAATCAACAGGTATAAACGTTTCATTATTGGTATATTGACATTTTTGACATTATAACAAACATAAAAGCAGTTCAAAAATAGCACATAAACTTACTGAACTCGTCTAATCATTATGGAAAATCTGTCTCCTTGAAAAGAGGTGTTGGGCTCGAAATTCCACTTCCGCTTTTTTAGCGATTAAGAGGCAAATGGTAACGGACATTTTCTCCGGCAATATATAAAAGAACATACTTTGTTTGATCTTACTTGATCACTATATATAAAATTCCTTTTTTAAGTATAGCAATTACGTAAAAAAGGAATTTTATATATAGTGATCAAGTAAGATCAAACGAAATCCAGTCAAAGCGCCCCCTAACAAAACCGTCCCGGTCAAAGTGCCCCATGATTTTGGTAAAAGAGCCCCCTGATTTTGGTCAAAGCGCCCCCAAAGAATTTTACAGTCAAATGATGTTACAAAACTGACCCCAAATATTGGTCAAGGCGCCCCCTGATTTTGGTCAAAGTGCCCCCTGATTTTGGTCAAAGCGCCCCCAATATAATTTTATAGAAAAATTCCGTTTCGAAACCGTCACCAAGCAATGGTCAACCCCCCCCCCCCATTTTGGTCAAAGCGCCCCTTAGATATCTTTATAGAATGTTCGTTTGCAAAAAGCCCCCTTAATTTGGCCCCTTTACTAATTTATGGTAATTATTTATTTTGTTTGTTCAGCGTGACCCATGAAATATTTAATAAATTAATATAAAGTAAATAATCTTATAGAAAACATTTCCAAAGAAATGAGAATGTTCGCCGGTATCAATTAACTATCACCCCCCCCCCCCCTCCTTTAAAAAAAATGATATCGATACCGTTGCCCAGCTCTTGCCACGTGGAGGCCTTCTTAATAAGAGCCATAATTTTGAGTACAAATTGAATCATCAGTACTTGATCAAATAAATTCTCAATATTTAGCAATGGTTGTACTTTGACGAAAAATATGTGACATTCATTATACTTGAATTTTAATTACTACATTTTAACTAAATTCGTACCTGAACATAAGAAAATAAGAAAAACAATATGATACATAGTGATATTTGAATATACTATTGATAAATAAATAATGAAAAAAAATATTGATAAATAAATAATGAAAAAAGGTTTCGTATGAAAAAATCAAGCTTGTTATTTTTATATCAATTTCCTGTAAAATTATATTAGGGGGCGCTTTGACCAATACTTGGGGACGGCATTTTTACATCATTTTCCCGTAAAATCATATTAGGGGGCGCTTTGACCAAAATCAGGAGACAACTTGACCAATACTTGGGGACGGTAAATTATATTAGGGGGCGCTTTGACCAATACTTGGGGACGGTATTTTTACATCAGTTTCCTTGTACAAATTATAGTAGGGGGCGCTTTGACCAAAACCAAGGGGCTCTTTGACCAAAATTACGGGGCGCTTTGACCGGGACGGTTTTGTGATGGGGGCGCTTTGAGTGACTGGCTCCCCAATCAGACATAGTATGTTGGCGGCTCTATGATTTTTTTTTCCGGGCTCCACATTAACTCATTCTGATCTAACATATCAAAAATCTAAAAAAAAAAAAAAATAATAAATAAAAATAAAAATAAATAAATAAATAATAATCATAATTAAGAGGGGTTCTGTTTGAGGGGTGGTCATTTTTTCTTACCTTAACAGGAATTAAATAACTCTGAATACCCCGAGGGTGAGACCCCCCCCCCCTCCTCTCTAGATCTGTCAAGTACCCATAATGAAAAAAAGGCCTCCATACTAGCTTAACAATAATAATTTAAAAAACATTATGTACAGTAATGGCATTAGACTTTTGACAGTTTGTGTAATTTAATCTGAACCCGATATAAAAATTAAGAAAGTCATAATATCACGGACGTATACCTATATGTTTCTGATAATTTAATAACATATATATTTTATTGATTTTTAGCTGAGACATAAATAACATTTAATGGATGAAATCAAATAAAGTTTCTATATGTCTTTTCATCTGATATTGGAAAAAGAACTGAGGCCAACTTTTTTTATATTCTGTTTTACGGGAGCGCCGACCCTAATTTGGGCTAAAATGAAATAAAAATAAAAGTTCCCAATTCAAGTTTCATTTTTATTTCTCCCGCCGATAGTTTATTTATAGTTTCTGAAAAAATAAAAGAAATATAAATAACCTTTTTACAAGCCTTTCAAAATGCGATTTGTCATTGGCTGAGGTAAATAGATTTATCCAATCACAGTATTCGTTGCGTGAAGAGTCACTGCACAGCATAGCGCCAAAATGTCAGAATCGGAGGGTTTCACGTGTTTTTAAATAGTCAGTTTAAAAAAGTGACGTGTCAATGTTATATATTAGAAAAAGTATAATTTTTAATGAAAGATTGAATGAAATAGACGAATCAGTGATCTTGATCAAATTTCATGCGGAGGGCCACGTGGAAATCGAGGTTCTGTCAACCGTTTGTTTTGAAAGGTTCTGAGTACGTATTATCTTTGACAATTGCTTCAATACATTGAAATACGTCTTGAAGATTTTTTAAACTTAATTTTAAGAAAGAAATGTTTTCTTTTACAAGTAACGACAGAACACTAGAACTATGTAGAACTGGTAGAAAGTGGCGTGACTGAGGAAATTCGAGTCACAACTTTCACTCGTTTTATGACAAATATTGGAATTCAGAATTACCTACGAAAATATATCAGTATATATGCTTGATTGATACAAGACATTATCTCCTTTTTTGTCGCTTTATGGAATTTTGCGTGCTATGTAACAAATTAATGTACATTGATTGTTCAGCGTATTCATATCAGCTGATGTAGTGTATATGTATAGCTCTTGTTTAGTAAAACAACTTTTTTTTACCACTAGGGAAAAGTATTGTTGTAAATGATACGCCCTTACAAATATTATTTCAATTCAAGACCTGGTTTCTTTTTTCATTCAACAGTTGTGGATTAGAAGCATTTTTCAACAATTAAATTTTTAAATTCTGCAGTAAACAGAATATTGTCATGTGTATTTTACATGTGTATACTATGGGAAAGATGTGTATTTTCTACAATTATATTGAAAGTTAGCATGCTCAGAAAGAAAATATAAGGATAAAAAGATATATATACTACAGATTGAGGAAGTTTGAATATGTTTTCAATAGAGATATTGTGGTACGTTTTTTTCCACCTACGTATATATTAATTGGAAGTGCGTTGAAAAAAAAATATTATACAACTTTTCTTTTTTTCATGTCTCATGTGCACTTCTGTGAATTAATTTATTTTAGCTGATCCATTGAATGTCTCACTGTATTTTCTCCATAACTTTGCCAGAACTAGTCCAAAATCCTCAGATCTTGTAATTTGCTGAATACCGAAAAATAAAAGATTCTGAAAAGTTTATGAGGGGTGTGACAGAAGTCCTATAGGTTTCCTGTGGTGACAATATGATATTTGACAACTGAGAGAAGACTATAGTTTGTATGTTTGATTTGCATTAATGTTAGAAACTGCAAGTTTTATACTAGAAATGCACCCCTGCCCCAAATATCTAGGAGAAAGTTAAATTTAAAATAGTTCATTGATCCATTAACAGTACCAATTCTGTGTTTTATGTACATAAGTTTTTCAAATAGCACTGTTTTTCTAACAAATTAAGGTCATACAAATAAAATTCCAACCTTAATTAAAAATAAAAAATTTTATTGCATTTTTTCATTTTATTTTTATTTTTCTGACCGACTGCTTAAATTTCGAGCTTTTATTTTTATTTTTATTTCGACCCCCCGACTCAAATTTTTGAAAAAAATTCCCGTAAAACAGAAAATAAAAAAATGTTGGCCTGAGTTTTGCCGAGCAATATCTTACCCGGGTCCTGTTTCTGTTCTGTATCTGTACGTCACAGAATCCTCTCGGGCTTTAATGCACGGTGTTTTCATTAGTTTTTGTATCGCGTTTCCAGAGTGCTTGCATGCATAATTATTTGAAGAGTGGCTAAAAATTCGGATCATGTACATGTTTTTCAAATGATTTCCGCATAAACTTCGAAAACTAAAAACAATTAATCTCTTGAATTAACTATTGTTTTACATGTACCTTCATTCAGGCATAATTTTAACACTTATTTAAATATACTAGCATACAAGTATATTCTACAATTATTGCTGATTTAGATCAAATTCACAGAGCCCGAAGGGCGAGGTGAAAATTGTACCTCGTGGGGACTAAATCATCGTACTGACCTAAAAAAAAATGCCGGGCAATAATATTGTGTTTTTATATAAGATTCAATGATTAAATGATACAAATTCGTTAAGCAAATCTTGCCATCGATCTTTCTTGATTGTTTACATTTAAAATATTGAACTTGCCGAACGCATTGAGAGAATTAAACAGGATTAAAATAAACATACATGTATTTGGGTTTCTTGATCTATTTTGGAGCAGTGTAGAAAAAAATAAATGTTATGCTCACCTGGAAGTCGGGTGCAGATGAAATAACTTTTCATAACTAAAAGTAATTGTATAAATTTGGAAGTTCTCGATCTATTTCCAGTTCATTGGAGAAAAAAAAGGAAATGCTATGTTCACCTGGAAGGTCTTGTGTAGGTGAATACAGCTGCACACACAGAGAGCTAGGAATTATTCAATCATATTAAAAATAAAGCTTAGTGCTCACTATAGTTTTGGCATTTGATTGTTAGAGGGTCGTGGGTAGGGGTTTGGTATACATGTATGTATAGTTTGTTTTTCAAACCAATTTGGAGCATAAATAATTATAGATCAATCGCAACTTTTTGGGCTTTTCCTACAAGCGGAAAACAACGAGCTTGCCAGAAAGGCTCGAGAAGAAGCGATTGACTTATAGATAAAACAATTTTTCCTGCTTACGTCTGCTAAAAGATTTTAACACGAATGCTTTGTTCCTTGGGCATGATGGTATCTACGTAATATATTTAAATATAGTATGAGGTGTGTACTAATTTTCCAGTTAGTGGTTATTTTTTTTTCTCTCCACCCACTCGCCCTCCCCTCCCAAAGTTTACTGACTTTAATTTGTAAGTTGTTAATACTACTACAAGTTGAACAATTTGGTAAAGGAAGATAAGTTATATCAACTACATCCAATGGGATAAAGTGAAGAATTAAGTAATAAATAAAGATGAAATTTGCATAAATTCGATTAATTTTTTTTAATAACCATTCTTTCCCATCTTGTTTGAAAAATTATCCCGAAGAGCCCGAGTGGTAAAGGGCCGCATACCCCCCCCCCTTTTTTTTTCCAAAGAAGTATTCAAGTAACTGAATAATAGGCTCTTCGATAAGTACATCACTACGAACAAGAATTAAAAAAATACACATTACCTGAACTCAGGATGCAATGTATAATTCCTCATTTAAGAGGGATCGAAGAGTTTAAATCTGACTCCTCATAGCGGGGAGGAACCGAAGTAAATAAATATATAATTGAGATAACGTGAAATTGATATAGATGATTCATAATGTATTTAACAAATATAGATTGATATGTTTCGATGAAGAAAGGTATTCATGGTATACAAATGTTCTTGTTTTTCTTTTAAATTTTGATTAATTCTAAATATTACCAAAAAACTCTTTACTGTTGAAAATGTTCGCTGGAAGCCTGGTTGCCCCCTACCCCCCCCCCCCTTTTTTGTTGTGGTATAGTGTTTCGGTATAGTTCATTCATGGTAATTTGGTAATGTATAAATAAAATTTGGTTGTGAAAAATTTGGAACCTCGTCCCACCCCACCCCATAAAATAGGATTTTGTAGTTTGTAAATATCCCTTTTTAATTTTTTTTTTAGCTTGTTCAAGTTTTTTCAGGTAAGCCGTCAAATATTTTTACCCCCCCCCCCCTTTCAATAACTAAGTGCCCGGAGTTAGCACGAGTATTATACCGTGCATGTATAAAGAACAGTATATCTATAAAACAACGAGTTAGCAGAGCATCACACTGAGCATGTATAAAGATTTGGGTTTACATAAATTCATGGAACACTATAAGCTTTACCATATCGTTGTAATGCCGTTACCTTTCGATTATATCAATAAAGTCAAGCTCGGATCCTGAAATATTTTCCAGGTAGGGGGATCTATTTCCTTAAAAACAAAAAAGAAAGAAAGAAAGAAAGGGAAATCGCAAAACACGAAAAACCTCTTTCGTAAGATTTTTTTTGGGGGTGGGGGTGGGGGCAGGCAAGGGAGTAGTGTCAAGTAGAGAAAAGTAAATTTAAAGAGTGGTCAACGTTTTAGGTCACCTGAGTCACTCAGGTGACCTATTACTATATGTTTTTGTCCGTCGTGCGTCGTGTGTTTTAAACATTTGAAAATTTTCAGCTTCTTCTCTTAAACCGCTGAACCAATTTCAGCCAATTTTAGCATATGGCCTTTACATGTATGTGTGAAGGGGATCAAAATTTGTGAATTTCATGGTCCCTGCCCCCCCCCCCCCCGGGTGGGGGGGGGGACTGAGGGGTGGCGCTTAAACCACCAAAATTAATGCAGTCTTTAAAAATCTTCTTCTTTACTCCTGAACATCAAGCAGTCAAACTGTTGCCATGATTGTAATAAGCATTGAGCCCTCTACCAAAATTGTGAAATTCATGGCCCCAGGGTCAAGGGTTCTGGTGCTAGGGCGGGGCTATAAAGATCATAAAGTGAAAGTGCATTATTTCTTTGAAAATCTTATTCTCTACTCCTGGGTATTATTTAAACAAATTAATTAATAGCTATGATAAGCAAAGATGCCTCTTCCAAAATTGTGAAATTCATGGCCCCAGGGACAGGGGTTCCGGTGCTAGGGCGGGGCTATATAGATCCATTATTTCTCTGAAAATCTTCTTCTCTGCCCCTGGGTATTATTTAAACAATCTAAGTACATAGTTTTGATACCCAAGGATGCCTCTTCCAAAATTGTGAATTTCATGGCCCCAGGGTCAAGGGTTCCGGTGAAAAGGGGGGGGGACTCTATTGACTATATAGTGCAAAAAGCAAAATTTCCTTGAAAATATTCTTTTCTTCGTCTGGTTAAAAAGAAAGGGAAGCTAAGTGGATAGTTATAATGAGCAAGAGTGCTTCTTCCAGAGTAGTGAATTCCATGACCCCTGGGTCAGATGTGCTGGTGTAAGGGTGGTACTCTTGATAATATAGTAAAAATGCATTAATTCTATTCAATAATCCTGTCTGCTCCTTAGTGTTAAGCAGATAAACAAAGTGATTAGTTATGATGAGCAAACTTCTAGTCCCAGGGTCAGAGGCTCTGGTGTTTCTCGGTGGGGAGGGGGGGGGGGCTCTATTGATAATATAGTGTATCTGTAGTAAAAATTCATTATTTCTTTAAAAATCTTCTCTGCACCTGAGCATACTGGAGGCAAAAAGAATAAAAGTTTTAATAAGGAAGGATATTTTTAGCAGTTTTTTGAACATCTGGACCATTTGGTCAAGTGTTCTGGTCCTGGCCAGAGCTCTATTAATTTGTATTCTACTGAGAGGAGTTATTCCCCTTTGCCATTTACTTTTGATAATTAATCACTGTAAATAATGTACTTGAAAGGTTAAAAGAATAAGAGAATTATGCAAGAATTTTTATTGTATAATACGAAAAGTATTTCCATAGTTTTAATGATCATGAAGACTTGTAAGTTATAGATAAAAAAAAATAAGACAAAAATAATTTGTCTTATTAAATGTTTATTAAAGACCAAGAGAGGCCAATGTAAAAGATAACAACAAGGGATTACAAACGAAGAACAGATTAGACCCTACTTTAGGAACTGTTAATGAATACTAGACTAATTATTTTTGTTGATCCTGATCACCCTATTTTTCTTGCTTTTGGGCAACATGCAAAGCTTCACCTTTCAGTTCATTTTATACTCTATGGATCCTCTAAATTGTTGTATTTTACTCAGGTGACCGTTAAGGCCCTTGGGCCTCTTGTTTCATCTTAGCATTCTTTGCTTTTTTAAATTAATATTGAAAGTTCCAATGAAGATAGCCCCCTTCCCCCGATCTTGTGTTTACCAACATGCTCTGAAAATGCACATTTCAATGAAAAAACTTGTCGAAATTCATGATGGCTCTCCAAAAAAGGTAATTTTATATGATATTTCTGTCGTATTTTCAGATATCTTTTAAGCAAATCGTACCATGTGACCGACATAACAATTTACAAATGTTTCAGGATCACTGTAATTTTCAGTAAAAACATTAAAATTTATTAGATGGTAAACTTGACACGATTATAATAAGTTTCAATACTAGTAATATTAGCAACATCGATTCTAGCAAAGCCTGTCAACTTTGATTTCTTGGTGAAAAGTAGATTCAAAGTTTTTACTCACAGTTAAAAAATTACTCTGTAATGCTTTCCTCTAATCTGGATTCATATAATCAAAAGTGATAAATCTTTTTAAGTTCAAACAATGAAGTAAAATCTACACGCACCGTATCCTTTCTCTGCATATGCAAGAAAAAATAATGTATAGTTTGTTGAATAAAATATATTTAAAATTACACATAAAAATACTAAAAAACAAATGCATTACATATATTGGCATGTGCAACAAATTACAACCATCTAGGTATTATTGCTACAAAGATCACTGACACGCGTCCTATTACGAGTAGAGGGCATCACACCGGAGTCTGTGTATTCTTAGCTACCACCTTCTCTTGATAATGCTTTTTACAGTACAGAATTCCGTCAGCCTGTGCATACGTGTTCAGTCTGAAATGAGGAATTATATTTTACTGCTTTAACACAAAAATATACGTTGTTTCATGTTGCGTAGGAGGGTTAGAATTTCTGTTCCAGTAAAGAAAACAGCAGACAGAGATGTGTTTCTCTGTTCTGGTTACACAGAACAGAACTGGGAATATCTCTGGCACTTCGTAGATATCAGCCAGATTAAATGAGAGAGAAAAAATGAGCTAAATATTAAATATAAAATTTAAAATTGGTTACCCTCAACTGAAACCCAGACTAAGCAGCAACCCAGTATCATCTGAAGCTTGTTGTTAATTTTAATTAATTTTGTATATTGCTATCCGTTTTGGATTTAACGAAGAAAAAAATTTACACACTAAGGAAATAAATATTTTGGACTGAATTAAACATTAACTGTATTTCAAAGCCAACCACTTTATTTACATTTAGGTAAATTAATAAGACAATTTAAAATCGACATTCATGGGAGTGAAATAACCTACCGTTCAGAATAAATCTTAAAAGTTAAACCAGTACTTACTTGAGTGACATTTTACATTCGGAACACTTGAAGCAGAGTTTATGATAAGGCGTGTCCCCCGCCTCTATCCTCTCGGCTGCATATACAGATTTACCGCAAATACCACACTTCTCCCCGCCACCCTGTAAACACGTGGAGGAGAAATTACGAAAAGTTAATATCAACAGTATTCTTTAAAGTACAATGTTCTATTGACGGCAAAAAATGTATGTTAATTTATTCCCCTAACACTTATAAAGGATTTTGTCATGCATAAAATTGACATCAAAGGACCAACATGAACGGAAAATTCAAAAAGATACATCATTAATATCAGCTAGGAAGAGATTAGCGTGTCTCAGATACTGAAATTTCGGTTAATGTAAGGCTCTTCTCTAGGAATAAGGTTGATATAAACACTGGCAAAGAGTTTAAAGCATCGTTATGTGAACAGTATGATCCAATATATTTTTCACGTCTCGTTTTAACTTCTAAGCAAGACTGAGCAGATTGGAATAGTTTTTTGTTTGTTTTTTTCTTTGTTGTTGTTAACTTTTTGTTTATGTTTTCTTTTTTATAAGTTGTGCCCCCTCCAACTGAAATTGCTTCCTACTGGCCTGTTTAGAAACAGATAAACATGTGTACACTTAGCTTTCTAACGATTGTGCCTTCCTTGGTGAACCGTTAATTGTATTTACAAACAGAACTAAGGTATTGACCGATGCTAGAAAGGGATTGATATATATCTTTACATATATACAAACAAACACTTGTAAATATGCTTAACCTCTCTCGACATATATCCCTGGCATTTATATATAAATGTAACTGTACGATGTCACGGATTTTCTTTAAACACAAACGCTGGTATCCCCCCCCCCCTCCCAAAAAAAAAAATCAGAAACTGTTTCTTTCTTTTTTTTTTTTTTTGTAGATAAATTTTAATTTCTTTTACTTAAGAAAATTTCTGATTAATCAAAAGCGATTCTTTAAGTTTCTTTCAAGATAAAAATACTTTGAAAACGAAGACCTTCCCAACTACATAAAGTCTGTATAGCTCCAGTGTTCCTGATATATGCTAATATGCTACGTTAATAGCTGTATTTACTAATTAAACATGCACGTTATCTGACAAAAACACTAGCAAATGCTCTTTATCTGTGAATGGTGGCTCATCTAATCGCCAGAGAGAGAGTAGATAATTAACGACAAAGACAGTCAGTACTTACGAATTTTGGAGGCATGTTTCCCCTCTAACTGTTGTGTTAGATGTAGCGCTGTATATTCTAATATTTCCTTATTATGATGCCCTAAATACGGCAGCCCTTTACCGACAACCAAGCTTCCTCCTTCTTATATTGCGTAACCTTCTCAGACTTTATAGCAGTTAACTTTATTAAAATTAAAAGATAAGATAATTATTAAAATTAAAAGATAAGTAATATATATATATATATATATATATATATATATATATATATATATATATATATATATATATATATATATATATATATATATATATATATATATATATATATATATATATATATATATATATATATAATATAATGTAATATGATATAATATAATATAATATAATATAATATAATATAATATAATATAATATAATTTTGCTTGTAACGCGTCATTTGATTGGATAAATAATTAGTTTATATATCGTATAACCTGTGTTAACTTAGGTCAAAAACGTATATCAATCAGCTTGAGGTTAAATTTAAAATATGTACAATTTGAAGGCATTTTTGAATGAGAAATTATCTTATTTTGTACACTTATTAATAGAAAATTAAATTATAAGGAATGAATTTAAGAGCTACCCAAGTTATACTGGTATAACCTGGGTTGGAACAGTTACTTAGTAACTTTTTTTAATAAACCGCTTCGCGGTTTATAAAGCGTAAACTGTCCCAACCCAGGTTATACAGTATAACTTGGGTAGCTATTAAATCCATTCCCTAAATAAACATATGGTTACATATGCAAATGTAGGAATTAAGCTTGAAAAGTATATGATAATGTCATGTTTTATACAGGCAGCTAGAAAAATGTGTCTTAATTTAACATTATGCATTACCAATAGTAGAGGAATATTACACAGAACTTAACCCCCCCCCCCCCAATTTTTTTTTTCAGACCTGAAATCTTACATAAATGTCTATTTGATGTAATGTACCTTTATTTACAGCAAGACATCCCGTGTTTCAGTCATACCATTATTTGTACAAGAAATGAAAATTAATATTTATCAATAAATGTCCCGGACGAGAGATCGTAAATTACGATGCACTGTAACTACAACACACCCTCTGATAAGACAGGAACGTGTTTAGAGGCCATCATATGGGGATTGCGCGTCATTTATTATTATATATTTCAATATAATCAGGAATTTGTTCATATTTATTATTTTTTCCTTTTTACAATTATAATTTACATTTATAAGGATACAGTTGATACTGTTAACTTTATGTTCATGTCATTATTTTTTTTTTCCTTTAAAAATAATTTGACGTTATTTGCACATGCATGTCTGAGACTTGAGCAATGGGTGGATCCAGAATTTTCCTCTAGAGGACCTGTTTCTAATGCGAAAAAATGTCCATTTAAAAAAGGGTTTACGAAGAATAGAATATCATAGTTGATGATTAAATTCATGGAGAGAATTTAAGGAAGCCAGGGTGTTTCTGGAAAGCGGCTTTACTTCATTGACATTATGAAAAAATTCTCTCAACTTCAATGTGAACACCTCGTCTGTGCTCAGTATTTTGAGCTGCACAAAAAATCTATGATAATATATAACTGAACTTGCTTTGAAGATGCATTCTGTTCAGCCCCTCCCTTTTCAAGCAAAACAAAACAAAGCGAAAAAAAATATCATAAAACAAAAAAAAAAAAAAAAAAAAAAAAAAGAAGACAAAATAAAGATGCAATTAAGTTTAAATAGATAAATAAATGAATGAATGAGTGGGTGAATGAATGAATGAGTGGGTGAATGAATGAATGAATGAATAAAGAAATTAATAAATACACCCTCCCTCCGGATCTGTTCTGTTCCTGGAACCAGGTGTACTTACAGTGTAGTTACAAGAGAGGCAGACCGGTACCTTGATCTTGCATTCCATGTCTGAACGTATTAAATTTATTAATTTAACGTTAAATAAAATATAAAGTAAAATAAAACATAAAATAAAAAAAAGAATAAATCACATCCCCAATTATTATAAAAGAATTTTTATTTGAATACCTTCAGTGTAAGTGGTTATTTGTGCAGGTGTTTAAAATTTGAATTTACACAGTCATACCACACCATTAATGAAGAATGGCTTTTTGTTTCTGAATCACTCAGGTTTAAAATAATTTATATATTCATCCTTTAAAATCATTTTAGCAGTAAATTAAACAAAAATCAACGCATAAAAAAGTAACATACAATAGCACTCTCTCTAAAAATCATTAAAAACCCTTGACAATCTTATTGTCCGGATTTTTTCCCCGTATCCGGTTTTTATTGTTATTGAATACAGGCAAAGGTCAACTTCAGCATCTGAAGCCATTTTAGATTTTACATCATGGATTACAAGATAAAATAGATGCAAATGCACTTTTGAAATACATTGTGGGACATTTTAAAACATGCCGAAACGAAAAAATCATCCTGCGGATGACTCAGATGGCGATCAGACGATCCCCCTCCCAATACAGTCGTTTTTCTGGCGACAAACAAGGTGCTTGTAGAAGTAGTGATTATCATAATAATGCTATGCAAATATAGATGTGTATTTTACTGGTATATTTAAGCTAAAACCATTGTAAAGATGTTTTTGCACCATTTTTGTGTACATTTTATGATTATTACTGACAAAAAGTATTGATCCATGTGATCAAGGTGATTGCACAGATATAAACATGGAGGATTGTCTGCAGATGAAAGGAATATGAGATTCGACATGAGCTCAGTACACCGACACCCGTCACCTCACGCATGAGGTGACTAAATTTTATCGGGCTAAATTTTCCTAGCCAAAATCACCTTTTCACAGATAGAAATCAACCAGTGCACTTTAACTGGAGTATGAAAAGCATTAAGTTTTTCATATTAAATCAAGATGATTTTTTCAGACAATATTTATTTGTTGATTTACAGAAAATGGCACAAAGTCGCATATTTCTTTATATCCTATAGAAATTTAACATTTAAGTCATTACTGCTCAAAGTCGGTCAAAAAATATATAATCCATGGAGTTTTAAAAAATATTCATGTAATAATGAAATTAAAATATTGTAAAATTCATACATAAGTTAATTCTTTGAGTTTCAGTATCTGATGTTACAAAAGGAAATTTATCCATGGACTTGAAAAGTTCATCATATAATAGGATTCATTCAAATGAAAGAACAACATTTTTTAAATAATACTGAAATTAAAAAATAAATTCTGAAAATTCCACCAGTCAGATCAACCTAATGTTGACCTACATTTTACTAGTCTGACCAAATTTTTACTAGTTTTGGGCAAATGGCTGGTCCCTTTCGCACACACTGTTGCATGTATTATCAAACAAGGCATAAAAGGACAAGTGCACTCAGGCAATAGAGAAGGGCCCTTTTCAGTGCTGTTTAATTTAGAAAATGCTACCAAATTATTTTTTTGTAGTAAAATTTAAACACTGGTGGATACTTCCAAAAAATCAGGTCAAAATGGACATGGGTTTTAAACAACTTGGGAGTTTTGATTGTTTCATCATTATCAGCAGATAATGTATTGGCTTAAATGAGTGTGTGGGAATCATCCCATGCAAGTTTAGTTTCCTAGATCCCACTTCTCATGGTTTAATCTGGATAATTGGTACCAACAGAATCTCTAGAAATCTTCCACTAAAAATCAAACAACAATTCTCTCTTAGTTTTTAATTATTTGATTTTTAAAGCCATGAGGATACTTACATGAGTAAACAAATGGTTGGTAAAAGGTTGAGGTCCAAGTAATTTTCAATAAGACACTTTTTGCTGATATGTGTGTGAGGCAGGGGTATTTCCCAAATTTAATTGCTTCATATCTGCCAAACTGTCATTGGTAGCAGAATTTTTTTCTATTTCAATTAATGAAATATGAATACTTTGACATGAGGTACCCCTTAAAACTTTGTGGAATCATTATCATATTTATCATTTTGTGCTTTTCAGTCCTTTTATAAGGCCAAAACTAGGAAAGCTATGTGAAGCTGCTTGTGTGGTAAGTTTGTACAGTTTGTTTTCATTTACATATACCTGCAATCTTCTTATTCAATTATATATGAGTGTTTTAATAGTCTTACAACTCTTTCCATTGATTAATGTACAATTACAGTGTGTGCACATCTTTTTACATTCATTCTCTTTATGTTTCTGTTATGTTTTAGTCCTTAGAGAGAGTGGTGGTTCAGAATATTCTACATGGCCTGTCCCCCAGTCTTTGTGAAGCCATACAGAGTGTACCCAGATGGAAGGTCATTCAGGCAGCCTTCCCTCACGTCATGCATGCATGTGCAGCTCTTATTCAGCAATGCAAACAGAGCGATAGGGGTAAAAACTTTACATAATTATGATTTAATACGATTTATACTAATGCATTGTATTTTATCCAGACAATATAGAAATTATGTTTAAAAAGTAATTATGCTCATATTCGATGCATGTATAAGTTAAATATGCCAGCATCTGTCTTAAGATTTTAGCTGTTTTAAGATTTATTAGTATTGGAAAATTCATTTCACAATGAATTATGAGAAAATTGTAATCAAACTTTCCTTAATTTTCTTTTTGTTGAAACTATTATATTTGTGAACCTATTGTAGACACAGCTTTTGGTCCTAGTGAAGTGAAACTGCTGTACATTCTACATTGGATAATCCTTGATGCTGCTTCAGAGTGTGAAGACTTGGAGACAGACCCCACTAGGAGTAGTGTCCCAGTACAGTTGCACTCTCTTTGTACTGTCCAGCTCTTGGTGTACCTTCTAGCCCCCGTGATCCACCTGCTGAAGGACTCAGATTTTCAGACTCTGAAGCTTGAGAATGGTCTTCGATTTTGGCAGCCATTATGGGATTTTAGACAGCCAGATATACCATGTTTCTCCACTCCTGTCAAACCACAGAGAAACATACTCAAAGCTCAGCGAAATTTGCTCAAAGTCAACACCAATGCTGCAAATATCTATGTCGGTAAAGGCACGTCCAGGGAAAATTTGAACTTCTTACCTGAGCCACCAACAGCCAGTCGCAAGTCGAGTTTCAATGATCAACAATCTATACATGCACCACTGGCAAGAATGAGTGATATTTGTCCCATGTCCACCGCAGATTCACACTCGGTAAATATGGAGGTGTTATGTGAGCATTGTAACAATGTGATATCTAGCAGAGATTCTGAGGAGAAGCATTGTCAGTGCAAGAGAAAAGAAAGTACAGAGACCTTTGTACCCATTTTGTTTAACTTTCAAATGTTACCCTCCTCTGTTGATGAAGATTTGGTGAAGCAGAGATTAGCCAGTGCTGTCACAAGTGGAATTAGAGGACCAACAGCTCCAGACATACTGAGTGCCAGTTACTTTGATGTAGCTGTTCTACGTTGTCTATTCAGTCTGCATTGGTCTGAAGATGGTGTTTACTGGGCTTTGAAGTATGTTCACCAGAGATTGCTGGAAGTTTGTGATGAGTATGTAAGAAGGGATTATTCTGAGCGAGAGAGAAGCCATTCACTACCCTTCCAAGATTTTAAGCTCTTAAGAAGTCAGAGTATCCCATCACATGGAATAGAAAAATCCCTTGTAAAACTTAAGAGTGGCTTGAAGAAGCCTTCCTCTAGACTTGAAACAATTCCAAGTGCTGGAGAAATTTCTCCATTACTGGAACACAAGTTTCGGTCAAATCAGGAGTCAGATGCTAGTACTGACCACGCTTTAAAAAAAATTAGAACTTCTAGTGCAGGAGACAATAAAAGCCAGAATGCCAAAGAAATGAAGCCCATGTTTTACCTTTCTGGGTCACCTACTAAAGAGGACAGTCCCCATAGTCAGTTGACCAATGAATACTTAAACTTTGAAAAGATGAGAAAGAAAGGATTGAGGTATAATGAGAGGATTTACGAACAATATCTGACAAGGAAGGATGACTCCCCAAGTACAGCTGCACCAACTACACAGGACTTGGATCAGGACCCCAGTAGTAAAGGTCAAAAATCTGTGTCATTTCCACCCTTTCTGACAAAAAAGGAGACAACTGATGCTAAACCTAAGCATTTAGGTTCTGACCGGGATTCATTGATGACCAGTAGTCACAGTTCTTCATCATCACAGCTTGGTGATTCTAGCCACGCAGAGACTCGGACGGGTACAGAAGGCCGGTCAGATGTAATGTCTTCCGAGGATGAGAAACAGAAACCAATGATAATGGTCACTGAGCATGGTGTCTGGGACCGGCAGAGGATAAGGAATACAGTCAGTAAACCCATGGAAGCATCCAATGGAATAAAGGACAGGAAAGGTGATATTTTTGAGAAGAATAATGCCACCTGGTTGAAAGACACTGCCCAGAGGGATAAAGTCTCTGCTATGTTTTTTATGGATGACCAGCCTCAAAATCAAAAGAATGAGAAAGAAAATTCACTTCCCCGCAGTATGACAGACTCGGACATTAACTACAGCCATGTAGAGGAGGTCCATGAAGTCCCAGGGTCTGTCCATTATATACAGGACAATGGCCACCTGAACTATAAAGTCATTTTACAGGCCATTCACTTTAATGCTCTGAACCAAGCCACACCAAGAGTGTGTGAGGTTTTGTTGAATATCATCAATTGTTTACTGGACTTGGATATTGTAGAGAGGAAACAGGATGTAAAGGTACCAGACTCTCCAGAGAGTAAGAAGACTGAGGAAGACAGTACTAAAAGTACAACATCAGACTCCTCACAGGAACAATCAGCTCACGGACTGGCCATGGACAGCTTGTTCAGGTACTGCCAATTACATGTTCAGTTAAATCTCCCTGATATTATTTGATAGAGTAATGTAAACATGGAAATGTTTGTGCTGGGGCAGTATTTGGGAGTTTTGCGATGAACAGTTTTGCAAAATTCATCACCATGTGAACAGTTAAAAAAACATACTTAACAACAAACCAACACATTTTATAGATTCTTTAATGCTTGCAAAAATTTTCACTATGTGAATGCTTTGTTACATAGAAATAGCAAAATTTTACTCCATAAAAATATCAGTGTTTACTGTATGTTGTAAACCCAATTTTTAATTGCTGGCCTTGGACTTAAAGTTGCAATTACATATATTTGTCGGGAACCCAAAATTTTCTTTTGATATTATAATGTTGACACAATCATGCATATAAACATTAAATAATTGCAACTAGCCATCACATTGGTAGCTTAAGAGTCCACTTGATAAAACTTTATAAACTGTAATCTACCGTACACTGCAGAGGTAATAGTGTTAAGTTGTGAATTTAATATTTATATCACTTTCTTTAGGTCACCTGGGTCACTCAGGTGACCTATTGCTATCTGTTATTGTCCGTCTTCGTCCATCGTGTGTTAACATTTGAACATTTTTCAGCTTCTTCTCTGAAACCGCTGAACCAATTTCAGCCAATTTTAGCATATGGCATCTATGTGTGAAGGGGAACAAAATTTGTGAATTTCATGGTCCCTGCCCCCCTGGGGCCTGAGGGGTGGGGCTAAAACCACCAAAATTAATGCAATCTTTAAAAATCTTCTTCTTTACTCCTGGACTTCAAGCAGTCAAACTGTTGGTATGATTGTAATAAGCATTGAGCCCTCTACCAAAATTTTGACATGGCCCCAGGGTCAGGGGTTCTGGTGCTAGGGCGGGGCTATATAGATCATATAGTGAAAGTGCATTATTTCTTTGAAAATCTTCTTCTCTACTCCTGGGTATTATTGAAACAAATTGAATACATAGTTATGATATGAAAGGGTGATTCTACCAAAATTGTGAAATTCATGGCCCCAGGGTCAGGGGTTCTGGTGCTAGGATGGGGCTATATAGATCATATAGTGAAAGTGCATTATTTCTTTGAAAATCTTCTTCTCTACTCCTGGGTATTACTGAAACAAATTGAATACATAGTTATGATAAGCAAGGGTGACTCTACCAAAATTGTGAAATTCATGGCCCCAGGATCAGGGGTTCTGGTGCTAGGGCGGGGCTATATAGATCATATAGTGAAAGTGCATTATTTCTTTGAAAATCTTCTTCTCTCCCATGGGTATTATTTAAACAAACTAAGTACATTGTTATGCACACAAGATTGCCTCTTCCAAAAATGTGAATTTCATGGCCCCAGGGTCAAGGGTAGGGTTCTGGTGAAAAGGCGGGGTGAGGGTGGGCTCTATTGATTATATAGTGAAAAAGCAAAATTTCTTTGAAAATATTCTTTTCTGCTTCTGGTTAAAAAGCAAAGAAGCTAAGTGTATAGTTATGATGAGCAAGGTTACTTCCAGAGTAGTGAATTGCATGATTCCTGAGTCAGATGTGCTGGTGTAAGGATGGGGCTCTTGATAACATAGTGAAAATGCATTTATTATATTAAATAATCCTGTCTGCTCCTTAGTGTTAAGCAGATAAACAAAGTGATTACTTACATGTATGATGAGCAAACATCTGGTCCCAGGGTAAGAGGCTCTGGTGTTTCTCGGTTGGGGGGGGGGGGGGGGCTCTATTGATAGTATAGTGAATCTTTAGTAAAAATGCATTATTTCTTTGAAAATCTTCTCTGCACCTGGGCATATCAGAGGCAAAAAGAGTAAAAGTTTTAATAAAGATTTTTGAACATCTGGGCCATTTGGTCAAGTGTTCTGGTCCTGGCCAGGGCTCTATTAATTAGTAATCTACTGAGATAGTTATTCCCCTTTGCCATTTACTTTTGATAATTAATCACTGTAAATAATATACTTGAAAGGTTAATAGAATAAGAGAATTATGCAAGATTTTTTATTGTATAATACAAAAAGTACTTTCATAGTTTTAATGATCAGGTAGACTTATACGTAATAGATAAATAAAAATGAGACAAAAATAACTTGTCTTATTCAATGTTCATCAAAGACAAAGAGAGTCCAATGTATGAGATCAACAAGGAATTAAAATAGTACAGAAGTATTGATAGTTTGTTAATATACTGTATGGTGATTAGTGATAAATGGGGAACAGATTAGAACCTAATTTATGAACTGTCAATGAACACAAGACTAATTATTTTGTTGATCCTGATCACCCTATTTTTCTTGCTTTTGGGCAACAAAGCTTCACCTTTCAGTTCATGTTATACTCTATGGATCCTCTAAATTGTTGTATTATACTCAGGTGACCGTTAAGGCCCTTGGATCTCTTGTTTATTCATGAGAAGTGTATTAATACTTTTTTTCTTAAGATTGTGCAATAAAGTTTTCATCAGTCAGAATTATGTCTTTTACAATAAGTGGTACTCAATTTACTACAGTATATGCAAGGTCTTTGAGAAATATTTACATTTTATGAGATTCTGGTCTACGTTGCAGCATTTTTAAGGCTCTTGGGTGTCCTAATGGTTGTGGAGATGGATTGAGGGGTAGTTATGGCGACCACTTAAGGTTGAAAGGTCACAAGTGCCTACAGAGACTGCAGCAGATCAACTCCATATTGTTCAGAGTTTACCTGAAGGAAACAGTGGAGAGATGCTCTATACAAGAGACAGTTGACTTTTTACATGCCCTACTGGGTTTCTGCTCAGATCCCACTCTCATTCTCCAGCAGGGCCAAGGCCAAGGTAATGTGCATTAAAATAATGATCAGTGTAGAATTTTAACAAGAGCTATCCAAGTACTTACACTATGCATTGCCTACATGTTTCTTCCTGGTACTGTAGAAATACATTTTTAGCTCACCTCGACGAAGTCGAGATGAGCTTATGCTATACCCCCGGCGTCGGCGTCGGCGTCGGTGTCGGCGTCGGCGTTAGCGTCGGCGTCCCAGGTTAAAGTTTTAGGAGCAAGTCCCATTCCCAAGTAACTATAAGCCCTACCTGGACCAAACTTGCATGGATGATGCATCTAGGGATGGACACTACCACACTTGCTTCGGATGCTGGATCTGACCTAGATTTTCCAGATGAGTGACCAGGTTAAAGTTTTAGGAGCAGGTCCATTCCCAAGTAACTATAAGCCCTACCTGGACCAAACTTGCATGGATGATGCATCTAGGGATGGACACTACCACACTTGCTTCGGATGCTGGATCTGACCTAGATTTTCCAGATGAGTGACCAGGTTAAAGTTTTAGGAGCAGGTCCATTCCCAAGTAACTATAAGCCCTACCTTGACCAAACTTTCATGGATGATGCATCTAGGGATGGACACTACCACACTTGCTTCGGATGCTGGATCTGACCTAGATTTTCCAGATGAGTGACCAGGTTAAAGTTTTAGGAGCAGGTCCATTCCCAAGTAACTATAAGCCCTACCTGGACCAAACTTGCATGGATGATGCATCTAGGGATGGACACTACCACACTTGCTTCAAATGCTGGATCTGACCTAGATTTTCCAGATGAGTGACCAGGTTAAAGTTTTAGGAGTAGGTCCATTCCCAAGTAACTATAAGCCCTACCTGGACCAAACTTGCATGGATGATGCATCCAGGGATGGACACTACCACACTTGCTTCGGATGCTGGATCTGACCTAGATTTTCCAGATGAGTGACCAGGTTAAAGTTTTAGGAGCAGGTCCATTCCCAAGTAACTATAAGCCCTACCTGGACCAAACTTGCATGGATGATGCATCTAGGGATGGACACTACCACACTTGCTTCGGATGCTGGATCTGACCTAGATTTTCCAGATGAGTGACCAGGTTAAAGTTTTAGGAGCAGGTCCATTCCCAAGTAACTATAAGCCCTACCTGGACCAAACTTGCATGGATGATGCATCTAGGGATGGACACTACCACACTTGCTTCAAATGCTGGATCTGACCTAGATTTTCCAGATGAGTGACCAGGTTAAAGTTTTAGGAGTAGGTCCATTCCCAAGTAACTATAAGCCCTACCTGGACCAAACTTGCATGGATGATGCATCTAGGGATGGACACTACCACACTTGCTTCGGATGCTGGATCTGACCTAGATTTTCCAGATGAGTGACCAGGTTAAAGTTTTAGGAGCAGGTCCATTCCCAAGTAACTATAAGCCCTACCTGGACCAAACTTGCATGGATGATGCATCTAGGGATGGACACTACCACACTTGCTTCAAATGCTGGATCTGACCTAGATTTTCCAGATGAGTGACCAGGTTAAAGTTTTAGGAGTAGGTCCATTCCCAAGTAACTATAAGCCCTACCTGGACCAAACTTGCATGGATGATGCATCCAGGGATGGACACTACCACACTTGCTTCGGATGCTGGATCTGACCTAGATTTTCCAGATGAGTGACCAGGTTAAAGTTTTAGGAGCAGGTCCATTCCCAAGTAACTATAAGCCCTACCTGGACCAAACTTGCATGGATGATGCATCTAGGGATGGACATGGCCACACTTACTTCGGATGCTGGATCTGAACTAGATTTTCCGGATGAGTGACCAGGTTAAAGTTTAAGGAGCAGGACCATTCCCAAGTAACTATAAGCCCTACCTGGACCAAACTTGCATGGATGATGCATCTAGGGATGGACACTACCACACTTGCTTCGGATGCTGGATCTGACCTAGATTTTCCAGATGAGTGACCAGGTTAAAGTTTTAGGAGTAGGTCCATTCCCAAGTAACTATAAGCCCTACCTGGACCAAACTTGCATGGATGATGCATCTAGGGATGGACACTACCACACTTGCTTCGGATGCTGGATCTGACCTAGATTTTCCACATGTGAGACCAGGTTTAGATTTAGGAGTAGTCTCGTTTCCAAGTAACTATAAGCCCTACCTGGACCAAACTTTCATGGATGATGCATCTAGGGATGTACACTAACCAACCTGCTTCGAATGCTGGATCTGACCTAGATTTTCCACATGAGTGAATTTTAGCCATATTTTAACCAAATTAGCATGGATGATGTATCTAGGGATGGACACTTCCAGACTTGCCTTGGATTCTGAATCTGATGTACATTTTCCAGATGAGTGACCAGGGTAATTTTTTGGAGTAGCTATATAATATTATGGCCTGTTATGATTAAACTTGCATAGATGGTGCATCTAAGGATGAAAACTTCCAGACTTGCTTTGGATGTTGGAAGTGACCAAAATTTTCTTGATTACTTAACAGGTCAAAAGTTTTTTGAGCAGGTCTATAATTAAATCAAACTTGCATGGATATTGATCTTGGGATGTACCCTAACTAGAAAAAAAATATGATGTGAAATTTGCCTTACTTATAGATAACATTCGTCGAGGTGAGCTTCGTAATCTTTGATTACCTATGTTTCTGTGTGGAATTAACTTCGGCTTTGTATGTTGTCACAGTTTTTCCATGGAAATATGTTACAGGGTACTCAAAATTTATTAAAGACATATAATGACAATCCAAAAAATCTGCATAAATTTGTACTTGGGGATTCAACAGAAATTGTGATTCTGCGGAATTATGCCCCCATGGAAAAAAGTATGTTTACAGTAATTGAATGCACAGTAATAAACTTTTATATACATGTACTTGGCCGGACTTGGGATTATGACATGATTATTTTTTTAACAGAAAGAAAGAGGTCCTGTACCCAGCAGGACCCCCCAGTGAATGGATTCCATAACAACTTTGGTCACAGTATAGGAGGAGTTGGCTATAGAGGAGAGGAGGGTGTACTAATAGCCAACATCCTGAAACCCTTTGTCTCCAAGTGTGTGGACAATGCCAGGGAACTGTACGGGAGTGACAACATAGTATGTGTGATTATCCATCTCTATTCAGTGCAGGAGCATTTGATTTCTCAATCTATAAAATACATTGAATGAGATTCAGTGTCTGAATGTGCATATGTTGTATTCATTTTCTTATTGAATGTTACATTTTTACCTGTTTTTTTTCCATTGGTAATCTGTTTGTGATATAATTTCAGTGTTTGTTCTGTGATATTCGTCAGTTAATGACTTACGTTAAGGAGGTCCACGGAGGAACATTCAGACGGGTGGAGCTGAGTGGATTGTTAGATTCTACAATGAAGCTGAAAAAGCAGGAAAAGGAATCCAAAGTCAGATCAGCAATAGGAATCAGGTAGGCCTTGGGACAGTCTGAGACCAATGTTGAAAAATGAGAAGTGAATGATAGTGGATGCTAGATTTCAGTGATGTGGTATCTGTTATACAGGAGGACAACATCACAGACATCTGAGAGTGGAGATGATATTGGGAAAACCTCAACAACGCCTAGTGAAGACCCTCCAAGTCGTAGCAAAGGAAGGAAGTCCATATTTAAAAAGAAACTGAAAAAGGTAGCAACAAAAAAGATTCCAAAGAAAATGTACTCATAAAAAAAACTGATACAGTATAATTGTAGATACTGTACTTCATGGTTTGTATGTGACAAATATTAATTTTTAATTTCACATAATTTCTTGAGATTGTCACGAGATGAAACAGGGCTTTCAAAAAGATTAGAAACAGCAAATACTTTTACAAAAATGGGAGGTATCTTGTGGAAGCAATTTTGATTAAAAATACTATCAAAGTTCCCTCCATCAAATATTTTGGCTGGTACAATCATGATTCCAGCTAGGTAAAAGTACCAGGTAACGGCAGATTTTGAAAGGCCTGGATGAAATATACTTGTGAAAACTACGTCTTGTTACTTTTCATAAAAACAAGTGCCAGAAAAAAATATCTTACAAATAAATGCAGTGTTATTATGCAGCCACAAGTAAAGCTATGCAAATAGAACTAATATACAATATATATTAATTAGATTAACTTTAGGATTTTACTAGTAAAATTATCAGTTTCATTGTTATGTGGTAATTGATGAAAGTGAATTTTTCAGTCCCTAGCTCTTCAGCCATATGCCACGGCCAGTGATTCAGAGCTTCTGGAAGATTCCAAAAACAAGAATGCCACGACGGACGATGAGTCTGTACCAAACACCTCCAGTACTGGGAGGAGACGATTCAGCAGGTTCCACTTAGGTAGAAAATCAATTCTTTTTTTTGTGAAAATGTGACAATAATACATGATGGTGGAGAATGATGATTAAAAAAACTATAAAAAAAATTCAGTGATCAGAAAAATTGTGGAAAATTGTGTCCATTTATGTGAATTAATTAGGTGATTATTTAAATGTTAGGATTTAGACGCCCCATGAAGCCTGACCACGAGGAAGAGGCCATGAGTGACCCCCCACCTTTGGACAGGAGGGAGAGTAAAAGTGATCTACAGACCTCCCGGATGAAGTCGAAGATGTCCTTCAAGACGGCCAGCCAGGCCACCATTACTTTTCTCAGTGCCCGAAAGAGGATCGAGGGGGGACTGAAAAGTCTGGGCAAGCGGATGAGTAAGAGAGGAAGTGTGGACGGTTAGTTAACAATTTACAGGAAGTCAATTTAAATGGATGTGATAATTTTATCAATGGAGGAAAATATCTAATTATACCAAATAACTCAGTTTTGGGGGGAAGGGGTCAGTCTTGATTCTAGAGCAACACTGCAACACCTTTCTTCCTCAAGTACATGACTGTGTATTCTGAAATTTTTTACACAATGGATTTCTTTTGTTTCATTAACAAAATATGTATAGAAATATCTATTTGATGTATCAGTACATATAGCATTTGGATGAGAATAAAGTGAAAATTGGTGGCATGTTTTGACTTTCAAATGATTTCCTTATTTGTCATAGGGTTTTGGCCATTTAAAATTTTTACAAGATCAACTTTCTTTCAACTCATTCTTTACTTAACTTGAAGAAGTTAATTTACAGTATTTCTTTGTTCTGTATTTATCTTTATTTAGAAGATCTTTAGAGAACTGTTTACTTATGTTCTGTGTAGACTGGAAGCAGAAAGAGATAGCCCAGGTGGAGGATGCTGAGAATGACTCAATCATTGTGAAGGAGAAGAAACTGGTGGACAAGTTCCTCATCAAGTCGGGGATGCTGAGGTTTTCTTTCCTGTTGGAGTGTGCCCCTCCTGGAGCTATTCCTGACCCTCAGCTTGTGGCTGCTATGCTAGAACTGGTACAGTTACTCTGCTTGTTGTTCTACACATAAGAATGGCATTCTAGGGCCAATTTTCTCAGTGTAACATGTAAATGTTGTTTTTGTATATCATGTGCAGTTTGTCTATTTTTCAAACTGTGACATTTCTTTGCTGAATTTAATTATGTTTCTCTCTGTGCAATCATATCTAGGCCATAAATTCAAAAGGAAAAAGCTGGAAACTCAAACTAATCAGAAAATTTTATAGAGCTGTTTCTTACAATTTATTGATGCCATACATTTATATAGGAAGCTCCAGTTGTTGCAAGGGCTGCATTACTTCTAGAATGTGCCCAGTTTATACACCGCTGTAACCATGGAGACTGGCCTAATTGGATGAGACTCAATTTGCCCAGTTTTCGTCAGTCTACCTCTGCACTTCAGAATCGTGGGCAGCCTTCAGGGTACAGACGGACTCTGGCTCTACAGAAATCAGCAGGAAGGATGTTTTATAAATGGGCAGAGGTAATATGTCATAATTGATAACTATTAATGTAGGGAGTAAATAAGTGAAAGGTGTGACATATATGTATAAAATTAGCTGAGCAACAAAACTTTGGGGGTACATCTTATTACTTATATACTAAATTTCAAATTTTATATATTCTTATTAAATAATTGTTGAATTGTTCATACTTGTATCATGCATTTGATGTTTGCAAGAAGTAAATTATTTCTTCTTAATTATATTATTCAGAATCTGGGGAGTATGATGGAGTACATTTTGTCGAAAGAATACAAGGATCGGTTAAATATAATCAGTGATGTTCACAGTGAGTCCAGGAAGAGGGAACTACGTATTTCTGATGAAGAGGAGGACTTCCTTGATGAAGGTTCTATCATTTCTTACATTACTATTTGATAAAGAAAAAATCTTTAGAAAAATGTACCAAAAAAACTTATAGAAGAATGATGATGAAAGGGAATGGGATTTTAATCATTTTAACTTAAGTTTGTAAAATATGTATTTCTTGGTTTGTACACTGTGGTTTGCTTTAGAGACCAGTTACAATTGAGTTGTTTTTATCACAGGCACTGTTAATGAAAAAGGGTCTGAGTGTCCATATGCACTTAAAATGGCTGCCTGTCTGGTACTTCAAGAGATCACAACATTTTTAAGGGAAACATTCAGAGATCTACCAAAAGGTCGCGGGGCCAGGCAAGTGTGGGACCGTCCAACCAGCGCCACTAGGAGGTGGAGCAGCATTGTCAGCAGTCCAGGGCATTCCCAGAGTTCTGAGTCCAACATGGCTGACATTCCACATTCATCATCAGGTTTGTATTGGATTTTAGGCATGAGGTTATCAACTTTAATATCATACAAAATTTTATTTTAAGCCTACATGTAGTTAAGATTTGCTTATAAGACAGTACTGCAGTTTCATTGGATTTCAAAGTGAAATGAGTAAATCCTGAAACAAGTGGAGATTTCTGTTTTTTTGTAGCTGTGGTTGGGAGTCCGAGTGGAGACAACAGTAGGAAGATAAGTTTTGCTGTCCTTGGAGAGAGATCAGACTCGCTACATAGTAGCACTACCTCAATCTCTATGATGGCGGACCCTTCAGTATCACCCAACATCCACAGTGATGACAAAAAGGGTATTTGTGCTGTATTGCTTCAAAATGTGCCCCTACAGTTTATGCTGAGTTCCTTCTAAAATTGAATATTCCTTTTATAAATGTGATTTATTCTTTGTATCAGGGCGGAAATTAGCCACCACTAGACCGAAGATCAAACTTTTCAGGGGAGGATCTGGAAACAATTCAAGCTTCAGACTGAAAAAGGGCTTACAACAAAAACATGGAAGTAGTATGTAATTTGTTTTCAAACTGAAGATCAATTATTTCTTTTAATAATCTTATCTAACATTTAAGTAAACTTTTTCTTAGGTTTTAAGAGATATGGCAGTCAGAAGTCTCGTAAAGTGAGCAGCCAGTCACAGTTTTCAGACAGAGGGACCGAGGAAGATGTCGGAGTAGAGGACACAGAGTCCCTTCTCAGTGATGAGAATGAGGCCCCAGATCATGACGAGCCTAACGATGTCACCCTCTGTCACAATATGCCGTGGATTAAGGTTAATGTCATATGGATTCTTATAGACATATAAGAAGATGCAAAAGTGTGTGGGTAGAGGACAAGAGGCTTTCCTGTTGCCTTCTGAATTTAAAAAAAATTTGAATTTAGGCCTAAAAAAATTAATGTCTTGGTTCTCAGGCCCACCCGGATCTCGTTCAACAATGCGCATTACCCATTTTTATCCTCAAATGAATGAAATAAAATCTCTCTCATGCGCTCGTGTGGTGTCGCAAAAAAAAATCCGGAATCCCCGACCGCATTTTAACTGCATTTTAGAAATCAGTAAAACATTTGACAAACATCAAGATGATCCAGACTATTGGCCTAGTTAAAAAATTGCAAATATTGCTGTCGAGTTAGCAGGTTAAGGCGTCAAGATTAAGTTTAGTCATGATGACATTGATTTCAGTGCAAATTCTTAAGGGATTGACTGTAATACTTCCATGTTACAAAGTGGGGGTTTCTGAAAGTTTTTCAATGCTAGAATTCGAACAATAATGCTATCAAAGATGGTTTCCTCAACCTCGGAACCTTGATGTCAGCAAGATTTGCAGATTTCATTTAGTGTGGGTAAACCAAAGACTGATAAATTTGACAATGTTTAATGAAATCATAAGTGTTTTTTATAGTGCTGAAACACTCTTAGATTAATTGTGTTACATAAGCAATTGATCAGATTTATCACTAAAAGTGTTGGGTTCTATAAGTTTAACACGTCTGGTTTTTAGGATGTTGTCGTTTCATTACATGAATCATTGGAATGTAGAAGATGCAAGAGAAAAGAGAAAGAAGCAGGAAATAAATTATCTTAATTTCTACACTCAATGTTGAAGCACTGTTGATTAAAAGTTGCTAGTTTTGAAATTATGAAAAAAAAATAAAAAAAATCCCACGTCTGTTAAATATGAGACAAAAAAAAAGCCTCCCTCCCACATTTATTTTTGAGAAAACTGGCCTGAGAACCAAGTTATTAATTTTTTTTTTGCCTTATTCTTAAATTTCAATTGAAAATATTTCAAATTTCTACCTAAATTTCAGGTTGTAGTACAGCTTGCTAATTTATCCAACTTCATCTGTTCTCATCAAAACTTCTGTCACCCAAACTGCTACGAGCGCCAGAGAAGATCATGTTCCAGACTCATCACAGCTCTGAAGAAGATTTATCAATCCACGGAAAATGAGGAGGAGGAAAAGAAGCAGGAGACGAAGAAGGATTTCCTCAAAGAGAGGCTCAAGAGGAGGGTGGGTGTCTTAATATGTCTAAAAATAACCAGAATTTGTCACATTCTGAACTGGAGGAATTTAGTTGGATAACTCAATAACATTTGCTTCAATTTTCTCAATGTTTTATAAAGTTTCTTATTTAGAAATTGATTAGTATTGTTTGTAAAAAAAATTGAGCAAACTAAAGCTACATGTGTACTATTTCATTGACATAGTATTATCTTTTATTAATTTGTGATGCTATTCCATGTTTTACAGGGATCAATATTTCAACAAACCTCCCCTACTTGGAGAAGGGAGAGCACTCCATTGCTGGAGAAAATCAAGACTGATGTCTCAATGACTAAACTAAAGATGACGTCGACTTGGAAAAAAGAGGACAAACCAAAGGAGATCAAGGAAGATTCTGCAATGATAAAATACATTACATCACAGGTGAAATCAGCTATATGTAGTTCATGTGTAAAATCCCACTGCTATAATAAGGCCACAATAAATAAATTCCTAGATTCTCATCCCCGCCCGCCCCGATTTTTTACCCCGCATCAATTTTTTTTATTTCTGTTTTTCTTCGTCTTAATTCTGATCGGGATCGGTATCCAACTACCATTCAACTTTCGTTTTCAATCCTGTGATTGTCGGCATGATTTTGACAGCTGACAATTTGGTAAAGTTCTGCTGTAATATGAATTATGTAATATTCTGCTGTAATATGTATTAAACAAGGATCATTGGTTGTTAAAGATTGGTGATGATGTGTAGTAAGAGATATGCATGTTTAAATGAACCTCTACTATTACTTTCATTCGGGCATTATAGATAAATCTGCACCGATTGATCAGGTCAACAAAAAATCTGCAAAATGGAAAAAATATAAAATAAAAAAAGCCCACCCACCTCGATTTTTCAAAAAATTCGGATGAGAATCTAGGAATTTTTTTATTATGGCCTAAACCTCATGTGATAGCATATAAAGACAGGATTTATATAATTATGAAGTCATTATTTAATTAATGACTTCCTTCAAAAGATTTACTAAGTAGTATCTTGCACAGAAGTTAATCACGTAGTATATACAAACACAGCTTTGAGAATTACTGTTAATATTTTTAGAGGTTTGAAATTTTTACTGAAGAAGATTCGAGCAAAGAAAGTAATTACAGTACAGTTTTATGGCTCTGTATTTCATAATGCATTGTTTGACAGGCCCAAAAACTGACCCAGTGTCCCATGGGAATCATTGCTAAAGCTGCACCCATTTTGTCTGAGGAGAATCTTATTGACATCATTCCTGTGGCCTGGGAACTGATTCTAGAGACTGATCAGGAATTGGCTGCCTCTGCTGGTAATGGAAAATGTTTTAGCTCTTTCTAATTACATTTAATATACATGTATATCTTTAATTTTCCCCTTTGATGATATTGTTCTAGTCCTGTAAAAGATTAACAAAATTATTTTGAGTGTGCCAGTCTCACTCCTTTTCCTCCAGTATTTGAGAGTATCTTTGACTTTATTTTCAAGCTTCTGTGTTTCTACTGACCTCTGTGAAGTGCCCTGACAAGGCCCAGAAACTGATTGTGAAAGAAATGCAGCATGAGGATACCACACAGAGAATTAATGCTATTTTAAGGTAGGGTAGGCATTTAATTTACTTAAAGTTTAATTAAAGATAATTACAGTGAAACATGGTTACAGCAAACAGGTTGATAATTAATTCATGCTAACAGCAAAGTGATTTTCATTCCTTGTAGTCTTAAAAACTATTATGAACTTAATGGATATAACAAATTACGTTTATAAAAAACCAAAATTGTTAAACCCTTTCACTTCACTAAATGCATGTTTTACTGTAAATGTTGAAGAGACAGGGTTTTTAATGGAATTGCAATATAAAACTGATATCTTAAGCTTTTAAAATTTTAACTGTTCTTTCCTTTTGAAGATTTGGAACATTGTGGAAATTTAGGCATCAAGTCTGGCCAAGAATGGAAGATGGAGCAAACATGTTCTTCAAGGTCAATCAACAGTATTCACTTTCTACTATTGCTTAAATCAAAGGATGGTTTTGTTAGAACATTTTCATAGGTTTGTTTTATCTGCAGGTGCCCCCTCCCAATATAGACTTCACCTTGCCATCTCCTACTATAGGATTGCCCTCTCAGACTGTGGTGGACCCTCCCTGGACCCCTCACTTTAAGGCTAAGATAGAGGAAGTCACTGTTAATCAAGAGGGAACAGTAAGCTTTTTTGTAGAAAAAAATTCTGGAAAGGATGGATTCTTATGTTTTTACTTCAGATTTTCCACTTTCAGTAAGGATAAAAAAATTTGAAGAGTTGAACTCTGTAACACCATTTTTTTTGAATATAGAAATACCAATTCTCTTCTTTGAAAGATTTAAGTGAAGTTATATTGGAGATGAAAATTATTTCCGAAATGTTTGGACAGAAATCCTTAGTGACAGCCACAACAACTAGAAGAAAGGAGCAGCAGGAGATGATCAGGAAAGCTTTCCAGGCTGAGGAGGAGCGCAAGAGGGTGGGTCGAGAACGTTTTCCCATGACGACCATCCCTGTCAATCATCTAGCAGCGTACGAGCCGGCTATCCATCACGGAAGTGAGGAACATGAAGAAGGTAAGGGTGGTCCTCAGCATTAAGGGGCATGTCTTAGTATCGGTATCAGGGGCATGCTCAGGAGTCCAGGGTTCTAGAGCATGAGGAAATCTATGTACATCCTGACTGCACTAACAGAGTCCCCAGAATTAATATTTGTATTCCTGTTGTGTCTCATTCATTTGTCTCAACTAACTGCATTTTTCCTCTAATTTTCGAATTTCTTTTCTCTCTGTTTCGTGAAGTTTTGTTGTGTATAGTGAGGAAACCTAACATGATCATTATATACTGCAGACATAGGAAGAAAGACTCCACATGCAAATCTAACTTTTAACAAAATCTCTCCAAACCCAAGTCTAACATGCCTGTTCCATCCAGTAATCTTAGTAGTGAATCTATAAATTTGAATGACCTTTGACCCTTCACTGTTCCGTCTGCATTCTGTTCTTTTACATGTTGACCTCACTTGACCTTGTAGAGTTTAACCCATGTTGTACTGCTTGTGTGATGTTTAATGCCACCCGCTTGTATTTTGTGTCAATAGCTGTGATGACAGATGAACTTAGCAACCTGGCTGCTCGGCGTGTATCTATGGCTCCCATCAATCGAGCTAACTTACAAAGTCGTAGCATGTCATGGAGGAATGGTAGTGTCTATTGGGCAAGGCTGGAAGGTACTTAACATTTAGTGATCAAGTTTTCTTACTAAGAATTCTCATAAATAAACTGTATTTGGTAAGTAAAACCTTTAGGTGAAGTTTTTAAAGAATGTTCATCAGAGATGTCTTTATTAGGTAAGTAGATAAGTTATGTCTTTATTAGGTAAGTGGATAAGTTAGGATGAGAAAGTTTGGTAGAGAGATTATTTCCTGAAAATTCCAGGTATATAAATATATGTTTATGACATATTTTATGATTTATACTAAATATTTTTTTTTTTTACAACTGATTGAAAGTAAAGTGACTAAAAGTAAGTGAAGGGCATCAATATTGCATCCAATTAAATTTGTCATGACATGAAATATCCTCAAAATCTATTTTTGATTTTATCATTCACAGGTGAGGAGGAACGCCCAGAACATCTCCATCACATGCAGCAGGCTCAGACATTCTTCCCTTCCTGTATTTGTGCTGCCGTCCTTCCTGTTATACACCTGCTGGCTGACGGAGACGTGAACAGCGACGGTGTGTCTGTTAACGAGGTGGCAGAGAAGGTGATCTGGAATTGTATGGTGGAGGATCCAGTGTTATTTCTCAGACACTTTCTTGAGAAACTCACCCACAGAGATAAACTGGTACTCTGTCAATCATGACAACAGATATAATAGAGATAAACTGGTATTCTGTCAATCATGACAACAGATTTAACAGGATTAACTTGCACTCTATTAATAAAAATAAACATCCAAATAATCCTGATATAACATCCCAATAAACTGATACTCTATGATCATGTAAAATAGACTTACAAGTAGTCTTGTATAAATGTAACACTGTTACACATTTAAAAATACATACAGCTTATAAAGCCCTGTATTAACATACATTGAACTAGTATATACTGGTAATTAAAAAAGAGGTTCTGTTTATTAGAAGAGTTCTACTTTTGTTTTTAGGAGGAATTGCTTTTTTTGATGAGAAAACTAGTGCTGCACTACAAAGAGCTACCAGCGCAGATGGCACATGCTCTTTTTAATTATCTGGTAAGTCGAAATGTTGTAAAGCTCTGTAAACATGGATATTTTTATAAATTCTGCAATTTCCATGTGACAAAGCATTCATGTGGGGGTTATTTTTATGGTAGTTAAAGAATTCACAAACTGAGGTGGTTTGTTATTTAATACCAGACTCACATAATTTGGGAATGGTAATAAATTTTTGTGAAACTTTATTCATCACATAATTCACAAAACTGTCCCCCATGCAAATGTCTCATTTACAGTATTTAATGTTAAAAAATTAAATTTTCAAAAAAAGGAAAAAAAAACATTTGCATAGTCTGCAGATTGTAGAATATAGATTTTGTCAGTCCATAAGAAAACTATTATTATGCCCCCCTTCAATGAAGGGAGGGCATATTGCTTTGCTGCTGTCTATCTCTTGGTCAGCCTGTCCGTCTGTCAGTCCACCAACAGTTTCAGTTCATTTTCTTGCACATACTGAAATGAAATTTGGTAATCGGATTTATCATAAGAATATCTAGGTCAGGTTCTGTTTTGGGTACGATCAAGCAATTTTTGTCAGAGTTATGCCCCTTGGACTTGGAAAAATTCCAGTTATTTGCAGTTTCCTTTCATTTTCTTCGCAGAGGTTGCACATACAGAAATGAAATTTTGTAAACAGATTTATCATATGAATATCTATAGGTCAAGTTGTGTTTTGGGTACGATCAAGCAATTTTTGACAGAGTTATGCCCCTTGTACTTAGAAAAATTCCAATTATATGCAGTTTCTGTTCATTTTCTCTGCAAAGGGTGAACAGATTAATTACTGATATATCATGAGAAATGTGTTTTTGCCAAAGATGTGATGTAGAAGACTATTTCTGGTTGATGCATCTCAGATAGTACCAGTAGATGACCCCTATTGATTTTAAGTTCAAAAGGTCAATTTTATTTCCATGTACACTGCCCATAATGTACACTGTCCATGACAAAGGCTTGTGCACCCTATAATGTATGTCCAAGGGGGGGGCATAAGTGTTTCACAAAATCTCTTGTTTGTTATAGATTGGGTATGTGATGTTCTATGTGAGATCACCTTGTGCAGGCAGTCAGGAGGCCATAGCAGGTGCCCTAGCTCTGGTCTGGCAGGTAAGACAAATTGAATGGAATTATTGATCTTTGTTAAGTGTTAGACGTTAATCTCTGCAATATAGGTAACTCATTTTAGCTGTAATTTTCATATTCAATGAACATGTTAGAAGGCAATAAGTGGAAAATGTACATGTATGTTGACTTTGACCTTAGATGTGTTTTACCAGGAAAATAAGTTTCAGTTGGTTATTCTATACAAAATGCTTACTTGACAAAATCAAATATTTATTCCAATATTTAATATTTGTACATATGTACATAGAATGTGATGTCACTCTCAATCCTTAGACCTTTGATTTAAATTTTGTGATCTTGAAAAATTCACTTTAAAAGAGGCAAATATTGTTGTTTTTAATCTGGGTGGAACACAAAATCAGTTCACTATATCCATTAATTTAATATCATAAATATAATATCAGAGTTTGTTGTAACTGTAAAATTTTAAAAGGATTTGTTAAGAATTTTGCCAGGAATCCCAAAATTCATACTTCACACAAATATTATTTCTGTCCTGAAGGTGTGCCATGACCTGACCCAAGTTCATTCTGGTGAATTCAAGGTCACTGGCAGAAAAAAGTATAAAATTTGTGCCCAGTACATTACTGTCTAATGAATAAGTATAATAAGTTGAAACTTCAAACAAAGATTATTATTGAGCTGAAGGTATGTTGTAACAATGACCCAAGGTCATTCTGGCAAGCTCAAGGTCACTGGCAGAAAAAGTGTAAACTTCATGTCAGGTCCATAATTTTCTTCTGAAGAAACACTGGATTCCATATTTCACACAGAGATTACTTATTACCAGAGAATGTGTCATCTTTTTTTAACCATGGTAATTTTGACAAGTCCAAGGTCATGTGTCATCTTTTTTTAACCATGGTAATTTTGACAAGTCCAAGGTCACATTTGGATAACTATATATGGACACTTTAAAAAATTGTAAAGGGGGGGGATTATGTGAGCATACTTAAAGTACCTCTAGTTATAGAATTGTAAATACTTCATAATCCTGCTGTATTGTCTTAATCAGTGTCTTTTTTTTTGGTAGGTTATACCCAGTGTAGATGGGATCTACTTTAAGGATTTGAAACAAACGCTCAAAAAGGAACAATGTGATGTAAGTTTTTTTTTTCTTCTACTTTAATTTGATTGCATGATAAAATGAAACAATATTTCTCTAAATTTTGCATTTACATTGTTTTTCAGCCATACATTTTGATCTCTGCTAATGTTCCTAGTGCTAAAAAGATCTTGATTCATGGCCCTGATGAAGCCAGTATTCCCTCACAACTTCCTATACATGAGGTCTGTATCATTTCATTGTCTACACATGGTAAGCAGTATCAAGTCTGTTTTGTTGTCACAGTTTTAACAAGGTCAAGGGAGGTAATTTACATCTGTCCACTTTTCTCCATAGGACACTCAGTTTTCTCAGATTTTACAAGACAGTCTGGATTTCTTCAACATTCCCGAGGAAGATTATCCATTGTACTTCTTGGTGGACACCAAATCAAGTCAGTCATTAAACTTAGCCGATATATGACATGATTTTATGATACTTGTATTTATCTGGTACAAGCTTTTTAAAACTGCTCAAACACTGTGCACTGCTGTCAAAATCACCCTATTTAGCATGTATGTACTTGTAAATGTTCCTTTTTGGAGGATCCTAAAGATATATATTTTTTCCAGAGTGCCTTTAATTGCATTACATTGTCAAAGTATTGTAATATCCAGATTATGCCGTGTGTAAAAGTAGATAATTGTAAATGTACTCTGAACTGTTTTTTTAGCTCACCTGAGCCAAAGGCTCAAGTGAGCTTTTCTGATCAAAATTTGTCCGTTGTCTGTCGTCGTTGTTGTCGTTGGCGTTGGCGTTGTTGTTGTTGTTGTAAACTTTTCACATTTTAATCTTCTTCTCAAGAACCACTGGGCCAAATTCAACCAAACTTGCCACAAAGCATCCTTGGGTAAAGGGGATTCAAGTTTGTTCAAATGAAGGGCCAAGCCCTCTTTCAAGGGGAGATAATTAGGAATTCGTGAAAAAATAATGGCATCATTTAAAAATCTTCTTCTCAAGAACCACTGGGCCAGGAAAGATGAAACTTATGTGTAAACATCCTCAGGTAGTGTAGATTCAAGTTTGTTCAAATCATGACCCCCCGGGGTAGGGTGGGGCCACAATGGGGGATCCAAGTTTTACATAGAAATATATAGGAAAATATCTTTAAAAATCTTCTTCTTAAGAACAGTAAAGCCAAGATTGGTCATATTTATATGGAAACATCCTCAGGTAGTGTAGATTCAAGTTTGTTCAAATCATGACCCCCGGGGGTAGGGTGGGGCCACAATGGGGGATCCAAGTTTTACATAGAAATATATAGGAAAATATCTTTAAAAATCTTCTTCTTAAGAACAGCAAAGCCATGATTGGTCATATTTTTATGGAAGCATCCTCAGATAGTGAAGATTCAAGTTTGTTCAAATCATTACCCCGGGGATAGGTTGGGGCCACAATGGGTGATCAAAGTTTACAGAGAAATATATAGGAAAAAGTCTTTTTCTCAAGAACAGAAAAGCCATGATTAGTCAAATTGATATGGAGGCATCTTTCAGTAGTGTAGAATGAAATTTGTTCAAATGAGGGCCCCCGGGGGTAGGGTGGGGCCACAATGGGGGATCAAATTTTTACAAATGAATATATGGGAAAAAAATCTGCTGCTCAAGAACAACAAAGCCATTTGTTATATTGATATGAAAGCATCATCAGGTAGTTTAAAATTCAACACCCCCCTCCCTGTAAACTTTTCAATACTGTACTGATTTTTGCTTTTTTCCCTAGCCAATGTGCTCAGGTGAGCGATGTGGCCCATGGGCCTCTTGTTTTTTTTTTTTGATAGACCAAATACACAACCTAAACTCCTATGTCAGAGACTTTTACTTTTTCCGCCGGAATTTTTATCCTCAGCTTAGTTTGGTTGCAATTGATCCAGATAATGCAATGGCATCACTGGAAAGACAGGTTTAGTATTATTTCAATCCTATATTTCACACACTTTCTTGTTTGTAGATATATCAATAATTTGTACACCTTGTTTGATAGGCTTTTACCCTGAAGTTTGTGGAAATAGGAAAGATTCTTTTCACAACCAATGTCTTGAAAAGCACACCTTTGCATCAGGTATTTGTCTACCTTATTAAAACTATATAATTCATGAATGTTTATGAAAAATGATGTATGAAAACAGTGATCAAAATGGAACTAAAGATAACTAATGAATGATTGATAGATGTGATGTGTGGTGAGGTATACCTTAGTACATGTAATAAACATTGAGTAAGTGCACTAGTAGTGAATTCAGTGCATGTCTTCTTAGAAAAAAAATTGATCTATTTCAGATTCAGAATCACGTTAGTTTCCTCCACGAAGAATTGCTGAAGTTGCCATCATTTCCTAGAAAGGCGTTAGAAGCTGAGTTCAGTCTGTACAATGGGAAAGGAGGAGAGGTGAGTTATGTAGATTAAATCTCTGTAGTTATGTAGATTAATCTGTGTAGTGATGTAGATTAAAATCTCTGTAGTGATGAAGATTAAGTCTCTGTAGTGATGTAGATTAAAATCTCTGTAGTGATGAAGATTAAGTCTCTGTAGTGATGTAGATTAAAATCTCTGTAGTGATGTAGATTAAATCTCTGTAATGATGTAGATTAAATCTCCATAGTGATGAAGATTAAATCTCTGGAGTGATGAAGATTAAATCTCTGGAGTGATGAAGATTTAATCTGTGTAGTGATGTAGATTAAAATCTCTGTAGTGAATAGATTAAATCTCTGTAGTGATGAAGATTAAATCTGTGTAGTGATGTAGATTAAATCTGTGTAGTGATGTAGATTAAATCTGTGTAGTGATGTAGATTAAATCTGTGTAGTGATGTGGATTAAATCTCTGTAGTGATGTAGATTAAATCTGTGTAGTGATGTAGATTAAATCTGTGTAGTGATGAAGATTAAATCTGTGTAGTGATGTAGATTAAATCTGTGTAGTGATGTAGATTAAATCTGTGTAGTGATGAAGATTAAATCTGTGTAGTGATGAAGATTAAATCTCTTTAGTGATGAAGATTAAGTCTCTGTAGTGATGTGGATAAAATCTGTGTAGTGATGTAGATTAAATCTGTGTAGTGATGAAGATTAAATCTGTGTAGTGATGAAGATTAAATCTGTGTAGTGATGTAGATTAAATCTGTGTAGTGATGTAGATTAAATCTGTGTAGTGATGAAGATTAAATCTCTGTAGTGATGTAGATTAAATCTCTGTAGTGATGAAGATTAAATCTCTGTAGTGATGAAGATTAAATCTCTGTGGTTATGAAGATTAAATCTCTGTAGTAAATAGATTAAATCTCTGTAGTGATGAAGATTAAATCTCTGTAGTGAATAGATTATTCTCTGTAGTGATGAAGATTAAGTCTCTGTAGTGATGTAGATTAAATCTCTGTAGTGATGTAGATTAAATCTGTGTAGTGATGAAGATTAAATCTCTGTAGTGAATAGATTATTCTCTGTAGTGATGAAGATTAAGTCTCTGTAGTGATGTAGATTAAATATCTGTAGTGATGTAGGTTAAATCTCTGTAGTGATGTAGATTAAATTTCTGTAGTGATGTAGATTAAATCTTTGTAGTGATGTAGATTAAATCTCTGTAGTGATTAAGATTAAATCTCTGTGGTTATGAAGAATTAATCTCTGTAGTGATGTAGATTAAATCTCTGTAGTGATTTAGATTAATCTGTAGTGATTTAGATTAAATCTGTGTAATGATGAAGATTAAATCTCTGTAGTGATGTAGATTAAATCTCTGTAGTGATGAAGATTAAATCTCTGTAGTGATGTAGATTAAATCTCTGTAGTGATGAAGATTAAATTTCTGTAGTGATGTAGATTAAATCTCTGTAGTGATGTAGATTAAATCTCTGTAGTGATTTAGATTAATCTTTAGTGATTTAGATTAAATCTCTTTAGTGATGAAGATTAAATCTCTGTAGTGATGAAGATTAAATTTCTGTAGTGATGTAGATTAAATCTCTGTAGTGATGTAGATTAAATCTCTGTAGTGATTTAGATTAATCTGTAGTGATTTAGATTAAATCTGTGTAGTGATTTAGATTAAATCTGTGTAGTGATGTAGATTAATCTGTAGTGATGAAGATTAAATCTGTGTAGTGATGTAGATTATATCTGTGTAGTGATGAAGATTAAGTCTCTGTAATGATGTAGATTAAAATCTCTGTAGTGATGTAAATTAAATCTCTGTAGTGATGTAAATCTCTGTAGTGATTTAGATTAAATCTGTGTAGTGATTTAGATTAATCTGTAGTGATGTAGATTAAATCTCTGTAGATCTTTAAGGTAGGGAGGTCAGAGAGAGATCAGCAGAATCTTTGTCTGATTAAGATTATAGATTATATACTGTATTTATTTTTAATGATATGAACTTTTCTTTTTTTACAGGAGATCTATGGTTTGGACACTCTACATAAATTCTCATGGGTGAAGGTAATCAATTTTTACATATAATTAGTTACACATAAATTTCTTAAAGTCAACAATTGTGATGTAAAATAGCTGTAGAAACACAATAAAAATGCTCATTGCTTTCATAGTAACAAAACTTTTCAGCTGATAGCCACGCTGTTTTCCTCCATGTCTAACTCGTTTTCATGGAGTAACGACCTTCAGTTGTTCCTCAATGTCATCAATGGCTGTATTATCCTTCACTGTGAGGACACGGCTCTCCTTAGATTCTGTCTGGCTTCGCTGATCAACACATCCAGGCACTTTAAACATGTCTTCTCCATGAATGGGTGAGTTACAGCCTTATTGATGAGTATATACATATAGGATAATCATGACAATAATGTCTGTCTGTCTGTCTGTCCATGCAGTCAGACCAAGCCCATCAGTTTGTTATGGAGGATCATTGACATAAAGATGATTTAAGGGTGTGTCTTGACCTTTAACCAAATATTGTTGGTAATTAAGACACTTTGACCCCACTTTGTATTCTAGGTTTATGCATGTGATGCCCACACTTTTGAAGACCTACAGTAACAATCAGCCAAATCCAGTGTTGTGTCAAGCCATAGAGTTTGTGTGTAGACAGTTTTACATACTCCATCGCAAGCCATTCATACTTCAGGCAAGTCAACTTAACCTCAACTTTAGGTTCATTTGGATTGCAGATAAGTTAAATGCCTAAGTTTTTTTTAATGACTGATTTAGAGACATTCATCATTAAAATTTACAAGAAATATTTGAATTGTTATACTTTGACCTTTATAAGCAGATCATGAATAAGTAATTACATTGAATAATGATGCTCTATACACTACAAATATCTACAGAGTCGCCACATCTTTTCTTTTCAGATGTTTGGAAGTATAGCCAACATGTTGGACATGACTTCCAAAGACACCGGAATGATTGACTGCAGAAAGGTCTGTAAATGTAGATCATTCATTTCTGTAGAACATGCAGCATTCTGACTCACTTGATGTTACCTTTATTGTGTTATTATTTCTCTGTCCAGATACAACCTGGCTGTTTGTTTAAGCTGTTGCTCTCCCTAGAGAAACCAGACTGTGCTGACAATTTGAGTGTCTTAGAATTGGTGGATGGTGAAAAACCTCTCCAGGCTCTTGTGAGTAGTTTAAGAAGTTCCTCATAAGATGTCATACAGTATTAAAGTTTGTGCTTATAAACATACACTCACAGGAACTTACAGATTTTATATTGACTTGGTGATGTATTCTCTGTAGGACTTTTGCTATGAGAATGACCCTGATAGATTGTCCATGATTGAGGTCATCAATCTGTGTGTAACAGTTATAGCTTATGCCCCGGACTCTTTTAGAAGTGTTCAGATGTTGGTAAGTAAAAAGCAGTACAGAAAAAAGTACTTTTGTGTCAGCTATGTTTCCTTGTAATAAATTTATCCCAATTTATTTATTTTTTTTTTATTTTCTCAGACCATCCTAGAGGTAGTGGTGTCTAAATATGTCCAACATGTGAAAAGTGAGACAATTCGTGTGGATAAACCACACGCGGCTCAGGCAGAAGTGTCTGCTATCAATGATGTAGGCATAGCTATGAGGGCTCTCATCAGCTCTTGTGAATACTTTACCAGGTAAATTCAGTTCTAGAGCCAAGATTGGGGAATTTTTAATATAACTACATGTATATTCCAATGTATGTGACTTTCATTGTTAACATATTTTTCACTTGAAAAGGAGTATGGCACTACCAAGACAGATAGAAAATGAGAAAGCTAACCCTAAAAGTGTCGCCAGCAATCACTCACCTCTTGGAGGAACTAGTTACTATGACGATAGAGAAGACTCCCACATCAGGTCATTTTCTGGAAATTCTATGCAGACAAATCTGACATAATCTTTCATCAACTAGAATAGTATTTTATTGCTAGTTTGGTGAATAGGTCTCTAGTGAGATTGATCAATTGATTGTATGTTGTTTTATGTCCCATTCGAGAATTTTTCACTCCTATAAACACCTCTGTCTTTAGTGGGATAAATTTGTTAACCCAGTTTGTTAGAGAATGAATTTTGGGCAAGGATGGAAATACAGTATCAGAACTTTGTTTTCATTTTTCTCACCCAGAATTATTTCACATCAGGGGTTGCCAATTGTTTAACTACTAAAGCGCTGATCATTTTCTGAGAAAAAAAATTGTTTCCAGTATTGATCATCTTTGTACAGTCTTTGTACATGTATAGTCAAATGTCACTCTCTTGAACTTGATGGGATTGAGAAAAAATTTCAGAATATCCGAGGATTTGAGATATCCATGGTAAAATACTTAAAGACTAAGTGGTTGGGACTTTTGGATCACTTTGACATATTCATCATATTCCAGATATTGATGTTCGAGATACGTAGTTCAACTGTATTAGAAAATTGATACGAGTGTAAATTAAACAATAAAATGCTTTCTTTGGTTGTTAGTACGAGAATTAATGTTGCATGATGGAAAAGCCACTGATCAAGAAATCTGTTGAGTTGATATGCTTAGTGGTGTTTACTGACTGATAAACGGCAATGGTTTTCTTAAAAAATAAAGGAGATATTATTCAGTGGGTGTAAATATTATATAGTAAAATGCCCATATTTTCAGTCGCCATGTTGAGGAGGGAAGGAAGAAGCAGTATACACAGGAGACAGAGGACACAGAACTGACCAATGAATTCAGGAAACCCCGGGATTTATTCCTGACGGTCATCGCTGAGTTCTACAGCACTTGTCAGCCTCGACTGAGAAGTAATGAGCTGAGGAGGATGTTAGTCGACGCTGCCTCACGACCTCCAACCGAGTTACTAGACCATAAATCTCACAATGTAAGATTGAATTATCCCAACAAATCTCATAATATAAGATCTCATTATTACCACTTATCTCACAATGTGAGATAGCATTATCACCACTTATCTCACAATGTAAAATCTCATTATCACCACTAATCTCACAATGTAAAATCTCATTATCACCATTAATCTCACAATGTAAAATCTCATTATCCCTTTAAATTTCACAATGTAAGATCTCATTATCACCACTTTTCTCACAATGTAAGATCTCATCCCCACTAAACTCACAATTTAAGATCTCATTATCCCCACAAATCTCACAATGTAAGATCTCATTATCCCCACTAATCTCACAATGTAAGATCTCATTATCACCACAAATCTCACAAATGTGAGATCTCATTATCTCACAATGTTAGATCAAATTATCCACACTTATCTCACAGTTTAAGATCTCTTTAACCCCACAAATCTCATAATGTAAGATCACATCATCACCACAAATCTCTCAATGTAAGATCTCATTATCCCACAAATCTCACAATGTAAAATCTCATTATCACCATTAATCTCACAATGTAAAATCTCATTATCCCTTTAAATTTCACAATGTAAGATCTCATTATCACCACTTTTCTCACAATGTAAGATCTCATCACCACAAATCTCACAATGTAAAAACTCATTATCCCTTTAAATCTCACAATGTAAGATCTCATTATCCCCACTAATCTCACAATGTAAGATCTCATTATCACCACAAATCTCACAAATGTGAGATCTCATTATCTCACAATGTTAGATCTCATTATCCACACTTATCTCACAGTTTAAGATCTCTTTATCCCCACAAATCTCATAATGTAAGATCACATCATCACCACAAATCTCTCAATGTAAGATCTCATTATCCCACAAATCTCACAATGTAAAATCTCATTATCACCATTAATCTCACAATGTAAAATCTCATTATCCCTTTAAATTTCACAATGTAAGATCTCATTATCACCACTTATCTTACAATATAAGAACTTATTATCACCACAAATCTCACAATGTAAGATCTCATTATCCCCACTAAACTCACAATGTAAGATCTCATTATCCCCACTAAATTCACAATGTAAGATCTCATTATCCCCACAAATCTCACAATGTAAGATCTCATTATCCCCACTAAACTCACAATGTAAGATCTCATTATCCCCACTAAACTCACAATTTAAGATCTCATTATCCCCACAAATCTCACAATGTAATATCTCATTATCCCCACTAATCTCACAATGTAAGATCTCATTATCCCCACTAAACTCACAATGTAAGATCTCATTATCCCCACTTAACTCACAATGTAATATCTCATTATCCCCACTAATCTCACAATGTAAGATCTCATTATCCCCACAAATCTCACAATGTAATATCTCATTATCCCCACTAATCTCACAATGTAATATCTCATTATCCCCACTAAACTCACAATGTAAGATCTCATTATCACCTCAGTGTGAAAATCAATGATACTGAAATCTTCTAGAGGAAAATTCCTCAACTGTAATCTCATTCATGGCACTCAGGTTTTGAATTTTTGAATTGTAATCTGATTGTAGAGATTGGCAGAAATAGCTAATACACTGCTAAAGTTAGCCCCTTATGATCCTCAAACACTCAGCTGCACTGGACTTCAGAGGTAAGATGTTAAAGCTAATGGTAAGTCTGGAAAGCTTAACAATTTAAGTTAAATTTATCAAGGTATTTGTATTGTGCAAATGTTTAGTGGTAACCTTCAGGGTGTGGTAAGGCCTCAAATATCAACGATAACCTCTAGGGGCCTCAGTAAGGGATTCAATTGGTGTAATTGCATATGAAAAATGTATTTGTTTATTTTCAGGTATATGATGGAAATACTACCACTGACAAACTGGAAGCAAGAAGCAGTGAGGCCTGGACTGAATCTGATCCTCAGACGCCTCGATCGACTTTTTAACAAAATCTCTAAAAAGTCCTCACTCAGGGTAAATAAAATTACCCAAAATTCTTATCTGTCAATCAGGTTAGACTCCATGATTATCTTTTGATTGCAGCCTTCTGTTTCATTTGCTAATATTACTTTGACATTACTCTTCAGAGACAGGCAGACTGGAATGCAGCAGCCAACCTTCTACAAGGTAAGAATGATCAATTACAAATACCTTCTACAAGGTAGGAACGATCAATTATAAATACCTTCTACAAGATAAGAACTATCAATGATCAATTATAAATACCTTCTACAAGGTAAGAACGATCAATTATAAATACCTTCTACAAGGTAGGAATGATCAATTACAAATATCTTCTACAATGTAAGAATGATTAAATACCTTCTACAAGGTAAGAATGATCAATTTTTATACCTTCTACAAGGTAGGAATAATCAATTACAAATACCTTCTACAAGGTAGGAATGATCAATTACAAATACCTTCTACAAGGTAGGAATGACCAATTACATACAAATACCTTCTACGTGGTAGGAATAACCAATTACAAATACCTTCTACAAGGTAGAAATGATCAATTATAAATACCTTCTACAAGGTAGAATGATCAATTACAAATACCTTCTATAAGGTAGGAATGATCAATTACAAATACCTTCAATTACAAATACCTTCTATAGGGTAGGAATGATCAATTACAAATACCTTCTGCAAGGTAGGAATGACCAATTACAAATACCTTCTACAAAGTAGGAATGATCAATTACAAATACCTTCTGCAAGGTAGGAATGACCAATTACAAATACCTTCTACAAAGTAGGAATGATCAATTACAAATACCTTTTACAAGGTAGGAACGATCAATTACAAATACCTTCTACATGGTAGGAATGATCAATTACAAATACGTTCTATAAGGTAGGAGTGACCAATTACAAATACATTCTACAATGTAAGAATGATCAATTACAAATACCTTTTACAAGGTAGAAATGATCAATTACAAATACCTTGTATAAGGTAGGAATGACCAATTACAAATACATTCTACAATGTAAGAATGATCAATTACAAATACATTCTACAAGTTAGGAATGATCAATTATGAATAGCTGCAAACCAATATAATGTTTTTTTATACACACAAGCACTCTTGGTTTTAATTAGGGATGGGTATCGCCAAAAATTTTCGTATCGTGATATATCACGATTTCCCCCAAAATATCACAATAATGTCATGATATTTTTACAAGCAATTCTTACAATGATTTTAAAGGAATATTCATAATTTTTCAGAAAAATAGGCAGGAAAAACATAACTTCACTTTTTTCATTTTTTGAATTACATAATTTCAAGCAATTTTGGATGCTAAGATGTCATTCTTTTGCTGTTTTCAACATTTTTTACACTTCATGTAATTATAAATTGAAAGATTGAACAAATAAATGAATAATTTCTGGAATTTATAACTATGTACCTAAATACCGATATTTTAGTCTCTGTATCATAATATGTATCACGCAATTAAATATCACGATATACTGGTATACCGATTAAATCGCACATCCCTAGTTTTAATGACAGTAGACTAGGACAAATTATGCAACAAACACTTGATGTGCTTACTGTGAATTAGATTTAGATACATTGTATTCATTTTCTTTTTAATACATATACAAAAATATGTATGTACTCTTACTTTGTTAGTATTTTAGCAAACTCAAAACATCCAAGTAAAAAAAGCATTTTTGTTTTGGTTCTTGTGAAACAGTTGAGAATTTGTCAAACCAGGCAATCTATCAAAAGTATAAATTAACATTTTGTGATAGAAGACTCTAATTCAAAGCAATTTCTGATTGAAATGAAAAGGAAAGCTAAGGTCAGCCTTAGTATTTGTTGTAAAAGTTAATGTTCCCAAATGGACAACCAAACCCTTACTAAAGAACTGGAAACTAGTCAATATTAGATGGTGTTGCAAAATTCAGGCTGTTGCTAATGTATGTACTTGTAACAAATGCACTTTGTTTTTTTTAGAAGAAAAAAATCATGAATTTGTGATTCTCAACTATATAATTAACATTAATTTAAACTTACAACTTAACATATTGGTTTACTATTAGTTGTTTTTGTCTTCACATAATGAGCAATTAATGTCTTTCAGAGAAAAATCTGTTTGCAAAATAATTTACATTTACCCATCATTTTGAGTACACGTACCTTTACAACTGTATTGTAGAAATACTGTATGTCACCACATAATATACTGAAGTTTGATAAAAATAGTCATCCTGTACATCTACATTAGAGACAAGATTTGACTGGGATGTTTAATGATTTATTAGACAGAGCAGGTAGAAAGGTGTGTTCAAAGACTTACAAGATTCTTTAAACATGAAGGTGGTTCATTTATTTGCAAGATTGATCAATAATTATTCAATGATAACAAGATGTTCACAGATTTATATGATTGATCAAGTATGAAGTGGTTTTTCAATGATTATAAGATTGATGATCATGTAGGGATATTCATTGACTTGGAGATAGAGTGATGCTTTATGTTGGGGTGTTCAAGGATTTACCACATGGTTTGATTACTTAGTAGTGTTCAAAGATTTACAAGATTATTATTTAGTAGGGTTCAAAGATTTACAAGTTTGATTAATGATATAGGGGTGTACAATATTTACAAGGTTGATTGATTATGTATGGGTGTTCAAGATTTACATGGTTAATTGATCATGTAGGGGTGTACAAGATTTACAAGCTTCATTGATTATGTAGGGGTGTACAAGATTTACAAAGTTAATTGATTATGTAGGGGTGTACAAGATTTACAAGGTTAATTGATTATGTAGGGGTGTACAAGATTTACAAGGTTGATTAATGATATAGAGATGTTCACTGATTTACAGGTCTGATTGATCATGTAGGAGTGATCACTGATTTTCAAGGTATATTGATTATGCTGAGGTGTTCACTGATTGCTGAGGTTGATTGATCACATTAGGGTGATCACTGATTTACAAGGGTGATTGATCATGTTGGGCTGTTCCAGATCTACAAGGTTGATCTATGATGTAGGGGTGTTCACTGATTTGCAAAGTTGATTGATCATGTACAGGTGTTTGATGATTTTCAAGGTTTATTGATTATGCTGAGGTGTTCACTGATTTACAAGGTAGATTGATCATGCAGGGGTATTCACTGATTTTTAAGGTTGATTGATCATAAGGTGTTCACTGATTTACAAGGTAGATCAATTTTGTAGACTTTCAAGATTGATGAATTATTTAGGGGTGATCAATGACTTACAATAATGATGGATCATCTAGGAATTTTTCATTGATTTAAAAGATTGCTCGATTATGTAGGGGTGTTCAGCACTATGAGGAAGAATCCAGATCTGAGCCATTTCCAGCACACCAAGGTGACAAGGCATGAGGATCTCCATTTTATTTTCAGTCTTGCTTGACCTTATCTATCATTAACTGGCGCCATTAATGCTTGGAGTATCCAAAGCCATTCTTAAGGCATCACAAGGTTTAAATTTGTATAAAGAGAGGAAGTGAAATTAATGTTTTGTTTTTTGAATCTCCGTACCAATTTAATTTTGGTACAAAAGATCAAAAAAGTATTTATAAACACAAGTCTTGTGCAAGTATTTGTTGAAAATTAATAACTGGTTAAAATTAGCAAATTGGGCAAACATTCGATTTATTTATTTACTGGTATTTATTATTTTCAAAATTTCAGTCCTAAATACTGGTATAGGTACATCAACGACCAACCTGCAGAAATTGTTAGCAATTTTTTTTTTGGTATTCTTTTAATTTTGAATGGCTTTGGAAATTTAACAATTTAATGCTTATATGTAACTATGTAATGTGCATTTTAACAAAACTTGTATTGGTCCTGACTACAGATGTTTTAATAAGAAACAGGTCTATGTTTAGTGAATCTTTTTCTCTGTCCTTAAATTGCTTGTCTATCCATTATCTCAACAGAGAATATTAAACATTTTAGATATGCATATCTGACATAAGGTTATCTTTTGTAACAATTTTTGTTTTATTTAAGGCACATACATTTATCATGATGTAAAATATATCCATTTTGCTGTATATTATGTGCATATGAAATAATATTTAACAAGAAGTGTAGGAAAATGTACTCAAATATGTATATACTAGTACCGTATATAGGATACTGTATACAGGGTTATATCACCCCATTTTGTCCTTTAACACCTGCAAATAATTTTGACCCATATTGAATTCATCCAAACACAGTTGTGTTAAGATAATGCTGTCTTTTTTAGATTTGCCCCATTTTAAATTCACCCACTTGTGATGATGGCAAAAGAGGCAAAAATGGGGTGAAAATTTCCTTGTATACACATGATACAGTATATAAAACTAATGATCAGGGACTTGTCCCATTATAAAAATTAAGGACTTACTGTAACTTGCTATACACTTGTTGAATTATCATTCAGCTGTCATCCAGAATTTATTTTCTAGCAATAGATTATAATGCTTTTATATTTGATTCTAACATTAACACTGAACTAACTGTATAAAAAACTGATTAACTGTAATGCTGTTGTAATCACCAAGCCAATAACATCTTATGGATTTGTCTTGCTTGAAGGTGTATATTTGGCACTAAAGACATTCCAGTATATTGCCCATTTACCCCACCTAAAGGTAACCAAGTAACAAAGGGTATGCATGGCTAGCGGTCCTAGAGATCTGGGGGGTGCATGTCTGGTGGTCTGTAGATAGCCCTGGCATGTCAGAATATAAAGGTCAAACTGTGGTGGTCTGTAGATATATATAGCCCTGGCATGTCTTCTTTTTCTCGAAATGACCATCTACAGTGGTACCTTGACTCTTTGGTAGTGAAGCTCAGATTTTGCTAAATGTGTGTTGTGTCTTCATGCTCATTTTGTATCCCAGCAAGTTTAAGCCACTTATTTGGTGTTCTCTGTAGAATTTGTCAGGAAAGGCAGATGACAAATTGCAAATGAACATTTGAGTAATTGAAGAATACTGAAATTCATAGAAATCATAGATGAAACTTAACTTTTTAGCTAATGGTCATTTCTCTTGTGGCATTTTGTGTCAGCTCTATCCATTATTTGCTTTGTGTCTGCATCTTGCTGTTTGAATCTTGGAGCAATTACTATAGTATTGTATTTTTTATTTTTTGTATGAGAAGCTTTTGTGTATTGCATGATCAATATTGTAAAAACTCTGAATTGATCAAAGGACCATAATTGCTTATTTAGGGTATAGTTTTCAAAATTATAAAGTCAATATTTTTTAACATGTTGAATTTTAAACATTATTATAACATTAAACTCAAAAATTAATCATGTTCATTTTTGGTGAATTTGTCCAAGTTAATATTGTGCATGCTATTTCAAAGCAAATTCAGTTACATTTTTTTCTTTTAAAAAACAGGTTATTTTCTTCAATCATTGTATACTCTGATATTGTGTAAGATCAGACTTTACTAACTAGACACTGGTTATTTTGTACAGACCTTTGTCAATGCTCTGTTGGTGATCGTATTGGCTGGTCCAGGGGCACCTGTATTACCTGACACTTCCTCCGGCATACATGGTAGCCATCGCAGCGAGTTTGGTACTGTGTTTCATATTGTACCTCCTGCTTTTTGTTCAGCTGTGGTCAAACTAGTAGCCATGCAGATGCAAGCTTTAGGGGTAGGCAAATTTGGAAAATTTGTGAACCTTTTTGTAGTTTGAAAAACTCAAAAGAACCTTTTTTGAGAGTTCATTATAGACCTTTCAACTCTTGTGGTGAAGTAAATGTAGAAATTTATGTGTGGGGGTAATTTATACTAAATACATGATAAGAATAATTTTACTTAAATATTCCTTTACATACCAACACATTTATACATGTTTTTATTCAGTTTTAACAATCACAGATATAGTCCTCACATGTAATGTGCTTGGTACCAATTTGCATAATTAACAACACACATAATAATATAAATATCCATGTTAACAGTAGTATGATTTTACTGAAATCCCCATGTCTGTTCATTTATCTCTGTGTTTAATAGATGCAGATAAAAGATCACCTTGATGGGCATTTCCAAAATAGACTTGCTTAAAAATGAGTTCATATGGATGTTTAGTCTATTTCTTAATATGCTGCATTACCCCACATCTCAAGTTCCATCAGTCAAACAAGATGGCATTTATGTCTTGCATGACCTTTGGGAAGTGGATACAGTAAAACTCGGTTATAACAAAGTCACTGGGACCTGTGAAATTACTTCATTAAGTCTGTACAAGAAAACATAAAATTTATATACCTGGGAATTCAAGAAAATTTTACTATATAAATTCGCAATACTTTGGAATCATCATTGTTTAGGGGAAGGGGGGGGGGGGGGTGGATTTCCTGGGTTACCCTTACCCATGAATGGATTTCCTGGGTTACCCTTACCCATGAATTTACATCCCCACTAATGTTTATTTTTTAAACATGATTCATTGAATCTACCATATGAACGGGTAACCCACAAAATTACATTTCCCAGGCAACAAGTAAAATTTTTGGCTTCCCCCAAACATTGATGCTCATGAATTAAAATGATTCCACAATCGTACTAAACAAGTTTTACTGTACAAACCGACCATGCTCACCTGGGCCATCTTCAATGGTTATTCATTGAGCTGTTGAAATATGCTACTTATAGAGCATGCCCCCAAAAAGGTATCAATCCTCTTGGGAAGGTTATAGCTTCACCTTTTTCTTTTAGGATCAATTTTCCCTGGAACAGATTTGTGGAGGAAGTGTATTTTCTTCACATGAAAAGTGTATCAATATGCTGGTTAATTTTATTCTTCCTCTCTGCATAAGATTGGGATGTGCAAGGAGGGGTAAGTAGTCCTTTTATTTAAGTGTCCTTGAATTGAATTCAACTGAAATTTTAAGTTTTCATGCTTTAAATCTTTATATTACATTATATTCAATCATATTCTCTGTATTTATAGGTGACACACCGAAGCTAAGATCAGACAATGTCTCGTTTGCCCTGACGGTGATTTTGAATGTTCTGTGTCCTCCTGCTAGAATCCCACAACAGCATCAACAGAATTCCACTGCAAAATCTGTGATCCACCACATGTCTTTCACAGAGAATCACAGATGTAGCAGCTTCGGTCAAGCAGATAAAATTCACAGACCAGAAAATCAGCTGCTCCTAAATGTGGCCTACTTAGGTATCCTCTCTCCAAAGATTAACATAAATGACAATTTATGCCATTGCATTTCAAAAATTATTTCTTCTGGATTGGTCTTATCAATGACAAAATCATGTCATTTCCTTTCCATCATAGGTCTGGAGATCTTGATGGTGTGCTTTGATCGAATCCTGTCCTCTGAGTGGCACAAGGTCACAAAGGTGATCCAGGATATAGGCAGTAAAGGAAAAGGTGAAATAAAGTGATTAACTCTGATTTCTTGTACTCTTTGTAGGGAGGTATCAGAACTGTATGCACTATCATCACATTTTTCTTTGTTCTTCTAGTATCTTTACCACTGTGGAGATTTGTGGACTTTTTGGTCACCCATAGACCTTCGTGTTTCTTGATGCTGCAGCCCTTCATACTCTACAAGGTAGCTCTTTACATGGACTGTGGATCATTAAATGAACCAAAACTAAATATTAAGGAAGTGTTTATAATTTGGTACTGTATTTCTGTAGATGATGAAGATAAACTGTGACACTGCCCAGGAATACTACCTACAGCAGGCCATAAAAGACAAAATGCAGGGATTTTCCTTCTCACATCCAAAGTGTTCTGCCACAGTCTTACTGCAGCTGGCTGTGGACCTACAGCATCTCAAGGAGGAGTTCTATAATGTGGGTGAGTATTTACACGAGTCAAAGAGGAGTTCTATAACATAGATGAGTATTTACACAAGTTGTGTATAATATGGATGAATATTTACATGAGTTGTCAAAAAGGAATTCTGTAATATGGGTGAGTATTTACATGAGTTATAACAAGAGTACCTCAAAGCTTTTACCTGAACAATGCAAAAATCTTATGCATCCCAATGAAGACTTAATATGCATCATAATAGTTTCAAAATTTTGTAAAAAATTGTAACGTTTGCCCAGGTACACCGAATGAATAAAATCAGTTAACTGTTTTATTGGCCCATAAGCTTTACTAAGAATTTTCAATGGCATATCCTATTCACACAAAGTAATATAGTTTGTTTTTCTATTTAGGAGAGGTGCGTTCTCTGGATGCTGACCTCCCTCACAATCAGTATGAGCAGCGAGCCAGTGTAACAGACATAGCAATTGATTTGATTGGATTATCTCTTGGACCAACATTGGCAGCTGGTGGAAAATTCCCCAGTGGTAATAGAGTTAATTCCCTTTACCAATTCCTTCTTGTTTCATTTACTTTCAATTAAAGCAATGTTACAGGAAGGGCAAAAAAGTTATTAAAATGTTTGTTGCTAAAAGAATTTGCTCGGAATAGGCCAGTTTAAGTTTTTTTATAATATCTTTTTAATGTTTCAAATTTTTACACTAGGGTACAGGTTTATTGATTTAAAGGTGATTTATATTTGTATCAGACTCTGATAGCATTTATTTTTTCATTATCTTAATTTCATTTACATTTCTTTATTTAATTTAGCCACCATTTTGTCCCAGCCAAGTTCTAGCACGAGTCCTCCATTTAAAGCCACTGCTGTGGCCTCAAGTATTGAGAGTGACAGTCCTACACATACAAACCCCAAGGCTAGTCGACGAATCTCGGCCAAAGAGAACCTTAGTATTCTGGAGAGATTTCGTAAACCAACAATGGATGACATTTCACCATTGGGTAGGCTTTCCAAATGGGAGTCTTTTTAGCTCACCTGAGCTGAAAGTTTAAGTGAGCTTTTCTGATCACTCATTGTCTGGCATCTGTCTGTGTAAACTTTTCACATTTTTATATCCCCGCTCCGAAGGAGAGGGGGGTATACTGTTTTACCTTTGTGTGTCTGTCTGTGTGTCTAGCTGTCTGTGTGTCTGTCTGTCCGTAACCAATTTTTCGTCACAGTTTTCTCAGCAACTACTCACCACAGATGCTTGAAATTTTAGCACACACTTTGTTGAGGTATGCCATATGGTGGGATTCATTTCTGTATGAATCCGATGTCAACTTCCTGTTTATCTGTGCGTCTGTCCATACCATACATAATTTTGGTCGCAGTTTTCTCAGCAACTACTGATTGCAGATGCTTGAAATTTTAGCACACTCTTTGTTTAGGCATGCCATATAGTGGGATTAATTTTTGTACGAATCCAATGTCAACTTCCTGTTTATCTATACGTCTGTCCCCGTACCATACATAAAAATTTTGGTCACAGTTTTCTCAACAACTACTGATTGCAGATGCTTGAAATTTTAGCACATTCTTTGTATAGGCATGCCATATAGTGGGATTAATTTTTGTACGAATCCGATGTCAACTTCCTGTTTATCCTTGTGTCTGTCCATAACTGAACTCGTGTACATTCACATCAAAGCGGGGGTGTTACTAGTGAGCATTGGCTAACAGACTTCTTGTCAATTTCTCAAGAACCACTGGGCTAATTTAAACCAAAGTTGACACAAAGCATACTTGGGTAAAGGGGATTCTAAATTGTTCAAATGAAGGGACATGCTCCATTCCAAGGGGAGATAATCAAAAAAAGCCAAAAATAGGGTGGGGTTATTAAAAAATTTTCTCTCAAGAACCACTGAGCCAGAAAGGTAAAACTTATATGGAAGTGTCCTGAGGTAGTGTAGATTCTAAATTGTTCAAGTCATGGCCCCCGGTTTTAGGGTGGGCCACAATAGGGGATCAAAGTTTTACATTGACATATATAGGAAAATTCTTTAAAAATATTCTTACATGAAATATATGGAGATAACGAACAGTATTCAAGCTCAAAAGTCCATTCAACAATACAAAATAGGAGCAGAGCAAACACGGACCTCCAAACATCAGAGGTGGGATCAGGTGCCATGGAGGAGTGAGCATCCCCTGCCGACCAGTCACACCCGCCGTGTGTTCCTTGTCATGATCGGGTTATAACGGAAAAATCTGTCGACAGTTCAGTGTGTAAATAATGGCCTAACAATTAGTGTGAAAGATGTCAGTCAGCATTTGACTCAATGATAAATTGTATTTGCTGACAAGGTCATTGTATCGACCATAGAACTTACGAAATGATGACTTTAAATGAGACAGCTGATATTCTTGTTTCATCAACTTGTTTGTCAATAATTTACCTCATTTTAGAAATTGTACATATGTAGAGCATGCTCTTGCGTATCGAATCAACAGAGAGATATATACCCCGGTGAAGGTATGTTGCTGCATAAGTAAGGGAAGTTGACGATTGAAAAGTTAAAGTCATCACGTTTATCATAAAGCTTGGTAGTTAGATTACCATTATCGTCTTTTTCAAGTAAAATATCCAAATATGAAACAGATGTGTCAGACTCTGTGGTATCTTTTATCTCAAGCTCACCAGGATATATTGTATCGACATAAGAATGGAAATAGCCATTGTTGATTGACAATATGTCGTCGATATATCTAAATGTCGAGTTGAACGCCACAGCAAGTGTTTTCTTCTTTTCACGTACAAGATTTTGGACAAATTCTGCTTCATATGAATACAAAAAAAGGTCTGCTAATAACGGGGCGCAATTGGTACCCATGGAAATTCCAATAGATTGTTGGAAGACCTGGTCTCCAAAAACCACATAGATATTATCAATCAGAAACTCAAGCATCTTTTTAATGTCAACTTCAGAGTACTTGTGTGTACAATCAGAATGTTTTTTAACAAAATAATTTTGCAAATGACCAATGACAAGGTAAGTATATTTACAAATTCCATTTTTAGGTCACCTGAGTCACTCAGGTGACCTATTGCTATCCGTTCTCGTCCGTCGGCGTGCGTCGTGCGGTGTGCGTCGTGTGTTAACATTTGAACATTTTTAGCTTCTTCTCTGAAACCGCTTAACCAATTTCAACCAAATTTGGCATATAGCACCTATGGGTAAAGGGGAACAAAAATTGTGAATTCCATGGTCCCTGCCCCCCTGGGGCCTGAGGGGTGGGGCTAAAACCACCAAAAATAATGCAATCTTTAAAAATCTTCTTCTTTACTCCTGGACATCAAGCAGTCAAACTGTTGGCATCATTGTAATAAGCATTGAGTCCTCTACCAAAATTGTGAAATTCATGGCCCCAGGGTCAGGGGTTCTGATGCTAGGGTGGGGCTATGTAGATCATATAGGGAAAGTGCATTATTTCTTTGAAAATCTTCTTCTCTGCTCCTGGGTATTAAATAAAGTAACTAAGTACATAGTTATGAAGAACAAGAGTGCCTCTTTCAAAATTGTGAAATTCATGGCCCCAGGATCAGGGGTTCTGGTGTTAGGGCGGGGCTCTATTGATTATATAGAGAAAATGCATTAATTCTTTGAAAATCTTCTTCTCTGCTCCTGGGTATTAAATAAATTTACTAAGTATATAGTTATGATGAGCAAGAGTGCCTCTTTCAAAATTGTGAATTTCATGGCCCCTGGGTCAGGGGTTCTGGTGTTAGGGCAGGGCTCTATTGAGTATATAGTGAAAATGTATTAATTCTTTGAAAATCTTCTTCTCTGCTCCTGGGTATTAAATAAAGTAACTTAGTACATATTTATGATGAGCAAGAGTGCCTCTTCCAAAATTGTGAATTTCATGGCCCCAGGGTCAGGGGTTCTGGTGTTAGGGCAGGGCTTTATTGATTATATACATTAGTTAAAATGCATTAATTCTTTGAAAATCTTCTTATCTGCTCCTGGGTATTAAATGAACTAATTTAGTACATAGTTATGAGGAGCAAGAGTGCCTCTTCCAAAATTGTGAATTTCATGGCCCCAGGGTCAGGGGTTCTGGTGTTAGGGCGGGTCTCTATTGATTATATTTTTAAAATGCATTAATTCTTTGAAAATCTTCTTATCTGCTCCTGGTTATTAAATGAACTAATTTAGTACTTAGTTATGATGAGCAAGAGTGCCTCTTCCAAAATTGTGAATTTCATGGCCCCAGGGTCAGGGGTTCTGGTGTTAGGGCGGGGCTCTATTGATTATATAGTGAAGATGCATTAATTCTTTGAAAATCTTCTTATCTGCTCCTGGATATTAAATGAACTAAGTTAGTACATATTTATGATGAGCAAGAGTGCCTCTTCTGAAATTATGAATTTCATGGCCCCAGGGTCAGGGATTCTGGTGTTAGGGTGGGGCTCTATTGATTATATGGTGAAAAGGCATTAATTCTTTGAAAATCTTCTTCTCTGCTCCTGGGTATTAGATAAACTAACTTAGTATATAGTTATGATGAGCTAGAGTGCCTCTTTCAAAATTTTGAATTTCATGGCCCCAGGATCAGGGGTTCTGGTGTTAGGGCAGGGCTCTATTGATTATATAGTAGAATTGCAATAATTTTCTCTGCTCCTGGGTATTAAGTACATAGTTATGAAGAACATAAGTGCCTCTTTCAAAATTGTGAATTTCATGGCCCCAGGGTCAGAGGTTCTGGTGTTAGGGTGGGGCTCTATTGATTATATAGTTAAAATGCATTAATTCTTTGAAAATCTTCTCTGCTCCTGGGCATTAAATAAAGTAACTTAGTACATAGTTATGATGAGCAAGAGTGCCTCTTCCAAAATTTTGAATTTCATGGCCCTTGGGGTCAGGGGTTCTGGTGTTAGGGCAGGGCTCTATTGATTATATAGTAGAATTGCATTAATTCTTTGAAAATCTTTTTCTCTGCTCCTGGGTATTAAATAAACTAACTAAGAACATAGTTATGGTGAGCATGACTGCCTTTTCAGAAATTGTTTCATGGCCCTTGGGTCAGGGGTTCTGGTGTTAGGGATGGGCTCCATTGATTATATAGTAAAATTACATTAATTCTTTGAAAATCTTCTCTGCTCCTGGATATTAAATAAACTAAGTACATAGTTATGATGAGCATGGCTGCCTCAGAAATTATGAATTTAATGGCCTCTGGGTAAGGGGTTCTGGTGTTAGGGCGGGGCTTAATTGATTAGATAGGGAATTGGCATGAATTCTTTCAAAATCTTGTGTGCGCCTGGGTATTTTTCAAACAAAGGAAGTGCATGGTTATGATAAGGAAGAATGCCTCATGGCCTTTGGGTCAGGGGTTCTGGTGAGGGGGAAAGAGCTCTATTGATTATATATAGTGAAAATGCATAATTTCTTTCAAAATATTTTTTCTACTACTGGTTATAAAGTAAAGAAACAAGTGTATAGTTATAATGAGAAAGGGTGCTTCTTCCAGAATTGTGAGTTCGTGGCCAATGGGTCAGATGTTCTGGGTAAGGATGGGGCTTTATTTATTTAATTTTATGGTGAAAATGCATTTCTTTGAAAATCTTCTATGCTTCTGGGGATGTTCAAGGCAAACAGAGTAAAAGTTTTAATATGCAAGGGTATTTTTACCAGATTTTTGAACACCTGGACCATTTAGTCAAGTGTTCTAGTCCTGGCCAGGGCTCTATTAACTTGTATTCTGCTGAGCAAAGTTATTCCCCTTTGCCATTCACCTTTGATAATTAATCAATGTAAATAATGTATTTGAAAGCTTAATAGAATAAGAGAATTATGCAAGATAATTTATTGTATAATGAAAATGTACTTTCATAGATTTAATGACTTGGAAAGTCAGATAGGCAGATAGATACTAGACCAATTATTTTGTTGATGCTAATCATACTATTTTTCTTGCTTTTGGGCAACAAAGCTTCATTTTTCAGTTTATGGATCCTCTAAATTGTTGTATTGTACTCAGGTGACCGTTAAGGCCCTTGGGCCTCTTGTTATTGAAAAAGCAGCTGTCAATGATATCAAAAAGCCTGGACTTTAATTTATCGTGGGGAATGGTTGTGTGTAAAGTTGAAAAGTCGTAAATACATCTGCATGTATCAAGAACCACTGGACCAGAAACAATGAAACTTATGTGCATGCTTCCAGATATAATGTAGATTTAAAATTATACTAATCATGGCCTCTGGGGGTAGGGTGGGCCACAATAGGGGATCAAAGTTTTACTTTGGAAAGTTTTTTTTTTTTAAATCGTTTTGTCAAGAACCAGTGGATCAGAAACAATGAAATTATGTGCAAGCATCCTGAGGTAGTGTAGATTCCATATTGTTCAAATCATGGTGGGGAAGGGGGGAGGGGTACAATAGGGGATCAAAGTACTAAATAAAAATATATAGGAATGATGTTTAAAAAAATTCTCTTAAGAACCACTTGACCTGAAAAGTTGAAACTTATATTAAAGCATTTTGATTTAGTGCAGATTTTAAATTGTTCAAATCACGGCCCCTGGGGTAAGATTGGGCCACAATAAGTGATCAAAGTTTTGCATTGAAATTTGAAAGGAAAATCTCTTAAAACCCTTGTGAAAAACCACTGGTCTTGAAAAGTTGAAACTTATGTGAAAGCGTTCTGATGTAGAGAAGATTTTAAAGTCATCAAATCATGGCCTCCAGGGGTAGAGCGATAAGGGATCAAAGTTCTATATTGAAAAATACACAAAAAATCTGTACAACCCCACAACCCCACACCCCCCCCAAAAAAAAAAAAAAAAAAAAAAAAAAAAACTGGACCTGAAAAGATGAAACTTACATGAAAGCTTCCTGAGGTAGTGTTAATCTGAAATGTTCAAATCCTGACACCCCCCCCCCCCCTTTGGATAGAATGGGGGCCACAACAGGGTTCAAAGTTTTACACTGGACTATATAAGAACAAAAATTTAAAAATCCTCTAAAAAAAACTACAATAGAACCATTAATTTGCAAACGTGTTAGTCAAATTGATATTGAAGCATCATCATGTTGTGTGGATTCAGAGACCCCTTAGAGTTATGATGGGGCTGAATTATGGGTCACAGTTTTTTCATGGGAATATAAAAATCTTTTTAAAAAATATGAAGAAAAACTGAAGTTAGTGAGTGTTGTGGTCCATGGACCTCTAGTTGTTTCCAAGAGCTTTTTGTATCACGAAAGTAATCCAACCTGAATTTTCAATGTATTCAATTTTAACAGGAAAAGGGAAACTTACAACAGTTTATAATTTTCAGCAATTGATGAATAAATATATATGATGGCCATGCTTTGTGTTTTAAAGTAAATTGCTTTCATCCATAAACATCCTCCATCCCTGTCCCATGAAGTTAAAGTTTTTGGAATAAATTTTATTCCTATATCTTGACAGATTCCACTGGACCGGAGGTTTGTTCTTTGTCCAGACAGCCAGCTATATATAGATCTACTGACACTGTGTCCAGACAGAGTAGTATAGATGAGGCAATACCCCCCGCTGTAATGTACCACGCCAATGAACTGGAGACACCCAATGGACTTGGTAAGTGATGATTAGTTGTAGGTGGATATGTCATGGTATTGAAGACAAGCACTAAGTAAGCACTTAGTCCAATAAGCCCATAGTTTAAAGTTGGTATTGATGAGGAATAATAATGGCATTATTTCTCTGTAGCCAAACAAACAATCAGCCCAGATCTAGATCCAAAGATCCATCGTCTACAAAGGCAAGATGTAAGAAGCAGAAAAACATTCAAGCGCAAAAAGGCAACAAAAGCCCCAAGTATGAAGCGACTAGGAGGTGTGGGTGATGACCTGAGTGAAGGAGAGGCTGGTAGTTCTGAGAGTTCTCCTGCTCGTAGAACCTACAGCATGCGACGCACAAATTACGACAGCATCACCTCTTACCAAGACAGGTCATCTTACGTTAGAGAGATTTCCCGCAGCCACCAAGGATTTACATCACACCCAGGATTTCCTGAGATGTCCCGCATGGTTAATACACGGTCTAGCTGGGGCAGTGGTACAGAAAGGAGTCGTGCCCAGCACAGGGGTAGCTTAGCCCAATCTGAACATGGCCCACATTCTGCAAGGGGAGAAGTCAAGGTAGTATTGAATTCAACTACATGCCTGATCAGACAGTGACTCTTGAGCTTTGCATGAATTTATAATTAATTTTGGATCAAGTTTGCTCTTGAAATTTTCATTTGTGCTGAAATACAAAATAATTTGCATGTACAGCATATTACATGTATTTAAGTTTAACTTAAATGAAGCTGAAAGTTCATATGAGCATTTTGTATTAAAATTTCTGTTAGCTTGTTGATTTTTTACATTTCATGTTCTTCAGAAACACTTAACTAATTTCAACCAAACCAGTATCATCTGTCATTTTAAGAAGATTCAATGTTTTAAGTAGACTAAAACTAATTATTAGAACAGACTGGAATCCGTGTGTCAAAATTGTACATTGTAGAATATGGTTTGTTTGAACCATGAATCTTGGGGGTCAAAATGAGTTATATTTCACAGGAATAATGAAAAAAAAAAGAATATTCTTCATTCTAAAACCAATCAAATACTCTAAAAGTTAATAGTATGCTTCATAATATGATCACATACACATGTATGTATCCTTTTGTCATTCAGTATCAAAGAGCAAGAGCCACTTAGGGCCTTTTTTGGCCCTGTGAATTTCTGAAAATTCAAAACTGTATAGCTTTAGTTAACAAGGCAATATATAAATGCTTGAGCACTTGGTGAATGAATATCTACTGAAAATGACGTAATTTTCCTTCTAGTCAATGCATTATGACGTCATGAATTGCGTCATTATTCACATATCCTGAATACTTCTTCAAAAATGGACAAAATATGATGCCATTTTTCAGTATTTCGTATACAGCACAACCTCCGATCTAAAATGTGTAAATATATTATAAAAGAACTTTTAATGAAGATTATAAAACATATTTTAATTCTTGGATCGAGGGGTGTGCTCATATTTTAATTCTTCGCTGAAGGTTCTCAAAAACACCTGTTTTCTGCAAAATGCGATGACATTGCAATTTCACACAACCTGTTTTTCAATGCCTGGACTCTTCAAAGGAAATTCTGTTATATAAACTGAAAGCACTAAGTCTCTACTTTATATTAATGTTGAAAATGGTACACGGGGTATTAGTCAATAAATTTGTATATCTACAGGGCCATTTTATGCATAAAGTGAACCTAGCTCTTTGTTAACCATTTCTCCCCCCCCTTTACACCCTCCCCGTATCATAGGACAATGAAATCATATAGTGGTCAAAAGTTAAAAAGAAAACACATATATAGTGGTCAAAAGTTAAAAAGAATACACATACATGTATATAGTGGTCAAAAGTTAAAAAGAATACACATATATAGTGGTCAAAAGTTAAAAAGAAAACACATATATAGTGGTCAAAAGTTAAAAAGAATACACATACATGTATATAGTGGTCAAAAGTTAAAGAAGAATACACATATATATGCCTTTAAAAATCATCAGATTTTTATAAAATGAAGCATCCCTGTGTTCAATCCAGTCTTAGCAAATCTTGGCTTCTAATGTAAGTCTAAGAATACATTGATTGTCTCAAGTTTATATAGAGTCATTCTTTTTACATTATGAAGGATCAAACTCAATGTGTGTACTTCTGGCTGTCTTATCACAACAATTCATCTAAATAAATATTTACATGTACTTTCTGAACATAGCTGCACTGCAAACTAAAGTATAGCATCCCTTGCATTATGTTTTCATTCAAAGAAAACATTTTCTCACACTACTATTTAATATTATTCTAGTCATAACAGCTGTACTGCATACTAAAAAAGTCTTTTGACCTTAATCTTTCACCCTTTGACACCCCTGTGTAGGCCTATGTCCAAATCTAAACTGAATGGAAGATTTAACATATTTTTTTAAATGAATGCATGATGTCTGCATTTACATCTCTTTATGTCAAAGTACACAAGTATTCAACTAAATATCTTCTTTTATAGAATTTATTTTCTTCTCACCTGTGCTTGAATATTTTTTGTTCGATATTGTTTGTCATCAATGTGTTTTAGATGCATGATTTTGTTATTTAAATTTACATTAGAAATGATTTTATATACTATTAAATTCTTTTCTTAACAATGATAATGTGTAGAGTGTTAGATAGATTTGTAATATATCTTGTCCCCTTCTGTAGACTAATAGACAGAGGTACATACAGCGCTCCAAATCACATGATGACCCTCATGGTGACCAAAATGCCCCGTCTGGTTCAGCCCGGGGAAGAATTGCTCGACAAGGGGGTCGAATTGTCCACTCCCGCTCTCCATCTTCCAGCCCGGCCAGAGGTTCCAGACAACCCATAGACTGGACAACCAGAGCTCAAAGAGAACCCATAGATGGGACAACCATAGCTCAAAGAGAGCTGATAGATGAGACAACCAGAGCTCAAAGAGAACCGATAGATGGAACGACCAGAGCTGAAAGTGGCACCCAAAACTCACAATCACAAGGAATTACCTCCCCAATAGTAAGACGCCCAGCTAAAAGGGTCAAGTCCCCCACTTCTCCCCCTCTGGGCTACAGGATGAGCTCTCCACCTTCTAGTCCAATCCACAGAAGTCAAGCCTACATTTCACGATATGACTCAAGTGACTCTCTTAATGCCAATGAGAGCTCAGCACTCATCAAAGACGAGAACGATTCCAGTCGGTCACAGTCGTCAGTCTGTATTTACTTTGATGACTTTGGGATCAAAGACACATTAGTCTAAACACATAATTTAGGAAATTCATAGATTTGTTTGTACAGTTGTTGTATTGGCGTTGTGTGTTAAGGGTTGGTGTTAATCCTCTAGATAGATTTGTGCTAGGCTAGCCAGAGCATGATAAAACTTGGTAGAGCTTAGTTGATGTATACCATCATTATGGACATTGTCTGCCCAGATCATAAAAACACTGAATTCAAAAAGAAAATTTTGTCAGTGGAATTACAAATGTCAAAAAAAAATTGTCAGCCAACAATAGTATTGCTTTAGTTACTGTAAATCACCAAATTTGTGACATTTCCGCGAGATAGGCATATGGCATTTATAAGTAAGACAAAATTTTCACAAATACCGAGTATTGTCGTATATATTTTTCATTAATAAAAATAAATGCGAGAAGGACATTTTCACAAGGAGACTCTCTCGCAAAATTATGCCAAAATAAAGTTCTCATGAATAAAAAATGATTTACAGTATCATTATGAAATCAAACATTCACCATTCTCATACCAGAAATTTCACCCTCAAATGGACAATTTTTGAATCCAGTAGATTCAGTCAATCAAAGACATATTTATTGAAATATTTTTTCATCCTTAAGTTCAGTACCATTTGCTAAGACATTCAGTATCAATATCTGGTAATGGCAATATATCACAACCTTTAAATCAACAAAGAGCCAAAATAGTATCTCACACGATTGGGAAAATTAGAATGTTTAATTATTTCTGTCACATTTGGTTTTTTTGACAATTCTCAGATTTATTTTAGTTTTGTGCCAAAATATTTACAGTGCAATATTTTTACATTATAAATTTACAACTGACTTTCTATTTGTTATACAGAGTGTTATTTAATCTTTTTTATATATTAAAATTCAATACTACTGATTCAATATTTGACTTTTGTATTTTGTGAAACTGATACTTTAAATTATTGCTGTCTTTTTAAGCAATACCTCAAAATGTGATTTTGGTATTTACAGTGATTATTTTACATAAAAATTTTAACAAGTGTGGGATAGCACATAACAAAATCGTTCAATTTATTGAATTTTCTTCTATATACTGTAGAGGTACTTTCTTCCATGGGGTCATAATTCCACGGAATCACAATACTGGTCAATCCTTAGGTAGAAAATTAAGTGGATTTCTTGGAATGTCATAACATGTCCTCAATGCATTTTTAGCTCTTCTGAGCCAAAGGCTCAAAGAGCTAATGCTATGGCCATTTGTGCGGTGTGCGTAAACTTTTTAGAATATGGGCCATAACTCAAGAACCCCTTGGCCAATTATTGTCAAATTTGTCACAGGGTATCCTTGGCCCAAGGGCTCCCTTTTATACTAAAACTGGGGTTGTGACCCTTTAACAAGGGGAGATAATTAGGTAAATAGAAACAAAAGTACTAGTTGCTAAAAAATCTTCTTCTCAAGAACCACTGGGCAGATTATCACCAAACTTACACAAAAGGATGAGGATATGTTGTAGATTAAAATTTGCATGGGGATTTACCCTGGGGCAAAGGGCGTGGTCTCAAGGTCACTTCAAAGTTGACCAAAAATTACATTTTATTAAAATGTTGATATTTTGCTTACTATAAGGACTAGGAACATCAAATCTTGTCAGTTGATTATATAAGGACCTCATATCATGTTGACTCAAAAGTAGGTCACGGTGTCCTACTTTTTAAATTTTGCAGCCATTCTTTTTCAAAATGATTTAGAGGCATATTTTGAACAATTTAATGCCTATGATCATCAAACTTTGTCAGTTGATGCATCTTGGGTCCTCGAAGTACGTCAACTAAAAAGTAGGTCACCTTGACCTACTTTTTGAATTTTACGATTAATCTTTTTCAAAACAATTAAGGTCATTAATTCAAATACTGAGAGGTTTAGAATCATTAAATCTTGTATGATGATGCATCTTGGGGCCATAAAACATATTTATTAAAAAGTAGGTTACAGTGACCTACTTTTTGAACTTTGCAGGCATTCAATTTCAAAGCGTTTTAGAGGCGTAATTTGGACATTTTAAAGCCTATGATCATAAAACTTTGTAAGTTGATGCATCTTGGGTCCTCAAAAAATGTCGACTAAAAAGTAGGTCACCATGACCTACTTTTGAAAATTTATGGCTTTAATTAAATATTTCAGGTACTAATTGGCTTAGAATCATCAAACTTTGTCAGTTGATGCATCTTGGGTCTTCGGAGTAGGTCGACTGAAAAGTAGGTCACCATGACCTACTTTTGAAAATTTATGGCTTTAATTAAATATTTCAGGTACTAATTGGCTTAGAATCATCAAACTTTGTCAGTTGATGCATCTTGAGTATTCGGAGTAGGTCGACTGATAAGTAGGTCACCGTGACCTACTTTTGAAAATTTATGGCTTTAATTAAATATTTCGGGAACTAGTTGGCTTAGAATCATCAAACTTTGTCAGTTGATGCATCTTGGGTCTTTGGAGTAGGTCGACTGATAAGTAGGTCACCGTGACCTACTTCTGAAAATGTATGAATTTAATTAAATATTTCGGGTACTAATTGGCTTAGAATTATCAAACTTTTTTCAGTTGATGCAACTTGGGTCCTCGGAATAAAACAACTGAAAAGTAGGTCACTTTGACCTAATTATAAAATTTTATGGTTATAATTTTAAAAAAATATTTTAGGTATTAATTGGCTTAGAATCATCAAACTTAGTTGATGGGTCCTCAGAGAATGACAAGTGATAAGTAGGTCACCTGACCAACTGTCTGGTACTAGTTGGCTTAGAATCATCTTGGGTTCTCGGAATGTGAATTGGAATTTCAAGGGTTTATCTAAACATACAGGATACTTAGAGGTTTCAAATAGAAGTGATAGGTTGTACAGTTTATCAGAAGAGCGATTCAAGGCCCTTGGGCCTCTTGTTAGGATGCTGTGACAAATTTCCTTGGAAATATTGTGACCATATTTAGCTATACATAGCGTAAATTTATCTCACGTGGGAAAAAGTATGTCTGCAATAAATAGAATTATTTGTACACATTAACTTGTATAACATCTTCACTAGCTAAGTATTTCTGATTATGCCTCTATAATTGTACAAATGATCAATTTGCTGTGGTATATAAACAATGAATACTTGAAGGTTGTGGTCAAAAGCATAAATAAATTTTATTTCAAATAAACTTGCAATAGTTTCAAAATGTTGAAGTTTTAAAAGCCAATATTCTAATAGAAATATATATATCATGTATCAGTATTGTTGAATTAAAATAAAAATTTATTGGTTTACCTAATTGTTTCTGTCAAGCTTATACTCTGTTTATATAATGGTGGTGTGTTTTGCATGTAATATGCCTAAATACATGTGTAGTAGTCAGGAATTGACACATGCAGTGCAAGTCAGAGGTTTGTCAAACCCTGACAACTATTAAAACATAGTACTTGCAAAACATAACACTGTTGTTATTAATTTGCTTAGTGTTGTATAAATACGATATATAACAACCCCATCAGGTCCCAAACTATCTGCAGAAGTCAAATCTCGTTTTTTTTGTACATTCTTTAATCAAACACTATATGAAAAACAGCATTTTCATAACACTTTGGAAACAGTTCATGTAAGGAGGTTGATTTATAAATACAAATATTTGTTAGGATTATTTTCTTTAGTATTCTTGTCAATAATGACATTATTTGCTCTGAGCCGAAGGCTCAAGTGAGCTTTTCTGATCGAAATTTGTCCGTTGTATGTCGTCGTCAGCATTGTCATTGTAAACTTTTCACAATTTCATCTTCTTCTCCAGAACTACTGGGCCAATTTCAACTAAACTTAACACAGAGTATTCTTGGGTGAAGGGGATTTAAATTTGTTCAAATGAAGGACCACGCCCTCCTCCAAGGGGAGATAATTACAAAAGAGTGAAAAATTAATGGCATCATTGAAAAATCTTCTTCTCAAGAACCAATGGCCCAGGAAAGATGAAACTTATGTGGAATCATTGTCAGGTAGTGTAGATTCAAGTTTGTTAAAATGATGACCCCTAGGGGTAAGTTGGGGCCACAATGGACGTTCAAAGTTTTACATAGGAATGTATAGGAAAACTCTTCTTCTCAAGAACAGCAAAGCAATGATTAGTCTTATTTATGTGAAAACATCCTCAGGTGGTGTAGATTCAAGTGTGTTCAAATCATGTCCCCAGAGGGTAGGATGGAGCAACAATGGACAATCAAAGTTTAACATAGGAGTATATAGGAAAAATCTTCAAAAATCTTCTTCTCAAGAAAAGCAAAGCTATGATTAATCATAATTATATGGAAGCATCCTTAGGTGGAATAGATTCCAGTTTGTTCAAATCATGACCCCCGGGGGTAGGGTGGAGCCACAATGGACGATCAAAGTTTTACATAGGAGTATACAGGAAAAATCTTCAAAAATCTTCTTCTCAAGAACAGCAAAGCCATGATTGGTCATATTTATATGGGAGCATCCTCAGGTAGTGTAGATTCAACTTTGTTCAAATCATGACCCCCGGGGGTAGGGTGGGGCAACAATGGACGATCAAAGTTTTACATACTTGGAATATGTAGGGAAAATCCTTAAAAATCTTCTCAAGAACAGCAAAGCCGTGGTTGGTCATATTTATATGGAAGCATCCTCAGATAGTATAGATTCAAGTTTGTTCAAATCATGACCCCCAGGGGTAGGATGGGGCCACAATGAAAGTTCAAACTTGTAGGAAAAAAGTCGCAGTTAGTCAAAAAAATAAGTAAGCATCCTTAGTTAGTGTAGATTCATTTTTGTTCAAATCATACCCCCCTCTCTCCCTTTTAGGGGTAGGTCGGGACCACATGCATTTAAGCTTTTCAGTACTAAACTGATTTTTGCTTTTTTTCCTATCTACAGTACTCAGGTGAGCAATGTGGCCCCTGGGCCTCTAGTTTTGGGAATTATATTTGTGTGTCAAGCGAAACTACGCGTATACTACACGTATACTTAGAAATATTTTTTGTAATACAATGGTTTCTGTGGTGTAATTGCTACCACGTTGGACTAACATCTTCGGGATTGTGAATTCAATCTGTAGCATGTTCTCTGCAAAAGAAGTCTTGAACTATTTCGGCATAGTATTCCTATGCTGTGTGAATCCTTTGTACACCAAGCAAAATTAGTGGGTATTGATTACATAGAGGCATTAAACTTACAGCAAGCATAATAATATTGAATAAGAAATAAGAACTACTTGGTTCTGTCAGTCTGTTTGTACAAATACTGAGTAGTACCTATAGTTTGTGTCAGTACAAATACTGATTAGTACCTATAGTTTTTCCTAGGTACAAATACTGAATGGTACCTATACTTTGTATCAGTACAAATATTGAACTTTACCTATTGTTTATGTCAGTACAAATACTCACTGCATTAAGGTATCTACAATTTGTGTCACTACAAATACATCTACTCCATGGTACCTATTGTTTATATCAATACAAATACTGAACAGTACCTAAGTTTTTGTTACCTGAGCAAGGTGAGAAAAAAATTTGGTAGCCACTTGTCCCAGGGGACAAGCATGAAATCATAACCACTCGTCCCCATGGTGATTTTGCTTATCTCAAATATGACTTGCTTTTCTCCAGAAGTGATAAGAATAAAATGATCATGACATGTTTCAGATCTCTAATCTTTTAACTGTGTCTGATAAGTTTATTTTAGGGAAATTATTGCCAGAAATTTATAAAGAGAAGCACATAAGAAAATCTTTTCCGGAATGACCACTGCATCTGTGTGTTTTTCAACTGGTTAAGAAACTAAATTTGAAATAATTTGTTTATAAGTGCTTTTTTCACACCCTGTAAAGATTTGAGATTTCCATTCGGCACTTTCCAAATTGCATAGTAATTGCTCACTCATTGAGAATATACCCCACCCCCTGCAAATAAAGTTGGGGGGATGCTGGAATTACATATCCACCTGTCTAGCTATCCTTCTATTGATACATCAGCCATAACTTGTGTGGAGGTTATCTTATATGCTATTTTAAGTATTATTTTAAAACTTTGTAGAAACAATAAATTATCATTTGAATATGTGGACATGGTATCTCAGTATCAGTCTTATTTTTGTTTTAAAGATTTCATTGTACATAATAACAGAAATAAGAAGAGTGAAACATTTGTCTGGACTTATCTTTGAAACTGAAAAACTTTAGAGGCACAATCACATACTTTTTCATTTTTTATCTTTATTCTGTATCAAGGTCATGGGAGTCGAGGTAACAAAGTACATGTACTTGAGAAAATGGTTACTTGTGACTGTTAGGATACTAAGTGGTAACCCAGGGTAATTTAAACAAGGTTATAGGTTTTAGAAATGGTAAATTTTCTGTCTTGGTCATAACTTTAATGTGGACAAAACTAGGCATAGAGGTTGCTTGTGAAGGTAGGTAACTCTTTACTTTGATCATTTGGTCACTTGGTTCAAGGTGCAGTAATAATTTTAAGGTAGAGAGTCACTGCCCTTTGAAAAATCAATCAATAATCCATCTCTCAGGACTTATTACTTTATTTTGCAGTGTATTCAGCTTAAGACTTGATTTAATTGTTGGTAGAACATTTGTTGGGGGGGGGGGGGGGGGGTTCAGGGATTATGCCAAACTTTTTGGTACATAACATTATTCTAATCTAAATTGAAGGATGTTATGAACATCAGTGTCCTGTTCATTCTTTTGTTGGTGTGAGACTTTTTGCTTACCTTGAAGGTGATATTTACTGAAACAACCAAATCTACATCTTATTGGCTAGGGAATTAGAATTAATACATTATATTTCTATTTCATTTCAAACTGTACAAAGCAAAGAAACATGACAGAATTTATTCATTAATAATATAACAGTCATATTTGACAATCTTGATAAACTTTAGGAAAGTCCCTCAATGACATTTACATATACTATGTAAAATGTGAACGAGTTCATGTCCTCATTATGCAATAAACACTCAGAAATCCAGTAGAATAATACATCGTAAACTCATGATTTCTCTCAGTCCAAGACAGAGATGATAAACTCTTCAATGTGTGACATTAATCGGTGAACGAAACATATATATATAACACAGTCAACAAAGAAATAAATATATCACAATGAGTTATATTTACCTGGTTAAAACAGCAGAATTTATCGTAGAACACAAACACAGACATTGTACTAACGTACACTCCTAACTCTACAGCAGTTCTTTTAAAGTAAAAAAAAAGATAAAAAGAACTGTCTCACAGAGGCAATAGTCTAGTAGTTTGTTAACAAAATATAAACTTGAAAAGGAGGTCAACTTAAAAGCAAATCGGAAGTAAAAAGAAACTCTCTTTAGCATAAGAAGGCACAGTTAAAAGAGTTTGTATACATAAAAATTTTAATAAGTAGAGGGAACAGCATACTGCAGAAGGCTTTGTCTTCTTGGCACAAGAGTATTTTGACCGTCACTTCCTCGGATTTTGATGTTGAGAGATAAATGCTGCTTCAATTGGCAAAGGTTTTTGATCGAAGGAAATTCCCGTACGAGCCATTTGGGTGACCACAGACTTCCAGTCCTCGTGTGGTGTCTCCATAAGTGTTGCCAAATGCAAATCTTCTCTCTGATAAAAGTACAAGGTATTACGCATTGAATTATTAATTTTGGATGTTGTCTGTCACACAGCAATTCCTGGCCATGCCAACAAATTGAATACCATATGCTAGCAGTATGATAATTTGTTGGCACGGCCAGATGCTGCTATACAACTGACAGCATCCCAAAATAATAATTCAATGCTTATATTTACATTCAATCTTATTTTCTCTATAAATTTTAATTCTTTATTTGTGCCTCTCAGGACTGGTTTTGGTAATAGAAGGTGGAGCCATTAGATTCAGCTGTTGTGAAAGGGAATAGTTTTAAAATAGAGCAAACGAATATTGCAAGGAAAAAATTGACAAATTAATTGTAAATGTAAAAGTGATATATTTTTACAATAGTTTTAATTGTATAATTGTTTTTATTTAAATTGAGTTAATGATGTGCCAAATACATGTATATTGGAAGTCTATGTAGTTCTTTTTGTTTATAACAAAGTGTAGAGTGTACATAGGGGATAAAATTTTAAGATTTACAATGATTTACAATGAAAAATACACTGAATGTAAATATTTTAGATTTTGATGCATAAACAAAGAAAACAGGAATTTTGACACATATGGGTATTGCTATGTAAAGTATAGGTTGACTAAATAGTGCATTAAGAGAAGCCCCGACATATGAATTATACTTACGTGGGACGTATCCTGTGTACTTAGGAATCATGCCATCATCAAGATACAGACGACGAGTGTCCGCAGACTTTGTTCCCTGAAGAAGGTGCTGGGGTACACTGAAGGAAAAAGATGACATTTCAGGAAAACCAAACACTATTTTCAATAATGTTGAATCATCATATTATGTGGGGGTTCAACTTTTGTGATTTTTATTGGTACCTTTTGAAACAAATTTACAACCACAAGAAATACTGATATATAAGCTAATTATTTTTTATGAAGAAACATTCACTTAGGAAATTGTCCCAATATTTTTAATAATCCACAAAAAATTAATATCCACAAATTTAAATGTAACTGAAATACTAATATAATTTTTCTGAGAAAATCCATGCCACTGAATCCCTGTCTTCAGGACCCTTTCTGACTAACCTGTCTAAGGAGGCCGGAACTTGACCTGTTAGCCTTTGAGAAGCTGAGGCAGTTTCTTGAGCAAAGAGTTCTAATCCATTCTTGGTGGACCTGTGATAGCGTGCTCCTAGTCCTTGTTCTGTGGTCTTTATTCTAGGAATGTATCCACAGTAGCCAGGGATTGGTGGCTCCGTCAGTGCGCGACGATCCTCTGTAAAATATCATTAAATACGAACTATCTCTTAACTATCTAGTGTTCTAGTTGGTGTTATTTTAGGATACTGCTTTACAATGGAGTATCTAGAACAATAATCATGTATTTAAAGAGGTTTTCATAAGGTGTACATTTGAATTAATTTATTGTCTCCAGAAGTCTCACGTATAATCCCATGGCTTCATGAAATTACTAATACTGAGTTTTCATTGAGTAGTGGGATGACAAAAGTTTTATGTAATTAGCAGGTTCAAGAAAAAAAAATGTACATTTAAAACCAATGATGATGCACTTACCCACAAGGATAGGCCTGCTAGGGTGGGTGTCTCTGTACAAATTGAGCTTGTCCCTGACCTCAGGGTCATGAGAAATGGGGGTAAGACGTGGATAGCTGCCTACTTGTCTCTTCAGGTCAGCAGACTTTGTATCATAAAAGTTCCTATTAGTGAAGTATTCATCTATACAAGCATCACAGTCCTCTTTATATGTGTTTCCAAATTTGAATGGCATGCGTGGAATGTAACCTAAAAGTAATATTATTCTTTTTTAAATAATTATCTTAGACACACTGCAGTGAGCAAGCAATATATTCTCGAATGAAACATCTGTTGAACATTTTTTTGTGATTGAAATCATCAATATCAAACAATTTTTTCATATCTATTACGTCATTTACTGACACACTGCTTATTGGTCAAACTCAGATTTATATAAACATGTATATTTTTAAACAACTAAAATACTACAGACTAAGAGGGCTAGTTGTTATTTTTAGATCTGGTTTTATTGATTCATATATAGTTACTCTGTGAAAGAATAAACAGAGTTATCTCCCTTAAAATGCATCACATTAGAGATATATGTCAAATGGCCCTGTAAAACTAATCTTTAGGAGGGGAATGTTTTGCTAATGTGCAGCTGCGGACTAATTTACTTACCTGAGTAGCAGGAAACTATTTTTACTAACCTGTGTAGCAGGGGACTATTTTGCTAACCTGTGTAGCAGGGGACTACCAGGTATTTTGCTTACCTGTGTAGCAAGGGACTATTTTGCTTACCTGTGTTGCAGGGGACTATTTTTCTAACCTGTGTAGCAGGAGACTATTTTACTAATCTGTGTGGCGGGGGACCATTTTACTAAGGTGTAGTTGTGGACTACTTTACTTACCTAAGTAGTGGGGGATTATTTTTGCTAACCTGTGTAGCAGGGGACTATTTTGCTTACCTGTGTAGCCAGGAACCATTTTTTCTGTGTATTTATTGTCTCCTGTTGACTCTGGCAGTCTATTCTTTGTGGTTGGTTTACTTGGTGCCTCAGATAAAATGGAGGCTGGTTCCAAGTGGATAGTACTCTGAAAGGTATGTCAAATTTAAAAGACTGCTGTCAGGAAACAAGTCTATAATTTCATTTAATTCTTCAAGTATTCAATAGTATTACAAATACTCTGTGAATGGTTTTTTAAACTTATTTCATGCTCAGTGGTGTTTAAATGCTACTCTAATCATTTTTTATTAGATTTAAATGACAAAGAAGGAAAGAGTCATATATCACCGTATCGGCAATTGTGGGTAATTTATAATTGATCTCAATAAAAAGACGATACAGACAGTTAAATGTCAGCTTGGTATAGCTGTGTTTGGAAATGCTCTAGGATAATTCACAAGTAAACAGTGGCAGCTCAAAAGATTCGCTTAAATGAAGTTCAGTCTATGTTATCATGAAGGCAACTTGTAAATTTATCACAGACCAGAGAGAAAACCTATACACACTGATAGGGAGCATTTCAAAAGTTCATGATAAATGAAGTATGTCACGGACACTGTTATCCTTTTCAGATCAGACTCTTGAGTCACTTTCAATGGACCAGCCAACTTGATTCATTTGCCAGGTATAAAATAAATTCCATACTTTTTGTTGTAATCATTTGGTTTACAGTGTTTGAATTCAAGTTTTATATATACTTTGAAAAACTGATTGCGTGTTCACCATTTTTTTTGGCCAAATATATAAGTAACGTTCAATATGAAATTCACTGAAAGGAATTTTATTTTTAATTATATGGCCACAGTCTTAATATAAGCACTTATTGACATTTTAAAAATTATGCCATTAAATAGTGAACACCATAAGTATTTATATGAAAGCATAATTAAAGAACACTTTAAGTGTACTCTAAGTCTCTACATATGGATTTTCCCTGTTAAGTGGGACCTCTGTAAACATGAAGTCTAGTCTTGACAAAGTGAAGTATATTGGTCAATAAAATTTACCTTAGTTTAAATTGGGCCAAATTTATTGCCAGGTCTTTTAAATAATCATAGAGATAAAGCAACTATAACTATACTCAAACCCAAAACACAATAGTGTGGTCAAAATGTATCTTTCTTTTTTGTATTCATACTAACATGCACTATTAATACTTTTTTTCTTTGTTTTGTTTTAACCAAGTCAAGATTAAAAAATCAACTTGCATGTCAAATCAGGTTTTGATTTGAACCTGTTTCATTAACATGATTAAGATGTGCAGAAAAAAAGGATGGTCCACAATGAAAGCATTTATACATAAAAGGACGCAAGCATTTTCCAGAGGAAAAGGGGGGAGAGCAGTACGTCATGCAACACTCTCCCTTCATCTCCTACCCACCCCCAAAGTACTAATTTGTGTTCGATCTGTATTCAAATTTACTTTTTCCAATTTATCCAAAATTCAGTATCTTGCTATATGTACAGCTGATGTATGTAATTTGGTAATTGAAGGGGAGAATAGACTTTCTATTCCAATCATGCCAGTGTCTGGCAGTATTCCACATCAAAGATCAAAATCTATTTCCTATTGACCTGCAAAATGTTTTGTTTTCAGATGTGTACAATATTAAAACATATCCCAAAACCTACACAGATCCTGAAATACATGGTACATGGTACATACGTAACTTGCACTAGATCATTCTTTGGGAAATCTTTAAGGCTTACAAAATTAATGTCAGTTCTGAATGGCAGGAAGATGTCAATGGGAGAATTGTATGTCCCCTGCTTATTTGTATGCAGATATATATAACATAACTTTTGCATACCTGAGCCAGCTCATGGGTGTCTGTTCCATAAGTTTTGCCTACTCTATATTTGATTTGTGGACAATATCCTCGATAACTGCAAGTAAAGAGAATAGCAAATGTATACTTACTAGAAATATATGTATATATATTTAAATATTGAGAAAGTTTACTTGATTTTAAAAAATATCTTCCATGTACATATATTTATGGACATGCAGATTGTTATTCATGGTATTAAAAGATAAAAATAATAAGACATATATCAACATTTATTGTTTCAAATTAAAATGAAAAGACTAAAAGGAGTTATTCATTGTGTAAATGCTTTCATTGTAGACCATTGTATTTTTCGCAAATGAAGATTGCAATCAACAATCAGTTAAAGACCTACCCCGGCACATGAGTTCCATCTCTGAGGGCTGCGAATGACCGCCTCTGATCTAGACTAGGCCCTCCTCCGAAAGCTATGGTAGTCATATTTTAATAATTGTATATGCCCCTCTCACGGGTGTATTCTTATCACAGGTAACAATTAGGCTATAATCGGAAATAGTGACTTGTTTGGCCACAATTCCCTTCCGTCGTCTAGGTCGCTCAGAGTTGCTAAGGTATTATACTCTTTAGAATTGGACCAATCGCATTGTATTATTTACCTGTACCGTGGCGGTAACTTCAAAAGGCCATACATTACTGTACGGAAGTACCATTGTACGCATGCGACAGCGAATCTCAGGTAAACAATATGGCGAGCATAAATTACAGGTGTTAATTCATCGAATACGTTAACATTTACTGAAAAATGGGGAATAAGGTTAGTACGGTCGGGGATGATGTGAAACGCCAGGGAGAGGGTTCGGGTGTTGACAGTCGGGCAGCCGATGTTTATAAAATGGTGGACTTGAAAGGAGGCGGAGATTTGGTAGAGATGACAAAAAGAGCTCGCTGGACCAAAAATTTCAAAGAATTAGATGACACAATACAAGAAAAAGTAAAACCATTTTTATATGACGGTGGACGTGGAAAGAAAATCCCAATTACAGAAATAATAGATCGGAGAAACAAGGCCCGGTCAAGTGCTATTAAGTCTTCATCAAAGGATAAACAGAAAAAGGCACATGAAGCATTATTGGACGTGAAGTTTCAGGATAGTGAAGGCAATTATCTCCATAATAAACCAGGTGCGTAATTCAATGAATCAATGATTTATGCTAATCAAGTCAATCCATTTCATTTGACACATGATAAGAAAGATAGGCAACGTACTGTAAAATGTATGAATTATGGATGTTTCGGGACCGCGATGTTTCGGGACCCCGACGTTTCGGGACCTGACAACACGTTTCGGGACTTGGGTTAACACGTTTCGGGACTTGGGCTAACACGTTTCGGGACTTCTAAATATTTTGTAAAGGAAATGAAATAAAACTTGTTTACTTGTGTTTTTATGTTTATACATGTATAATTTCTCAGTTTGATACACAATTTATAATTTAAGAAGCACTGATTGGAGTTTTTATTAGTTTTAAAGTTTGCCTGCGGCATGGAGGACGCCTGCCGAGAAAATCAAACGCCCGCGGTGTTGTCTCTTTAATTTCTTATTACAGTATTTGATATATTACCTTTATAAAGTATTTAGTTAACATTTGACCAAAATTTAATTCAATTTTTTTTTAAAATATGTATTTGATTTATTTATAGTGTTTGATACGAGAGTTTGTAGAATTAAAGCCGGGAGACAATCGTAACTGCTGTGTGAAGACACGGACGTGTTTTTCTTTCTAAGACTTTCTTTCTCTCCTTTTTAATAATAATTTTAGGTATTTGATTTCATATTTGTTTACAAAATTTACAAAGGCTCAAGCTAGCACATGTGCAGTAAAAACTTAACGTTTTACGGGTAGTTGTTTTGAATCAGAATCTGAAATATTCCATGTTCAACTTTTTAAACATCAGTGTATAAAATTTATAATTATTATTTCAGGTTATATATGCAACAAAATCATAAAAGCAAATTTATACAAAATGTTACGGGTAAGAGAAATGTTATAACTTAAGCTATAAACTTCCTACACATCCATGTATACGTTAAGCAGAGAAGGAAAAAAAAAACGAAATTGTATTTGACATTTCAAATATATATAACGTCAAAGAACAGCTTGTAAAGTAAATTTTACTGAAAGTATGATGTGTATACATATATATATACCATGTATGCAACATTTGGAAATAAACCAAACTTACTAATTTTCAAAATATAAACACGTTTAACTTATTTTTCATCTTATCGTTTCAAAGTTAGACAATTTCTTCGTCTATGCAAAGTACATGTACTCGATGGCTTAAGAAAAATGATGAAAGTAATCGATTTTATTCATTTATTTTAATTAGAAAAAAATTATTCCCACGGAAGTCCCAAATATTCCCGCTATATATTATTGTACTATCAAAATTGTTAATTTGTCTACAATGATATGGATGTCTGAATTTATGTTTACTGTGTATACACAGACTACAAATCTCAATGAAACTCAATTATCGATCTTCTTATATACCCGACCAGTGCGTAATATTATATGTGGTGTTACATAGTTAGGTACATGACAAACTTTAAATAATACTGTAAATAAATACTAAATAGTATTTAATTTGCAAATATTAAATTTTTCATGCTACATGAACGTTGTAAAAGTGTTTAAAAGACATTCCACATTGACTACGTTAACAGGTCAACTTAAATTTCAAATTTCCACCTTGCCACATTAAATAGATAAAGCTATGATGAAATTTAAAATGTTTTTAAAAACATTATTTGAAACGATATCGAATGAAATATGTTGTTTATACCATTTAATGCTTTTTTTTAAAGTATGGTATTTTTTTTTTTAATTTAGGGCCAATGTTCTCGCAACATTTGTAAAATATGTTCATTTACAATGTTTTGGAAACTTTAAAAATGTTTTCGTAAAATTTCCAGGGAAGAATCTTACAGATACTATGCCAAAACCTTTTGGAAAAAAAAATATTTGAAACCGTTTGGGAAAAGGTAGACAAAATCAAGATCAAAACATTTTGAAAACCTTTATATTTTGTTGAACTATTGTTTGATTCTGAATTATTTCATTTACCAATAAACAAACGATATTTTTTCCATATTTTTAGATTTTTATTTTCTTAAAATAATTTCAAAAGAAACCACACAATCTTTTTACTTCCCATTACCGGCGGCGTCTTTATACATGTACGTAACACCTCCCTATGTACAGAGTATCAGTTTGGATATGTGTACCTGATCCCAGTTGTTGTTTTAACAATTTACTGACATGTTTTTTAAAGATATATTCGACGGTAGCTGGAGATCACTTGAATATTTTAAAATATCTATCATCAACCTGAGAAGATTAAATTTTGGAACCTCCCCCCCCCCCCATCACCACACACACACACACAAAAATAACTAATAAAAAAATGATAAAAAAATAAAAAGAAATAAAAATGAATATTGTAAAGATTTATTCTTCTTCGTCTGTTATGAAAAAAAACCCCATCAAAGTATATCTTTATGACAATTTTTATTATATATATACATAAAAATTAAAATTCGGATTTAGCTTGAAATATTACGTACTATGTGTAATTAGATTAATATGCTATATCACCATAATAAAATAATTTGTTTAGATCCCGAAAAAAATTAACTCAAGTCCCGAATCGTCTTTACCCAAGTCCCGAACCGTCTTGTTGCTAGTCCCGAAACGTCGTATTAGTCAGGTCCCGAAACGTCGTGGTCCCGAAACATCGTGCACCCAAATGTATGCGACAATGCGATGTCGTTGGATTTGATCATTGAGTTTTGCTATTTCGACATTTTCACTTTACCTAGGTTGAAAAAAAACTAATAAAATAATTACATATAATTACAATTTGTGAAACTCGCAGTTGGAGGTATCACACATCTCTGGAAACCATCATGATCTGCATAAACTATATATGTATATGTCCTTGACCTTTTTGCACCGGAGTTTCGTAAGCACGCGACTTGCATCCTTTAGCCGAGGGCACTAACTCTGCAAAGCATAGGCATATATATTTTTTTTTTCAACAAGATTTTTTTTAAAAATAAATTTAAGCTTTAACAAAAATAGAAAGTGTAAGTTGTGAGGGTCATGACATCATGAAAATTAATTATTTCTTAAGGTAAGATATAGAGAGATCTAAAGTTAGCTTACAACACTTCAGTGAATGTCTATAGGCCTAGTGAATCATTTTTAAGCATGTGTCCTAGCTGTTCAAAATTTAGGTTAGCTTTCATCCAAGGTCATTTGTTCAAGTTCAAGTTCACTTTCAGGAAAAACCTGTCCTTAGGTAAATCTTCTTATGAATAAAGAAACACTGGAAGCTAATACTTGACACATCGATTATTTATGACCTATATTAAAGAGTGTGTCATGATCTCAACCAATGTCATTTGTGCTAGTTAAAGGTAAGACATATAAAATCAAAAATTTGTGCCTGGTCCATAATTTTTTTATGGAGAAGCACTAGAAGTTCATGAATATTTCACACAAAGTTTTCTTATGACATGAGGATATGTTATGACCCTGACTCAAGGTCATTTGTGTAAGTTCAAGGTCACTTTCAGAAATGTAAAGTTCCTGTCCTGGCCATATCTTGTAATAGATAAATATTGGAAGCATATACCTGATACTTTATAAAGATTGCTTATGACCTGAAGTGAAATGACCTTGACCCATTCATTTGGGAAAGTTAAAGATCACTGGCAGAAAAATTGTACCAGAATATGGATTAAATCCATGTCCATAACTTTTAAAAAGGAAAACTTGGGATGCAGATCTCTAAAGAAAACTTTAGTAGCTGGAGGTATTGTTTTGTGAGCTTGCTCACAGTACATCTACTTTATTTTGTTTTATTTATTTATTTTTTTTGTTTTTTGGGCACATATACCTCTGTCAATTAAATTGAAACATCAATAATTGATATATTTAAAAAAGGGGGAATTCTGCAATGCTTTATTAAATTATGCACCCTGCTACATGTATATAAGCTTTAGAATATCATATCTCAAAGAAAAATAACAGGATTTTTCCCTATACATGTACACACGTGTACATTGATTTCATACACATATGTACATTGATAATTTATGTGTTGAATATGTAAGGTAATATTGATGTAATAGATTTTGATTTCAGATGAGTGTGTTGAAGGTAAGGTAACAGTTTGAGCTTGGTGAATGGACACTTAATGTACAGCTTCCCCACAATCTCCTCCATAAATTGTCTGTCGTATTGGTGGCTTTATGTGCTGTACACAACTTTATTCTTTGCAAAAAAATAATCCACCAATTGTTGTTGTGTTTATGCGTCATCAACCAGTGTATCAACACGCTGAGTGTACATCTTTATAACAAATCATAAACTTTTCAGTTTCACAGACTTGTCATACTTAGAAGAGCTAGAGAACATAACTTGGTAGAGTAAGAGATTTTTGATACACCAAGAATAACTGATGATAGTAAGGAAAAATAAAAACAAGGGCAAGATGATATGACTCTTTACACATGAAATCACCTGCTATTATTAGAGAGTGTGGGATTATTTCCAGCATTCAATGTTGTTAACTATTTATTAAGTAACATCCTTTTATGGAAATAATACAACATTATTGATTGTGTTATATACCTGATATAGTCAAATTCAATTTAAATGATTTAAGTCATGATTTGATTAAGGTTAAGGGATTATATCAATATGATCTTAAGATTCATAAACCCTTTGCTCACTCATATAAAATGTTGCTTTAACTCTTATGATTTTCCAAATGGAATGTATTTTATAAGTAAAATACAAAGAATTATAGCATAGCTTGTGGGGCAAAATTGGACAAAAAAGACATTTCAACTTGAATCTATAAAGGAATAGTAGACATTTATGTTATTAAGAGTTACCTCTCTTATCAGGGAATCAATGAACCTTAAGTATGCATGCAGAGTACTTGGCATGCATTTAATTTTCTAAAAAGGCCCTGGTATGCAAAAATATCAAAATGTTTTAAAATTATAAAATTCCAGCTTTTGGGAGTATTTTTTCTTACTGTATATTTTAAAGTTTGTTCTTGATGTATCAGGAAATTCCCTCTTTATATGGAATGTTCACAAGCATAATTTCTGTAAGTATTTCATGAATAACCATATGTGAAATTCAATCATGGTGATTGGAATATTAATTCATATCATGTGTGATGTCCATCATTATTATTTTCCTTGTTTGTTTGTTCAGTACCTTTAAACAGGTCTGGGCGGCTTCCGTTTTCGAAGGATAGCTAAATTCAATATGGTTACCAATTTTTTTTCCTATGTATGGAAAATCACATTGCATTGTGGGATAGGTTATCCTCCTATTTTGGAGAATAACACAGGTAATTTTCAAATGCCCTGTGCCTACCTTTAATGGAAAAATGCATGCACCAAAGTATATGCAATTAAAAGTTAAAACATTAAACTATCGATTGTGTGCGGCGATTTGAAATTCTATGTCTAGATCTTCTGCAATTTATTTTCAAAGTTTGTACTTTTTGCGCTCCCTTTTTACTCTGTATTTCTTTTTCTTTTGCATAATTTTTTATGTTTTTTTTTCTATTGTGACAAAAAAGGGTGCTTTTTAATTAATTGATTTCTTTTAATTTTATAAAGGAAAGAGAAAAAAGAAACACAGAAGGCAAAATTTTTAAATGCAAAATATCTCCTGCTTTATCTAACTATGAAATAAGCAAATAAGACAAGGAATGAATGAATCATTATAACATGTATAAATAGAAAAATTAATAAAGGAATAAATAAATAATTTAAAAAGCATAAATAAATAAATAGATAATTTAATATGTTTAAAGAGAAAGTTTACTACATATAATTATATGAATGAAGAAAATATTGAATGATGGGCTAAGAAAAATTAAATGAATGAAATAATGATAATGAAATTATAAGCTTGGTTTAAAAAAAAAATTAATGTTAATCAAAAACTTCTAAACTGTTACCTTAATTATAACATAATTACTGTATGGAAAACCCTAATGTAGATTTTCCAAAGGGTTTGGAAAAGTTTTGGAATTCCATGGAATTCCAAACATTTCCATACAAGAGTCTAAAAGTGTTTTTGGAAGTTTTTGGAATCTTTTGGAATTTGAATAACAAATTTGGACTTAGACATTTTGAGGTTTGGAAAGTTGTGGAATTCTATGGAAAAGCTGATAAAATGAGAAACTTAGACATTTTCTGCTCTGGAAAGCTGTGGAAAATAACTTAGAATTTTTTCTTAAACTGTCGGCTCATAGTACAATTACGTCGGGATCGATGTCGGGCTCGATGAACAATTAATTTAAACTACAGCCCGCCAAAATTCAACAATTCGGCTGCCATGTTGTATTGTTGGACAGAAGGAAAGAGAGTGTCACGAAGAAGGGAACTGCTGTCATTATTAGCTTGGAATGGAATTTGTATTTTGACAAAAGATGCAGACATTTTAAGACCCGGTAGGTACAATGTACAGTAATCAGTATTTTATGTGTTCTTGAAGTTGAATGGATAATTGACTGTTCCTCAGTCTGGGCACCACACACATAGAATGCCCGACGATGTAACCATTAGGGCGAGTTTCATTTCTTTAATAATTATTGTACAACTCTAAACATCTCTTATCAAAATATGTTTGAACAATGTGTGGATTTCAACCCGAATTTCCTCCGTTCGTACATGTCCTTAGACCTCGCTATATATGCTAGTGGCACGTTGCCAATTGCGCCACGACAGTCCATGTTACATCGTACACAGACATCATAACACTATTAGTGTCTCCAATATGTTGCAACATGCAACATCTAAATTGGCTATCTTTACCATGTTTACAACAAAGAAAAAAAGTGTAGACGGTGGTAGACTAATAATGCTCTATAAGCTGTCTATATGATATAAAGTTGTGCACAACTTAGTTGCGGTAGACCCAAGCCTCTATTTAGTTTCACAGACTACCACCAACAAAGGCATTTCAAGTCTTCCTTACTTTCAGACCTTTAGTACTTGCACAGATAATTTAAATATAGTTCCCCCCCCCCCCCCCATTATGGAAATTTATTTCTCTTCCATGCTCAGTGGTGTCGGCAGCCTCTTTGGGGCCAGTTCAGAACTCTGGTCCGAATTATTAGCTAATAACATTCCTTAGTACATGTACTACTTACATTTTACAGAGTACATTGTAAATAATTGTATCTATTTTTTAATGCATGTTCATGATCATTCACAGCACTTACTTTTATTATTTTATAGCTGAAGTACTCGATTTGCACAGCGCCGGCATATAATCATCAAGCTTGATGAAATGTCCTAATATGTAGATGTAGATGCTAAGTCATTCAGTCACCTAGCTTGTGAGAATGGTGAGAGCCTGCTCAAATTATCATTCAGCACAAATAAACTAACATTGTTTTTATTAATTAATGTTTTATAGCGTAAGATTTTTTTTTATTGAGCAAGTAACAAGAGGTTTATATTCTTAATTCCTTAATAATGCATAACAATTATAACTTTTGACAGGTAATCTAAACATGCTAAATGCTACATGCATAATCATTTTACATTTTATTTAAGTATAAATATTAAAAATGACTATACTCTATGACATAAAATCATGCATGCATTATTTACAGGAATGCTCACAAAAAGGACAAGAGCGAGAGAGCTGTATGGAAATTTACACAAAGGTAAGATTTTTTAATCATTTTCCTAATCAATAAAATCAAAAGAATTGAAATTATGTGTTTATCAATGTTAGCCAGGCATTGAGAAAAGTTATTATGAACCTTAGACTCCACTCTTTCAAATATATTTTAGTTATTTTAAGAAGTTGTTGCTTTTAACTTGTTTCCTATGTCAGTTCTCTGTCCTGTTCACAAGTTTTTACCTACGCCTTGTCAATGTCATTCATCATATTCTTACACAAACCTATAACCTTAGTCGCAGATATAAATTTCCAGAAATAAAGAAGTACATGTATACATGTACTAATATATTATCTTACTCAATACTGAATTGTTGAGGCATGGAAGTTACATGTATTTATAACAGTTTATTTAATATTTTCTTAATTTTTCAAAAATAAAGTATATGTACATGTATTTGCATGTTTGAAGCCTAGAACAAATGTTTTCTATATATTCACTTTATGTTATTTGCTTTGTCTATATTTTTGTTACATTGTAAATTAACCAATGTGCATTTAAAGCAATTACATATGCCTTTATTTACATTTGCAAATATTTTTCTTAGATGAACCTATAGAAGAGAAAATATGTTCAATTCTGTATGAACTTATTAGGGGTCAGAGGTCATGGCGTGACCGAATCACACAGCGAGACGATATCTTGTCTACATATTTCTGTCACAGTGACACTGGTTTCGGAACTTCTGAACCGTCAAAGCGATGAAAAAGATAAAATTATTGACACATATATTTTTTTTTTCGTTCAACAAATGATCGTTAGATCTTTCTTCGGTGTGAAGAATGTTTCTAATTAGCCTAAAATCACGCTTACCTCTTTAACCCGAAATTCCTTTGAAGGTATGTAAACTGAAGACGATAGCACCGCTTTTGACTTTATATATAAAGAACTCGTACAATAATAGTAAGATAATTCCCAGTAGCGATCATTGTTTTTTCATTATGAACAGATATTTCCTGAACTGGACTGCTAAACATCAATGTAAGTATTCAAATGTTGGAGCGAGGCGAACTCTCAAGACCAAACAACTTCTAGGTCATTGCGCGTCACAACATAGCAATACGGCGGGCCGTTCGTGTAATAAATGCAGTCCTATTCAGAATATTCGTCTCAAATGTAAATAAAAGTAATAAACAACAATGTTAAAAAGTTCACTGGGAAATGAACTTGGTTGGTACGTGATCAAATCTTCTGAGAAGCCCTTCGGGCTTCACAGGATTTGATCACGTGACCAACCAAGTTCATTTCCCAGAGAACTTTTTAACATTGTTGTTTATTTCTTAAATAAATTCGTCTTTTCCTCTTTTCAAGGGTCAGTTAACGGAGTAAGCTGATATGGAGGATAATATATCAAAGGCAGCATAGGCGTCCAAACTCCTGTTCAAGGTGCTTTTAATCAGAAGCTTAAGAGACAAAAGACGAGCCATTGACAAGGCAAAACTGAATGTTTTATATGGTATATAAATTATATTTACTAATGTACTTTTTTTCATACCTTAACTTTATTTGCTGAATGTTTTTAAGGGTACATAGTTTATGTAATTTACAATGTTCTCTCTCATATTCAAGGTTAATTAACTTAGACACAATCATGTCTCTTTATTTTTTTTTAATTTCACAACTTCCATTAGTTTAAAAAGAAATCAATCCTAATCTGAACAAAAAATTACAAGATAATAAATTCCTATTCTACAGTATTAAACTGATCTGCCAGGTTGAAAGAACCAATTGTCTTATATAGCTTTAGTTTATTATTTGTCATATATTTATACATGAGATAGATATCATACATCTTTATGGTAATCTTTTCTTTCAGAAATTGAGCAAGAAAAGTTTGAAGTGTCTTTGGGAATGATCAACATCAAACTTGCTGAGCTTTTGAAGCTGTCGTACCAAAAGTGAATCCATTCGTGACACCAATTATCTGACCACCCTCTAACAGAACCAGTGAGGAAGTGATTCTAGCCAATACTTCAGAAGTTTAGGACCCTCAATAATTAGGATCTTGGGGCATGTTGGGGAAAAAAATAGCATGTGTTGATTTTATGGGATCTTTCAAATATAGTTGTGTAGTAGATATTTGTGTACTTAATACATATGATTGTCACTCTAGTCATTAACTTTGTATGGTAAATGTATATGGACCACTGGAAGATCATTGTAACTGTATACAAATGTTGCAAATATACCCTGTTAAGGCTTTAGTGACCTTTCCCAAGGTCATTCAATGAAGCAAAAGGTCATAATTAATGTTTTTTTTTAAATTTATTTTGTTTTATTATTAAAAAATGTCATATGTTTGAGGTTACTCTAGGTACAAAGGATTTTCTTTAACCAAAAGTCATTTGTTTCTCATGCAGACCGTAATTTACTACATGTACATGCATGTATATTATAATAATTCTCATTAATTAAACCAAGGTGATCATCCAGTAATGATATTTTTCTGTGGATTTTTAACATTGTTTAAATAATCTTTGATGTAAAATACTTTCATTGATAATACTTTTTAAAATTTGTGCTTTCATTGTACATAGAAGTGTGTATGCAATATTTGTCCCCAAACACATTGTAAAGCAAAAATGATTTTTTATTTTGAAAATATAGATTTGATTTATGAAAAATTGTGATGTAGTCATTTTTTTTTTTGTAATTATTTGGCCCTTAAATTATTTTGATTATTCCAGTTTTTGTATTTTCCTGGAATTCCTTGGATTTCCGTGGAATTCCATAGATTTCCAAATATCCTGGAATTCCATGGATTTCCAGCTATTTCCGCAAATTTCTATTCTGGCATTGTTCCGCTCTTTTCCAGGCTAGATTTGAAATTCCATACCATTCCAAAAAAGTTCCGTCCCAATACTCTCGAGAATTCCTCGGAATTCCATGGAACACTTTTTCCATGGAATTCCACGGAATTTGTTATGGAATTCCACGGATCTTACGGAAAATCTACATTAGGGAAATCAGCGTATTATAGGGTGCGTATCATTACTGCTACATTTTCAAAATTTTCATTACCGCTACATGCACATTACCGCTACAAAAAAGGATACATTACCGCTACATTTAAAAGTATACATTACCGCTACATTGTCTCTTTCATTAGCCAGCGTCTTATGCGTGTACAGAACAGCATATATATACATGCATAAGACCTGTTGCTTCTGCTCACCACGGGAAGGTGAAAGTAGGACTTTGAGCAGGATGTTTTTTTTCTTCATTTTTTATTTGTCACAAACTTCTCAATAATAATAGCCATGACATTCATCATAAATCGACTACAGACTTATATATACTCATTTTCATTAGAATTCAGATCCAAATTGTACTTCACTACATGTTGAGTGAATTATATTGAATGGAACTCATATCCTGTGCCATTGCTGGCCGATTCGTTATGTAGCGGTAATGAGTTGTCGTCGGCATTAGTCCCTTTGATAAAATGTAGTGGTAATTAGTTGAAATTTTTTGCAATGTAGCGGTAATGTTGACCTCCCGTATAATAATAATTCTTACAGGCAGGTAAGAGTAATTGTTTTTGTAGTAAGCTGTAAACTGATTAATGATTGACAGCAATTACACAAATATTGTAAAATTGATCAACTGTCTAGATTTTTCCATCTTAAAGATACAAACATGTATATCTTTTATCTGTTTTGGTTGAGAAATCAGTACACAGTTCATAAATCCAAGTGTTACTGTTCTTTGTTTCCTGAAGAGTTCACTGCCCTTTGTTTTGAAAATGCCAATCGGTGGCAAGACAGCTATCCTCTGATTTTGGAGAATAAAATCTATGCACCAATAACAGAGGCCGCCTAGACCTATTAAATATGTTGCATGTTTCAAGAAAAAGAATGATATTTTCTACAAATCTTGATATAATAATTTACTTGAATTTTTAATATAACTTTACAATTGACATGAATTGCATTTAAAAAATTTAATTTTACAAACAGATCGGAAGTTCCGTGATTGTTGCTGGGACATTGATCAGAGAGGCTCAGTAGGGGAGACAATCCTCCACCTGTGTCTCCTGAATGCCACTGCCATACACGCTGATCTGGCCAAGCGGTTAATCCAGGCATTTCCTAAAATGATCAACGACATCTATCTCGCTGATGAATATTTTGGTATATATATATGTATATGGGATGAATACGGTGTACTGATAAGGGCACTTACTCTCTAGCTTAACTGCCTTTTGGTCTAGGGAGCAAGCATTAGGGTTACAATGCTAGATAGTAAGGAAGACAACAATGTGAGGGAGTGAGGGTAGGGGGAAGGAAGGAGGGACTGAAAGGTTGACTGCAGAAACTTGAGGTAAACGATTGTATCTAAATCAGCTCTAGTAACTAAACTTGCTTCTTTGAATTCTTGCTCCCTTGCGTTGTATACCTTGTCACCCTCGTTCTGTTATGTTGTTGCCCTGGGTCTTCATCATATTTCATCCTCATTCTCACTCTCTTGATCTGTCACAATATCTCCCCATTACTCCCACTTAATTGTCCCAATGTCCATGTGATTGCTCCCTTGCTTTGTGCCCCTCGCATTTTCATGTCATTTAAAAATTGCTCAGTGTAAGCAAGATAGCAGGGGAGAAAGTGACCCTAACAGTACATTATAGATAATAGGTATACTGTACACATATTTATGTTTAAATAAAATCTCTGAAAAAAAATAAAGTAATTTTAATCAAATGTTTAAATGATGTTTTAAGTTCAAAGGTAATTGCATATCAGTATTCACTTTTTAGATATTGTAAGAATTTGTAAGAAAGAGGTGAAGGTGAAGAATTTGATATGTAAATTATAAATTGAAAATCATTCACGAATTTATGGAAATAGAATGATATAATTACTTCCTGTGCAGGGGAGAGCATCCTACACATAGCTATTGTGAACGAAGATCCAGCTATGGTGAAGTTCCTTTTGGACAATGGAGCAGATGTCCAGGAGAGAGCGTGTGGGAATTTCTTCTGTCCAGATGATCAGAAAAGTTCACGTATGGACAGCTATGACCATGAATGGGTGGATGTGACTGAGAAAACAAATTATGAAGGGTTAGTGCTCATTTTGTATAAAGGGGAAACCCAAACATTTAACTCTGAATATGTGTCAGTTGATTTTCTGCATTTGAGATAAGTTTGTTGATATTCTGTATTCATGTATACTTTGGAGAGTTTCCCCTGTCATTTTTTGTTAATATTTTGTAGACATGTATACTTTGGAGAGTTTCCCCTGTCATTTGTTAATATTTTGTAGACATGTATACTTTGGAGAATTTCCCCTGTCATTTGTTAATATTTTGTAGACATGTATACTTTGGAGAGTTTCCCCTGTCATTTGCGGCCTGTCTTGGACAGGAGGAGTGTGTTAGACTGCTCATTGCCAAGGGAGCTAACCCAAATGTACAGGACACTAACGGAAACACAGTGATGCATATGTTAGTGATCCATGATAGAAAGGTAGGGCAGTAATCATTGTCATTATCTGCATCCTTTGTAATCTTTATTCATCTTCAATAGCACTTATTGCTAATTTTTGCATATTGGTGCATCTAGATATTTTTTTATTGGCATTGTTTTCTGGTAATGTGACAGATAAGATGGAGAATCTTAAAGGGTTTACTTTCACTTATATTATTATCCATGAAATATTTTACTTAAACATGAATTACTGTATATATGATTTATTTTGCTGTTGTGTTATGTTAGCTTTCATGTATACAAAATATAGTCACAATACAAGCACTTAAATATCTGCACTTGACAATCCATCGCTGGAGTATGGCCATGTGACTTCTACCAGACTCTGGATGTTTCGTTATTAATGTCATACTCTATAATAACTAGAAACTCGACTTTGTATTTATGTTCAGGAAAGTGAATTTGATGGAGAGGTTTGATTTTTTTTTTTTCAGTAGAAGCACATACCTATTTATCACGTTTTATAGAAATATTAATGTAGTGTTGTATGCTTAATATTTTATTCTACTTATTTGATATTTTCTAACTTAGTCACAGCCAACTTAAAAGCCCTATTCTCTTTACAGGTCACAATTACTGACCTTTTCTGATCAAATTTTGCTCATCTAACTTTAGCAGTCAATTTTTGTATTTGTTGTAATCAAGTGATACATCCAAACTTAATCTCAAAATAATGATTTGGCAGAAAGGGTACAAGTTTGTTCATATGCAATGGAAAAAAATAAAGCTATATATTTAAGAATCGTCCTTATTTTGGCTATCAAAGTTCCTATTAGGAAGTCCAATTTATAAATTGATTTATTTTAGAATTTGTTCACTTTAATCAAGATATTTTGATCAAGAAAAAAATATCTACAAGAAATAGTTAAACATAAGCATGCAGTCCCTATGAAGTCCCCAAGAATTTTTTGGATTCCACAATACACTACCATACAAGTTACTTAAACCACATATTTTTCTTCCTTAATAAAAATAGTAGATAGTCATTTTTTAAAATCCCATTTATGTCTTTAATCACTTATTCAGCCAGTTCACTTTTCCTGTAATTGATACATTTAATTATGTTGCTTTTGATATGCCATACAACTTGTTACTTCTGGTTAATTAACTCTCCCTCCTTCTTCATTATTGCATGCATTCTAAACAACCACCAAGCAAACTTAACTCTGGTTTTACTGCATTCAAATATCAGTGCCTTCATTTTCTTAAATTGTAACTTCATTTTGCACACATAAAATTCCTAAAACTTTTTTTTTTTCGTAAAATGGATACATGTCTTTCTTTAAATTCAAAGACTTTATGTATTTAAATCTTATATTCTGAGATCAAAAACTTTACTATTAGACTTTAATCATTATAAAATCAATCTATATCTCTGCTCTAGTAAACCTCATTAATGATGAACTTGTTCTAACATTTCATGTCTTTTTCTTCCATGCTGCCTTCAGTATGCTTCTAAAAAGGTTTGTATTAGTATTCCTGTTTTTACATGTTGGCTAGCGATGAAAATGTACATGTATATATATAAACATTTGTGATGTGCTGCATCTGTTGTTATAAATAGTCACCACATGTTGCAATAAAAAGAAAACCGAGTTGTAAAATTAAATATACTTCAATATGTAATCGGTTAATTTCATCTACATAAAAGCAATCCAATTAGATATTCACCTCTGTCGGTCCTGTATGTAACATTTGTATGATTAGAGCTAGAGAGAGGAGAACTGAGAAACCATGTGAGGAACTTACCTCCATTATACAGTCAGAACTACTTAGAATTATATCAGGGGACATCGTGTCGAAATTAATTTTCTTTCTACATGTATGTTATTAAGGATACTTGGCACACCAATTAAATATCCAATTTATGAGAAAGTAATTTTGTATTGAAAACAAGCTCTTTAGGACTATTTCATAGTACATTATTCAATTCTAGAGTTTTTGTCTAAACAGAGTGCCATATAGTTCAAGGTTGGTAACCCACTGGATTTTAGCTCACCTCGACAAAGTTGAGATGAGCTTATGCTATACCCCGGCGTCGTCATTAGCTTCGACGTACCGGTTAAAGTTTTAGGAGCAAGTCCATTGCCAAGTAACTATAAGCCCTACCTGGACCAAACTTACATGGATGACGCATCTAGGGATGGACACTACCAGACTTGCTTCGGATGCTGGATATGACTTAGATTTTCCAGATGAGTGACCAGGTTAAAGGTTTTGGAGCAGGTCCATTCCCAAGTAACTATAATCCCTACCTGGACCAAACTTACATGGATGATTACCACACTTGCTTTGGATGCTAGATATGACCTAGATTTTCCACATGAGTGACCAGGTTAAAGTTTTTAGAGCAGGTCCATTCACAATTAAATAACTATAACGCCTACCTGGGCCAAACTTGCATTGATGATGCATCCAGGGATGGACACTACCACACTTGCTTTGGATGCTAAATCTGAGCTAGATTTTCCACATGAGTGACCAGGTTAAGATTTTGGAGCAGGTCTATTCCCAAGTAACTATAAGCCCTACCTTGACCAAACTTTCATGGATGATGCATCTAGGGATGTACACTAACCAACCTGTATAGGATGCTGGATCCGACCTAGATTTTCCACATGAGTGAATTTCAGCCGCATTTTAACCAAATTAGCATGGATGATGTATGTAGGGATGGTCACTTCCAGACTTGCTTTGGATTCTGAATTTGACCTACATTTTCCAGATGAGTGACCAGGGTAATTTTTTTTGAGTAGCTATATAATATTATGGCCTTTTATGATTAAACTTGCATAGATGGTGCATTTAAGGATGAAAATTTACAGACTTGTTTTGGATGTTGGAACTGAACAAAATTTTCTTGATTAGTGAACAGGTTAAAGTTTTTTGAGCAGGTCTATTTCCAATTAACTATAAGTCCTACTTAAACCAAACTTGCATGGATATTTGATCTTGGGATGTACACTAACTAGAAAAAAAATATGTGTGAAATTTGCCTAACTTATAGATAACATTCATCGAGGTGAGCTTAGTAATCTTTGATTACCTGTGTTTATATGTTAACAATTCCTTTCAAAGAAATGTGGATGGATAGTGAACTTGTGGATTAATTATTGATAATGCAGTGTATTATTCATGGGAAATAACTGTGTAAAAATTGTTAACAAAGATGAGCAGTAGTTCTCAGTTAATATAAGGATGTATTATGTTTTAAAATGTCATCTCTGAAAACAGATTGAACTAGAAAAAAGCCCAGCGGTAAAGTATAGATGGTGTATTTTGTGAAGAAAAGTAGTTGAGACCGTGTGATATTTGATAAAATTTCAATGGTAGAACATTTTTGAGACTGTGTAAATAGAATCTGATGTGAGAGAATCTTGATATTGAAGTTACCAGATCTGATACATTGTTGTACCTGCATTCTGCTTTTTAGGACTTTGTATTACCTGTGTTATGTATTATGTTGTACATGTTGTTACATATGTAGTGCCAAAGCCAGATGCTGCACACAGCACACAAATCATTCATTTATGCACAATTATATGTATTCACGTACTTTATGTTTTTCAGTATGATCTGTCTTAATGAAATCATTTTCACATTTATTTTTACCATATTAATTCTCTGACATTAAAATACGTTTTTTAATCATTAATTAATTCATGATTTAATGAATATATCATGCTTTATAACAATCTCATTCACCTAACATATGATGATTTAAGCTTTATGCATTAAGTGGACTAGACGCTAAGGTTTTTCTGTTTATGACAGGACATGTTTAATCTGTTGCTGGACCTGGGAGCCAGACTGGACATCAAGAACCGGCAGGGTCTTACACCACTGACACTGGCCGCTACACTGACCAGAAAAGAGGTAACGTATACGGAAGTGTGAGAAACAGACAGACAGACAGACAGACAGGGTCTTACACCACTGACACTGGCCGCTACACTGACCAGAAAAGAGGTAAGGTATAGGGAAGTGTGAGAAACAGACAGACAGACATATTTGTCACCAAATTATTTTGATGTAAATGCTAAAAATTTCCTATTAAGCATTAACAATAAACAAAACATTTTACTTTGAACTTGTGGGTGAAAGATAAACTTTATACTGTTGTATAGAATTTTAACATTTTGTGGGGGACATGAATTCATAGGTCTCTTGTTACTATGTATTCAATGAAAATTAAACTCCCACAAAATAAGTAATTTTACAGAATTTGAATATGACATTGGTTTTTAGATGTATGAGCACATTTTGGAGAAGATTCGTCAGGTGTGCTGGATCTATGGAAATGTGACGTGTGCTGGTTATCCTCTGAAAGACATTGACACAATCTCCGAGACCGGTGACATCAACAGAAACTCTGCCTTAAACTTAGTTGTCTATGGGGTAGGAGACCAGCTCTTCCTTATACTTAGTTTATTATGAAGTTGTAGAGCATTGGCTGAGGATCTTGGTCAGGTTTTATTTGACAATTTGTTTGTGTTGAATGGAACTGATAGTGAAATATTTATTTATCAGACAGAGGATGGCCATCTGGACATGATGGATGGACTTATTGTTGAACTTCTGAAAGACAAGTGGAAAACTTTTGTTGGACACAGGTCAGTAGACACATAACCATGGACTTGTTGATATCTGTTCCTAAAGCTTTTTATGATGAACTGAAATAGGATCAAATTTTATGAACATTTTGTTACATGTAATGATGAGTAATAGGATGAGTAAAAGGAAAAAATTCTATTTAAAACGGTATTCTATCAGATGATATATGATTTTCTTTTGGAACTTGTGACAGTATGTTGAGTAAATTTCAGTAATATTTTTGGTCAAGAAGTAATTTTTCTGATGTAGGTTTTATAGAAGATTTGCCATCTTCTTTCTTTACTTCATCCTCTTCATGTTTGCGTTTATCCTACGTCCCGGGAGCGACTTATGTCCCACTAAGATTGCCAGTAACGATAACACGACTGTAACTCAGACAAGCGAGGTGACCTCAGAAAGTGATGGCTGTTATCTCATCAAAGCCTGTCGTACAGAGGATAAAGTAGGGAGCTCTTGTTTTTGTACTTCCTATAAAAAAATAACAGTTGTATTTATTGAAAGTGACACACAATGTAATTGAATAAGGTGTTGATGTCAGTCCAAAACATTTGAGAAACCTTGAAGCAGTTTTTGTTGTGACATTCTAGGTGAGGTTTGCACTGGAGATCTTGGTGTTAATTGGAGCATTGTGGTACATCTTTATTGCTATGAAGGAGATCTATCACCAAGGTTTCAGGGTCTTCTTCACCACTCTTGTAAGTATTGTTCTACAGAAATCTTCATTAAATTTGTGATTCCTAATGCTAAACAAAGTTTAATCACATTGTTGAAGGTTTTTAAACTAATGATGGAACATAAGTTGACATGGACTTTTTATATGGAGTAGAAAGGGGCCCCTGCCAAGGCAATGTTTCTGCTGTCAGACATTTTGGTGGTTTTGATGCTGCCAGGCCGAGCTCTCTGTCAACATGAGTATGAGGACATTATAGCTGTGTTTGCCATTCTGTTCACAGCTCCCTACTTTCTCTTCTTCTGCAGGTAAGTACTCGCTAAAAAAATAGTTGTTTGGGGGCATTTTTATGTCCACTTGATGAAAACAAAAATGGCTTTATCATTTAAAAGAAAGGTTCTTCAGATTTTGATTTCTTATTTCAGAGGCTTTAAGATTGTGGGTCCTTTTGTTGTGATGATTTACAAAATGATTGCTGGAGATTTACTTAGATGGATCATCATCTACCTGGTCTTCATCATTGGTTTCTCTCAAGGTATGCAAGTCCATACAGCTAAAAATGGAATCATTTATATGATGCAAGAATCTTTTGATTGAGGATAATGATTCCATGTTATTTTGGCCATTACAGGAAGTCGTTTCTTTAAGTGCCCAGATATATATTTAAAGGAAAAAAATTGATTTCAGGATTTGATAGAGGAAGTTTATAGAGACTTAGACTACCTCTGTACACACATTTTTTTTTTTACCTGTTCCGAATTTCATGAGGTTCAATGAAGTAAATAAATTTCATGTCAGAAAAAAAAATTATGCCCTGAAAATTTTGAAAATCTAAAATTTTGCACCACAGAAAAAAGAATTCTTGTGTCTTTGGAAAAACAAAACTGCATCTTAGAATATAAGAACTTGGCTAAGTAGGGTGGTGTACTGATTTACATGTACAAAGTTTAATGTATTAATTATAGAGTTCTAATATTTAAAGCTCTGAAGCATAATGCATGCAGATAACAAACATAACAGATTTAGCAATGATAGGTAATGGATTTTGTACAGAAAAGAATGTTTTCATAAGAAATAATTTGCAGAATTCTTTGGCAGAATTGTACAAAATCTACTACAAATGATGCTAATGCAGCTGGCTTTAGCTTGTGGTGTTGTAACCTTTTAATACTTACTTGTATTTTGTAAAAAAAAAAAAAAAATGTCCTAATTTTACCACTTTTTGGTGAGATAACATGTGCTTGTTTAAGATGGTACAGTGATTTAAGCAAAAATATACTACAGTGTATATCTTCTGATCATTTAAATTCTCATCAACAGTAAGAAAATATTTAAGAGATGAATTGAATTTTTGAGAATTAATGAGGACATGAACTACGACGCTTCACACCGGCACATTTCATGAAGCGCGTAAAATATGCAGACGTGAAGAGTTGTAGTTCATGTACCTCATTTGGGTAAGTGACAGTATATATTTTTGTGACAGTATATATTTATTTCTGAGAACAGAGAAACATCAGTAGTATCATATATCATGTTTTGTTTCAGCAATGTACATCATATTTTTAAATGTACAAGGAAGTCCTTTCAATGATCCCGTGGAGGCCATCATGGGCATGTTTATGATGTCCCTGGGAGAGTTTGGGGACTATTACGAGTCCTTCTCTCAGACAAATCATCCCATCCTCAGCAAAGTAGGGGACACTACTCTGTATGACTGTTTCCCTTTAACGCTGTTGTTATTAACTTAATGTTTGCTGGTCACTCTATCTCACTACTCTGGGGTATGCAGGGGTGATATGTGACCTTTCAGTCTAATATTAATGAAGTGTTGTATACTTATACTTTCAGTTTTGTTGTTAATATAACCTTTTTAATTTTCTGCAGTGTTACTTGATATAGTTGAGTGTTCTGCTTTTGACAAACACTGTAGAAATTGGTGATGATAGAGTATTTAGGTGTTTCATTATGTGTACAAATTTTCAGATTTTGTAAGTGACATCATGACTACTTGTAGTAATTTCTTTCACTATCAGTAAAATATTCAAATAGTACATTGTATTAATGATTCCTTAAGGATAATCTTTTTTGACACTTTGTAATGGTCAAAGGGATGTGAAACTTGTCAAAGGCAGAATATACTAGCATGTTTGATTTTTTTTTTTAAATGTGCATCATTTTGCTTTAGTTAACAGTGATATTGCACAGCTGATGGTTGATATTTATACATCAACAAGTAATAATAACAATCATGGCTAAAGCAGAACCGGAATTTTACACAGATACACAGGGCTAAAAATGTCACTGATAAATAAAATATATAATATAAATCACACAACAGTCAACACAAACATGTACAACTTATCAAACGTGAGCACATGGGAATTATTTCAAGTACATGTACCTGTAATATATGTGTGCTGTTGAAGCATAATATTTTCACACTCCATGTTTTTAAGGGATGGCTCAAGGAAATAATTTTAAATAAGTCCTGAATAATGATTTGTCTTTCATTTCAGTCTTTTTGTGAATCTTTCATTTGAGGCCAGTGGCTATTACATTTACTTGTTTCCTAAGCTATGTATATCATTTCTTCTTTTCTTTATTTATGACTTACATCTATATTTTTTTTCAGTTTGACCTTTTTAATTTTTCTTCAGTTATCTGTGTTTATTTCAGCTTTTTATATTGCATTTGTTAATGGTACCTGTGACCCCAATTCAGACCCCTGCGTTTTCTTGAGCCCCATTGAGTCAATCATTGGGATGTTTGCTATGAATGTTGGAGAGTTTGAGGACATTTACGGCACTTTTGATTCCTCTGAATATCCCACCGTGGTCAAAGTAAGTCCAAGGAATACAAAACGAGTGGGTGGAAAAAGGAACTTAGTACATACAAGAATATTTATTTATATCAATACTAGTAGTGGTAAACAAATGTTTCCATGCATGTTTGGTTACATTAATTTTTTGTGTTTTCCCCCATGTAGTTGAGACACAGGTACCCCCTTATTATTCTCACAATTTTATAGATATATATGTATATTTCTATTGCTTTTATATTTTGTCTTAAAAATTTATTTTTGCCTTGATATTATTGTGTAGGTTAGAGGCACCCGCTTTTTATAGTCATATTATGACTTTATTTGAATAAATTATATTGATTATTTTTGAATGCACATTTTTTCCATTTCAGTAATTTTGAATTTCTGAGAAATAAGGTGTATTACACATAAAATTTTGTTGATATTCACTCTAAGTTTGGAGCACAGAAAACTATAACCTAATGATTCCTTCACTATACCTATATTACATGTTTACCCCCAAATCCATAAAATTTCACCTTTTTTAAATTTGTATTCCCTTTAATCAGTTTGAATGAGGAACTTTCAAATTAACTTTCATCATGAACTTGACATTTCTTCATTAATATGGGTAATGGTAACTATATTCAATCAGAATCTATTTAAGTATTCAGTCTTAACTGTAAATAAATGAACTCAATTCAAAATATTTAAACATTTACTAGAAATCCAGTAACAAAATTCTCTGTGTTATTTCAATGAGTTTCCTCCTGTTTTATTGAAGATTTTGATATGGAGAACCTGTTGTGACATCATTTCCTGTTTACCTTTTAGATAATCTTCATGATCTATATGATCATGGTGACTCTGCTATTGGTTAACATGTTAATTGCTATGATGGGAAATACATATCAGCTGATTAACGAGACACAGAAGGAATGGTTCAGACAGGTAATGGTGACAAACATGTAAAGATGCCACATTTCACATATTATAACCAGATATACTACATGTAATATGTTATAATAAATGCCTGTTGTTGATAGGTATTCTAATTTCTTAGAACAATATGGCCATGAAGCAAACACCAATGATATTTTTAGCTCTACTGGTCAGAGACCAGAAGAGCTTATGCGATAGTAAGGTGTCCGTCGTCCGTCCGTCTGTCTGTCTGTCTGTCTGTCTGTCTGTCTGTCTGTCCGTCTGTCTGTAAACAATTTTTCAAAACGCTACTCCTCCTACAGTTTTGGTCCGATTTCAATATAACTTGGCACACAAGTAGACTACACTAAGATACATAATTTAGTGCATCGGTTTTTGATTTCGATGGACGATGTTGCCATGGTTACTAAAAATAGAAATTTCTGTGAAATTCCTTTAAAACGCTACTCCTCCTACAGTTTTGGCTCGATTTCAATATAACTTGGCACACAAGTAGACTACACTAAGATACACAATTTAGTGCATCGGTTTTTGATTTCGATGGACGGTGTTGCCATGGTTACTAAAAATAGATATTTCTGTGAAATTCCTTTAAAACGCTACTCCTCCTACAGTTTTGGTCCGATTTCAATATAACTTGGCACACAAGTAGACTACACTAAGATACATAATTTAGTGCATCGGTTTTTGATTTCGATGGACGGTGTTGCCATGGTTACTAAAAAAAGAAATTTCTGTGAAATTCCTTTAAAACGCTACTCCTCCTACAGTTTTGGTCCGATTTCAATATAACTTGGCACACAAGTAGACTACACTAAGATACATAATTTAGTGCATCTGTTTTTGATTTCGATGGACGGTGTTGCCATGGTTACTAAAAATAGAAATTTCTGTGAAATTCCTTTAAAACACTACTCCTGCTACAGTTTAAGTCTTCTTCTAATATAATTAGGCATACAAGAAGACTATACTAAGATACATAATTTATTGCATTGGTTTTTGAATTCGATGAACAGTGTTGCCATGGTTACTTAAAATAGAAATTTCTTTGAAATTCCTTTAAAACGTTACTCCTCCTACAATTTTGGTCTGATTTCAATCTAATTTGGCACACAGTTAGAATACACTACGATACATAATATGTATTTCTGTTTTTTTTTTATTTGGGTGAACGGTGTTTTCATGATTACTAAAAATAGAAATTTCTGTGAAATACTTTCAAAACGCTACTACTCCTAATTTTCATTTGATTTCAATATAACTTGTCACAAAAGTAGACTACTTTAAGATACATAATTCTATTTATTGTTGCATGTTGCAATGTTTCAAATCCAAGTGCTACTTTTCTTTTGTTATACAAACAGACCAGTAGAGCTACAGTCTCATCAGAGACTTCTGGTTAGCACATATTTTGCTTCTGTTTTTTCAGTGGGCTAAAATTGTTTTGGTGGTGGAGCAGAGTGTAACAACAGAAATCAGACGAACCCAGCGACAGAAGTATTCTCAGCCGAGCGCTGATGGGGACAGAATGTTCATCGTCAGGTGGCATCAAACTGTAAGTTTAACAAAATAAGAAGTAATTCACATTGATGAAATAAATATACTATATGTACTAGCATCTTATTCAGGAGACAAAAGTGAAAAAAAATAATCATAATGTTCTAAACTACTAGTACCTTTATGGATAGGTAGTATTTGTCAAACAGATATTTTTCATTTCCTCTGTACTTGTGGAATTGCATGCTATATGAAATTGTGCTTCACAGCAAAAGGAGCAGGAAGAGATGGCACGCCAGAAGGAAGAGATTTACCAAAAGCAGAGGAAGGCTGCTGCAGAAAAGAGGAAGAACATCTTCCGTAAAATGTCCACACCAAAAGTGATAGACACTAGAGAGGCGGAGGAAGGTCATATCAATATGTAAAGGGGTGGCAATCTTAACTATAGGAGGATGTCATAACAAAGGGACATTATTTACCATGAGGTGAATGTCCGATGGAACGGACAGTATGAAGTGGATGTCCAGTGGAACGGACAGTAAAAACTGTGTATGAATTGTACGTTCCGACTTAAGGGGGCCGACTGGGGTTTTCATTGCGCAATACTTCGCGCAGCATAGTAAAATAAAGCGTATTTGCTCTTTTAAAGCAACTATTTTTACATAATTTACAAAAATTAACAAATTTAGGAAAACTAAGGTTAAAAAATCTAATTACGTTTTTAAATAACTGATTTTTTAAACGATTTTTGAAATGATGGGTAGATAGACGTCGTAACAGCGTGTTTCTGACGTTATGATAACTGAAGTTCTTTAAGCGGGGTCATTAATTATGTCATAAAATAAAAAGTATAAAATAGATGCTCTTGAAATTTTAAACACAGGAAATTGAGAATCTCACAATAATTTTTATTTTTTTTTTATGTAAATCTGTGGTATCTGTCATGTTTTGTTGTACTCCATTAAAACAGGAAAATATCACGATTTTAGACATTTTGAGAAGCCCCCTCTGGAAACCAGATGGTAGAATTTTGTGTTTCTTGCGAAAAATGTACAATATAGTATTATCCATCAAATAATATAATTTGAGCAAAAAGTCTATAGTAGCATTTGTATAATTTGCTCCAAAGTGCGAAAAAATGGTATTTCCCTATATAACCCTATAGTAAATGTACCTGTATTTTGAGATGGTCCCTAAAAAATAACCAGACGGTAGATGTTCACTAAACTTGGCATATATACTGAAGTCAATGTAAGGTATATATTGTATAAAATTAAAGAGTTTCTCTATAGTAGTTTTCACACAATAAAACCCCAGTCGGCTCCCTTAAGATTTTATTTTTCCTGTGAAAAACGAATGTGTGCTCTAGTTTTGGTACAAAAATCAATTTATATTTCCCCATTTCTAGTCAATTATTTTTTGAAAAAGTTTTTTGCAATAATCTATGATTATTGCTTTTGGATGAATATTATGTGCCTTTAAATGCCGTTGTCTTAAGGTCACCTGGGTCATTCACTCCGTTTGCCCTCAGGATATGGTGAAGCAGGCAAGCTGTTTACATGGTTATAAAAAGCAGTAAGCCCCTTAGCAAAATTGTGAAAATCATTGATATCTCCTCTGGGCTCAGGATTTAAGCTTCAGGGAAAGGCTAAGTTGTTTATAAATTGCAAATACATTAATTCCCCTTTAAAAGATCTTGTTTTATTTCACAATGTACCTTTAAAACTCTTATGTATTACTGGATCTTCAGCAGCCAAACTATATGGCAATGCATGATGGAAGTAAGCTTCGAGTACTTGACTTAATTGTGAATTAATCCCCAGGGTCCAGGCCCATCAGAGGGAAGGGGACTAAATTGACCATTTATTTAAAAGGCATTCTGTTTTTTCCCTTCACTCCTGAGCATCAAGGAGCCAAGCTTTATACAATTTGATGTGAACATTGTCCTTAAAAACTATAAATATTGTATGTGTCCTAATTTCTTGTCCTCTGGATTGCCTGAGAAAACTCATGATACTCAGGTGACATTAAGGCTTATGGACTTATGTTTTACAGACTGTCCATCCATGCTACACATACATGTAATTATTACCATTATTACCAATTATTTTGTTTGCCATTTCCATTCTCTATGAAACTTTTTTAGTATCAAAAATCAACCAGTCTGCTTTCTTTTTCTTAATCAGTAAAAAAAAAAATTCAGTTATATTTTTTGTATGTATATGACAACCATACATTTTTTTTATGATTTATATTTTTTCACATACTTTTTGTTTACTTAACACTGAAAACTTTTATTTTATAATTTTATGGATACTGCATTGCATACTGTCCATGTTTTATGCTGTGATATTATGAGAAAAAAAATCTATTTATGCATTATACAACTGTATTTATTTTTTGTGTTATTTTAGATTCTTCACAAATATTTTATCTGCTGAAAACTATGAGCATTTGTTGTTTTAGATGACCAAATACTGTTGTTAAATAAACATGAACCAGGCTAAATACATTGTTAATGGGTAATAACAAATTAAACATTGCAGTGCTAGCCAACATTTTGTGTTATGTTGTGTGTAGGACAACTTTAAACTTTCACTTTTTTTTTTTTGGGGGGGGGGGGGGGGGCTATTTCCTTAAGGAAAAATTAAAACTCTAAAGGTACTGCACGTTTCAGTATATAATTTTAGTACCTGGAATATAGCAAAGCACCATATGAATAGGTGTGTGGACTAAAAGAATTGGTGTATTCCTATGTTGATTTTGATTGTATGCTATGTGCACTTCATTCTCAAAATTAATTTTTTTTTAAGTGATTGTGAATTCGAACCCCATGCAAGACTGCCCTCCCCCCCCCCCCCCCCAAAAAAAAGACAACAGCCTATATACAATGTCTCCATCTAAAGGAAAAAAAAGCCTACTAGCTATGAATATTCAATTGCGAACAGGGCAGAAAAAAAAAATTTCTGCAAATGAAATGAAATTGGTATTTGGCCTTCTGCTTAATCCATGTAGTTAATAGGTTTAAAGGCATACTATACGTTGACAAGGTCATTGCGAGTCACCACCTCCTTTTAATGATGATGTACCAAGTTACGGTCAAGACACAGTAGAATTAAAAGCGAGGAGAATTCAGGTTGGTACAGTAAATCTCATCCCCTGAAGGGAACAATACCTAAAGTTTGAATTTAGAGAAATTTTCATCAATATATGTACCGCAATACCTACCACAATTTTTTTTTGGGGGGGGGGGGGGGATATACAAATATTGAAATTACAATGTCCTTTTTCTGTCCAGGACAAAATTAATACTTGAGAAATACTGAAATCTAATATTATGTGAGAAAGATGCTTTTAATCAGTGTCTAAATTCTGACTAATGATTAGTTGGGTTTGTTTTGGTCACTAAGACTCTAAAGGTAATAAGTTTTATCGAGACACAAAGTTCAAGACCAGAGGGTGTCAGAAACTGTAAAACGTATTTAGAAATCAGATTTGTGACAAGTTACTTACGACAAGGTCCATCAGTCACTCGGGCAGTATGAGGGTTTGGATATTCTGGCCATAACTTTGTAATACAGGAACAGCAGAATTTCCTACAGTGCACTTAGCACAAAGGGTGTTCATATTAGAACATGTTCTTGATTATGAAAAACTCTGTGGACAGGGTCACATGGTTTGGACTCAAAGAATTGCTCAGTTTACTATAACCTAACAAGGTACAGCAGAAACTTAAACTTGGCAAAGAGTTTGCACATAATCAGAGGTTGTGACCCTAAGCTGGTGAATGAGGTCAGAGGGATTAGAATTAAGTTTTCTTCAGCTTGTAATGCTGCTATGCAGAAGCTCATACCCAACACAGACTATCTGTGATCAGTGAATGTTATATCTTCAACATAAGGTTGAAAGCATGTAACACTGTAATATAACATAGAATTGGAAATTTTTCTAGTAAGTTCATTTTGAGTTTGTCCAGCAGTGGGTATCAATCCCTCTATGAACATCTTTCAAATTGGTGCTCTTATTGTATATTGACTTTCAGTAATCTAAAACATTACACTAAATCTATCATCTTGAAAGAATTTTATTGTTCTCTGCATGAAAAAATTACACATGCAATGAAATTTCACAGAAAATTCTACTTTGGTTCAACACTAGAAGGCTTTTATTAAAATACATGTAATTATATAATGTATAAATTAAAAAAATGTTGAATGCAAAAAAAAAGTGTGTAAAGCAAATGGACGGAGAAAAAATATCACAAACAAAATTATCTTTGCACTGTCGGAATAAATCAAGCTAACAGATCATTCATAGAGTACAACCATCCATCACGAGGACAACATTCCTGTACAAAGTTTAATAAATACATGTAAAAAGGTGGAAAATTGACAACCACTAGTCAGGAATTCAACAAGTTAAAATTATAAATTATCATGAATACCAGATTCTAAGAAATGACGAGTAAAATCAAAACATTTTTTATTTACAAATACAGATCTTAATTATATTACCTTGTACCTTGAAGAATGACAGGTTTTTCATACTGCTTTAGTTTGAAAATTGTCTTTAATTTGAACTTAAGGAATAAATATTCACACCACATTGGCATGAAATGCAATGAATAATATATACAATGAATGTTGAAGAAACAGCAGAGAAGTATCACAGATTTGTCATTAGGTTCACAGGTACTGAACACATTTAGACCTACAGATAACATCTTGTGTAGTAATCTCATTATCTCCTATCGTACACACCCCCATTGTAATTGTTGTACCCATAATGGTAAGGATCATCTTCCATCTCCATTCCATATCTGTCCATCATTGCTGACTGCCTCCCATCCATCAGCATGGCCTGTCTCTCATCCATCATCATCGCTTGCCTTTCATCCATCATCATTGCCTGCCTTTCATCCATCATCATCGCCTGCCTCTCGTCCATCATGTAGGGATCCATTTCTAGTGGTCTGCCGTACTCGTCCACTGGTGGACCGTTACCAATAAAGCCCATGTGAGATTCTGGTCTCTCGTAAGGATCATAGCCACCATCCATGGGATTCCCATACCTATTCAGATTAGAACAACTTTTAATCAAGACACAAGCATTTCTATATCATAGGCATCATGTACAGGTACAAGTTTCTTCTTCACCTTCTCATTGATGAAATAAAACTAAACTTTATCAGACTGATAGTACTGGTAACGTTCTCACTCTGATGCACATTTTCTTGTTAAAAGTTGAATAGCCAATGTGAAAGTTAAAGCAATATGAGCTGCAACTTTGATGTCGGAAATTTTTGTTGCAAAATTGTAATTTACTATTTCAATGACAGGAAAAAAAAGAATGTTTATAAACTTTGCGATTGAGGAACTATTTTTAAGCTTTGATTAAAGCAGAATTACATTATTGCCGTCATGTATATTGATTCTTTATATAATGCTATACAATCGATTGTACAGAAGTCTTTCTTCTGAAACAATTTAATACTTTATTTAAATATAATTGATCATAAAGGTTTAAATTACATACAAATTTATCATAATAGCTCATTTTAACAGCAAAATAACATTCTCAAAAATGCAGCTCATATTGCTTTAATGCCATTAGAGACACAGACATAATTAAAATCAAGGTTACATACCCATAACCATAAGGCTGTCCATCATACATGCCATTTTCATCAATGTACTCAGGTGTCAGGTGACCATCCATAATGTAGGCATTTTCATACATATCTGAAATTCAGGTATAAAAATCAACACACATACATGTGTGTACAAGAAATGCAACATTTTAAAATTAGTGTTGACAATAATTCATTATCCACAAAGATGTGCTTCAAAACTATATATTCATGACCAGATAAGCAAGTGAACTCCTCCATGCAGAACATGCTAGTCAGTTGTACTGGTAAATAACTACAAATTCTCTGAAAATTATGTCAAAATTTCATGGACCTGAAATATTAGTGGGAATACACTGCTCAATAAAGATACTCTCTCTCTCAAAAGTCAACCAAAAAAAAAAAATGATGCAGAAATTTACACCTAAAGCTTCTCAAGCATTGCATAACACCACCAGACATTCCTGTACAAGATATTCATGCATCAAAGCAGCTTGTATGCTTTCCATTTATTAGTTATGTAATGTTCTTAGTAACATATAGTGCACACTTGTTGAAAAAAGCAATCACCCAAACTTATTACGTCTAGAAAATATATTCCCGAGTTTAATGTGCATCCATATATTAAAAATAACAAAAGTAAAAAAAAAATCAGTACTATGTCCATAGGACATGAATGCCCTAAAAAAAACCCAGTACTATGTCCAAAGGACATGAATGCCCCACAGAGGGTACATTAGTAATGCAACATGAAAATTTGTACATGTATTAGATGAAGTTTGATGAGAGTATCTTGAATTGTTTTTTTAATATAGAAATTTAAATCTAAAAAATTGGATACAGATGATGAATTCTCGCCAAATTATATACAAGTGTGTAAGCTTACATAAAAATATCTTAAATGGTTTCTTTGAAACCAAGCAAAATGCATATTTAAGAAAAGTGAGGTCAAGGTCACGGGGAAGTTTAAGGTCAAAAGTTTTTGATGCAGTTGAATAGCTCTAACTAATATGTATCAGCATATGAAATTTGATAAAAAAGATATCTTGAATGCTTTCTTAAAAACTGAGCTAAACACTAATTTAAGAAAAGTGAGGTCAAGGTCAAAGGAACGGACAAGGTCAAACAATTTAATGCAGTTAAATAGTTCTTATCAATATGTATCAGCACATGAAGTTTGATAAAAATATCTTGAATAGTTTCTTTAAAACTGAACTTTGAAGTGAGCTAAATGCAAAGTGCCATGGCCCATGGAAGGATGGAAGAAGGACATGACAAACTCTATATTCTCTGGCCATATTCATGGTGGGGCATAAGAAATGAATGAAAAATTTGTCCATCTTCTAATCATGGCATAGAGAAAACAATATAGAAGTAAATGTGTATATAATATTACATTACAAGGCTTGACTTGAATTTTTTAAATATAAAAAAGGCCACCTGATTTACATAATGTTGAAAATACTCAATTTGTGTAGATGCATGGGAATAAATTACTGTGTTTTTAACTGATGGATAAGAACAAACAAAGATAATCAGAGATTACAAAGCTCACCTCAACAAATGTTATCTTTAAGGCAAAGTCCCACGCTAAACTAATACTCTAGTATTGTGCATCCTTATATGCAACATTAATGCATGTTTGGTTCAGGTAGGGCTTGCAGTTACTTGGGAATGGACTTGCTCCAAATACTATTACTTAGTCACTTATCCAGAATATGCAGGTCAGATTCAGATCCAAAGCAAGTCTGGCAGTGTGCATCTCTTGATGGATCATCCTTTCATGTTTGGTCCAGGAAAGCCTTAAAGTTACTTAGGAATCGCCCTTCTCCAAAAACTCCTTATATGAATCATCCATGCAAGTTTGGTCCTGGTAGTCCTTATACGTAGTTTCTTTTTAATGGACCTGCTCAAAAAATTTAACCTAGTCACTAATCTGGAAATCCAGCATCTGAAGCAAGTCTGGTAGTGTGTATCCTTGGATATATCATCAATGCAAGTCTGGTCAATAGGGCTTTTAGTTACTTGGAAATGAGACCTACTTAAAAAATTCCTGCTTTAAAAAACATTAACCTGACCATTCTTTGGGTGAAATTACAGGATCTGAAACCTGACTGGTACAATGGAACATACTACAATCATCATCCATGTATCTCTGATCAATATAGGGCATATAGTACTTAAAAGAAATTTGCTCCAAAATCTTTAAACTGGGACAGCGATGTTACTCTTTGAAGATCTTAGACCACTCCTCATCAAATCAACTTTGTTGAGGTGAGCAAATAATACATGAACCATTCTGTTTATAAAACTAGAGGTACTGTAAGCACTGAGCTCACAAAATGATACCCCCCACTCCCATATGCGTATAATGGCGAAGTCCATTTCTTGCTATAGGATACCACAAATATCGATATTCAGTGGTATAGGAGGAGTTCCAGATTAGAGACGGATACCCCCAATATTATAAAAAGAATGGCAGTGTCCATGTTTTGCTATGGGAAACTTCAAATACGTTCCAATCAAAACTTACGTAGGAGGTGCATTATAATGGCATTGTAATAAATATTCTGTGAAAGTCTCGTTAAATTTTATTCCTTGGTACAGAGGAGGCTTTGGATAAGAGATGGGTACCCAAAGTGTTAAGGATGTACAAAAGGAAGGATGTACGGAGAGAAGGACATACATCCTATTACTATATACTATACATGTACTATATACCCCTCCTTTTTTCAAGTCTGGGATATAAAAATTCATTCTTTCATAAGAGAAGCACTGTAACTAAAATGAATGGAAAATTCAAGCCATTTGCAAGATGCACCAAAGGAGAAAACAGGTCATATTTTTGACATTATAGAGTCCCCCTCCAATTCGTTTTTAGGAAAATGCACTATACATGAAATGAAAATTTCTGGTAGGCATGAATTTACAATAAAAAGGACGAGACACACTGATAACTGTTACATGCTGCGTTTTACCCTCACCTTTTCCACCTATCAAAACAGAAACACTTTTCTCAGTCCAAAGTCAAATTACAGCAAAAGAGAGGTTTAAAAGTGACTCATAGAACTCATGACAAAGATTACTGAATTAAATGTCCTACCATCATAAAATAAGTCAGGTCTGTCCAGAATATCTGCATCCTGTAGATACGGATCATATCCCTCGTCAGCGTACATGTAAGGATCCCCCATGTCACCAACCTGTCTTGTCTCTACCATCTCTAACCACTGAGAATTATGCCAGCGGAACTTCTCTAGCTGAATCTTTTTAGCCCACTCCTCATCAAATTCCTAGAGAGACGGTAAAGCATGAATTTAGACTGTGTTCTGAAGTATTTCTAGTTTGTACCATCTCTGTACACAATAGTTACCTGGCTACTGTACAAGAGTTATATCAACAGCTGTGAAGATGCACAGATGAACAGAAAATTGCATAATGTGTACTCACTGCTATCATATCCAGCGTATTATCACAAACTTTTCGGATTTCTGAATTCTTGTCATGCATCAAATCAATCAGATATGCTGGAGCCTCTTGGGTAGGTCAAGGTCAAAGACAACTCAAATTAAAAAAACAAAAGAGAAATTATAAGTTGGCTCTTTAAATCTTGATAAACACTCATTTATGGAGATGAGTTACCAATAAAGGATACGAGTATCTTTGATAATGACTTCTCTGGTTGATTCATGGAAGATCATCTGATAAAACACATACACAATCTGACAAACCATTTCATCATCCTCCTGTTTGGCTGTGTGAAAAAATTAATAAAGGTGGTTAATATACCTCAGTGTTTACATTATAAAAAAGCGATATCAATAAACAGTGTTGAATTGTTGATTATGCAGTTATATTTCTTGATAAATATCCTCTACTCAAATGTAGCTGAATTTCTATTATGGCTGCCTCGTAAGGCACAAGACCTTGACATATCCACATACCTGAGTTCAAGTTTATTTCATATCTTCTAATAAAATAAATCTCTGTATCATGTACGAAGTACCATTACCTCCACTACACATTAGAGTACTGCAGATTCCTTATTATACATGAGTACTTCCTATTGCAAAATGATTTATAGATCTCAATTTGAGACAACATGAATTCGCAACTGAACTGTTGATCAAGAGTTTTAACTTGTACTTCAGCAATATAAAAATAAAACAAGTAAAGAATTAAGTACGTTATGTATTATTCGAAGGCCCACAATTTTTCGTATTTTGATATACACGTTTGAAAAAATATAACTACTATGTACATGTAGAAGAAGACTGGTAGTTTTGATATATGCATAACAAAATTTCGCAAGTACGTTGATTAGAGGTATTCACAGGATTAAAACATCCGTTCTTTCCGGATATTGCTATTTTTTCCACTATTTTTACAACAAATTCCCAAAATTGAAGTAGTGCACACCCCTCGAGCAAAATAAAACATATATATATGAAAATAATTTGATAAAAGACAAGCAAAAATAATGGTAAGAATTTGCTCGAGGAATGTGCAGTATGTTAATTTTGATATTTCATGACTATTTCCGGTGGCGGAAACTAAGTTAGTCGAGAGGCGAATTCTTATCTAGGAGTAATAATAAAAGTGTATTTCGTGTACTAATGTTAAAAAATAAATTTATCATTGATTGACCATATTTATATTGCTCATACAAATATAATTGTCATGAAAATAGCATAAAAACTAAAAAAATGTTCTATAGAAATGACAAATTGCGATATTATTTTATACAAATAAGCCTTACACTTGATAAATGTTGCCAGCAAGAAGGGAAGGGATCAATTTAATATACTAAAGCAATAAAATAAAAATGTTCAGCTGACAAATGAAATCACTAAAAGTATTATTGCAGAAAAGAAAATGTTTTTAAAATCCTAGCCTTTATTTTATTTTGCTACTGAAACGGCTTAGCTGACGTCTGCATGTATGTTAATAAATTACGCAATAAACTCAAAGATGACGTCACAATAGGTCTCCAAGCTTGCAACACATTTTTTTTTTGGATGGGGCGGGGGGGGGGGGGGGGGGGGGGGGATAAATTCCCAATCTTTTGGGTGCCGTTGGTCAGGACTGATCCGATTAATTAATATTCTGAAGTCTTGTATTTTCAGTCATTCATACAAGTGCACGGTTGATGTTTCAGCATATTTTCAGATTTTATAATTCCACGCACAATATAAGCGTGTTGCATCTGCATAAGTTTATATTGTAGACATTGTTGATAATAATATGCATATAAAAACAAAGGCTCATATGTTTCACCAAGTAAAATTTATTATTTACCCGTATATTCTACTTAAGATCATTCCACATATACCGGAGTTGTAATTTCTTAGCTGTCGAGGATCCAGTGAAGTTAAAAGAAGACTGGAATGAGAAAGCGACAGAAAGGTCAAAAAAGAATTTCGGACAAAAAAAAAAAGCTTTATCGGATGAGGGGTTCACTTTTCAGCAAGGTTACCTGTCACTAAATTCTTTCACCCCATAACGGCGGTGTATGTGTATCACACAATTTAACATAAGTATATATACACTGTGGAACAAAATTATCTGTCAGTGTGGACAAGTCTGAAAACAAGTTATTTATCAGGCACGAAGAATCAGGGACGCAGGGCCACTTCCCACTTTTTCCAAACTTTGAAAATGTTCATTGAAAGACTACCCCCCCCCCCCCCCCTCTGTTTGCTGTAGCATAGGTAAAGTTTAGGAATATAGGTATTGGGCGAAAAAAATTGGTTGTGAAAAAAAAAATTGTGAAAAAAAGTTTGAACCTACCGAGACACGGGGCCTCGGTTTTTAAGGTCTCATCCGAAAAACCCGCAACTTTCACTTCAAAGTGCCGAGCGCCTGACGAAGGAACAGTTGCTACCTATTTTTTATCGACTTAGGTCGGTCACAGACGTGTTTCGAACACACGACCTTCCGATCACGGAGCGAACGCTCTACCTGAAATGAATCGAAAAGCAGGCATAAATGCCTATGATCTTTCTCTCCATAGGTTTGGTATCGAAGGCTTACTATACTTACTTAAAGATAGGCTCTCATACTGAGCGAAACTTCAAGGAACAGTATTTATCTATAATTATATGTACGTATTTAAAAAAAAATTGTAAAAGTGTTCTTCAAAGAAAGTAAATGTTTATACATGTTTATATTTATTTTATTTATTTATTTTTTTGAAAATCTATACTAAATTGGTGAAAAAAGCCTCAATAAGTTGCTAAAGAAAATGCGATAGAAAGTTGCCTCTGCCAACTATCCAAGAGAAGTACTGCATCTCTACAATGTACCAGCTTGTAAAGGGAGGGTGTGATACTTGATTCGTGCATTTGAGAAGGACCATCCGGTGACATATAAAATTATTAATCGAATGACAGTACCTTTTCATTTTTTATTTTTTTTTTTTGAAACCTTTTCAGATGACGATAGAAACGTTTTAAACACATTTTGTTTAGATAAATTCGTGAATGACGCCGCGACTCGTTGGAAAGGATGGGCTGGGGATTCTACCCTTTCAATGTTATCTATTAATTAAAAATTCAAATACTTTTCGAAAATATCTTTAATGCTTTCTCATAAAATTTTATAGGGAATCTGACATTCTATAAAATAGTGTTAAAAGTTTTAATGCAATCTTAAAAACAAACCAAGGAATTCGCATAAAAAATAGTCTAGCTTTTAAAAATCAAACTCTTGCTTTAATTAGAATAATCGAATACTTATAATAAACGTACTATTAAATATGCGTGACGCATCTTTCTCTCTCTCTCGTTTTAAAATCATAAAAATTAATCTTTCATTTGTACGTATATTGTCGGACCCAAAAACCAAACTGTTTGTCTGAGGCCGTTATTTAACCGATCGATGGGTCGACAAAACGCATTTTGCCCGAGAACAGAACATAGTCAATAAATGTTTTGTTATACATGTACCTTTGTATCTTGTGCCAGATTCCATAATGTAAATTTACTTAAATCACTGCGGTTAAAATTGGTTAATTTCGTCACTGTCGAACACCGAGATTTAGTTGATCCCGCCCACAATTTTGACTTTAGCGGTTCAATTTCTCATCGACAGGTCAAATATCTTACTACACGGTCAAACACCGATTTTTTTTTTTTAATGGCCGCTCAGTACAACATTGGGAATGTGCATAGATTTATATAGAAACCAATTTTTAAAGGTATAACAAAATTTTGTGTTGTACTCTGGAAATCTTCAGACTAAACTCTGAAAATATTGTAGTGTATGAATGATAGAAGCTGTATTCGAATGATTAAAACTCTGTATCAGACAAGGGTGGTCTGTGAGAAAATGGATTATCTGTAAAAATCTGAGCAGAAACTTTGAGTTGGTAAAGTCTTGGAAATAAAAAGGCGCTTCACAGTTGCTGATCTTGTAAATGCACAGTTACATGTACGCGGTAAAATAAAAAAAAAATGATAAAACATGGACAAACAAAATTAAATTACGCTACTGGTACGATTGTTAGCAAAATAAATTAAATTTGATAGAGAAACGTTTTTAAAAATTGGCCATTGGACCAAACTGTGTGAAATGTAAAGGGGGATTTAAAAAAAAAACAAAAAAAAAAACACCATGACGCAACGTTTTTTGACGTTATAATGTAGCTCCGGGGTTACCAATTGAAACATGTTTATTTCAAAATTAAGTAAATTAATTTCTGTTAAATCGAATGGAATGAAACTTCACACGTCAACAAAATAAATATTTTTTATACATGTATGAAAAAATGTGTTTTTTTTTTTAATATTTCTTGAGAGTAATATAACGAACTTTCCAACAACCCTCGCATTTGCGTAGCGTCGCTAGGTTGACGTCATAACGTCATAGTGTTATTTTCCAAAGAAACTATCTATATTCAGATAGCTTTGTCGGAAAATTGATTTGGTATAATTACAAAAATTAAGATGAATTAGAAAGAGGACATCTTAGACATGCTTCAAAAAAATCTTCGTCAGATTTGGGGACAGGGCAGATTTTGGTACATAACGTACTTTCTTCTTTATTTCGTGAGTGGTGCTTCTCAGGAAATTATGCTAGAATAAATTCCTTGCATATATTTAGGAATCTACAGATGACCAACACACAAAAGGGACTGAAGGAATGCAGACAGTTGTTTACATGTACAAGTTATACATCCCTTCCATACTTTCTTTACAGGAAGACATTCATAAAAACTTGAATAAAGAGGATTCCTGCTTTCATTAATGGCAGCTTCCCATATTGTTCTAGTTATTGCTGTCTTCAGAACTTTGTGCTTACACAGATAAGTATGTACACTGGACAGCATGCTTTTGAATTGTGCAATGAAAGATATTGGATATACAAATAACATGCAACATAGTAAAGATCTATCTATATTGACCATACATCCAAAGCAGATATAAATTCTGAGGTCATTTCAATTCAGTAACTACACAATTCCATGTTACTTCATTAATGATGTACGTGCACAGTATATGCTAATTTTTTTAACACATAGATAGTACTACATATATGTAAAAAAAAAAATATGTGGATGACCTGTAAAAAAGTCTTTATTGTTCCTGCTTAAGAGCAAGAGGACTTAAGGTCGTATGTCTTCAATTAAGGATTAAGATTCATTTTGTAAACTTTACAATGCAACAAAATAGATATACATACTACCATTGATTAATGGGAAAGCTGTATTCTGATATGTGGGGGTACTTTAAGTGTTCAATGGGTAACACAGAGTCACTTTAGAACAATACTACAAATGGGCAAACTGCACAAATTTGAAGCACAATATTTTTTTTTTTTAATGGTTTTGACATAATGTGCCTTTTTACCTTCATCTGGTAGTAGAACAAAAGTCAAATATACTGATTGTTAAAATTATGATTTAGGGAAAAATAGCTCATGAGTTATACACTATCGAAAAGGAATGACCGAAATTACATAAATACACATCTATGAATATACATGTACTTCTACCACACTAGCTAGCTATACATATATTTCATTTTTCATACAATTCTGTCAAATTAATTTGATTCATATAAATAGCTTAAGCATTAAATTTAATCAAACAAATCAGGCTGTAGTAAATGAATGGACAATATTTACCATTAAGTAGCTCTATCAGTGACTGAATGATGTTAGCCTCTGCCAGCATCTTAGCACAGGCGTCGTCATTACACACTGTCCCCACCAGAATAATCACCTCTAGTACCCAATCATCCTCACAGGCACCTGTCAATCAAACGTTAGGTTAACTCTCCTAACACTCATTACAAAAAATTTGCAGGGAAGTAAACTCAGCCTCTTATGCTTGCTTTGTGCACTGCAGTTTTTTCCTCAATTGTCAAAAATAATAACAACATTGCATTATTTCTTTTCTATTAAACAAAGCATTGTGATTTTCTGTACTTGTAAACATGCTACAATAACTGTACCTGGTTCTAGTTTACTTTTAATCCATGGTATCAGGTTATATTCCTTTAGGATCAGTTCATAATCCAGGTCAGGGATTGTTAGATTACCCAGAATGCCAAGGCACTCCAAACCAAAGTCTTCTTCCTCTTCGTTCAGTACAGCCTGTGCCAGGTCACTGATGTAGTCCTAAACAATCAATGATAACATTAAGGACTGCTTCCTTATCATAATGCAAAACCAAGACTTTAACCAATTATTGAAAATATAAACTCACCACAAAGAGAGCTTTTGTAGGTCCATCATGCTGCGAGAGATTCCTGATCATTTTCATCAGGAGTGGGTGCTTGTACTTGAAGGCTCGCTTCATCAACATCTTGAGACCTTGACCTTCACAGATCATGGCTGCTACACGTTTGTTGGAAGCCAGATTGACACACAAAGCCATCAATTCCATTTCTACATTTTCTCCACTTTCAAGAAGCATTTTCATAACCTGGAATAAATTGTTAAACAAGCAGCTGATCAACTTCTTTCTTTAAACAATATGTTTGTGAAACAGGTCCATCTTTTCGTGCATTTTCTGGTTTACCTCTGACTTGATTGATGACGCTCTCTAGATACTAATCAGATGTTATTTGACCTACTTACGTATTTTACACACAGATGATTTATTTGTTGTCCGAAAATCATAATTCTACTAAATCTAAGTACTTACAATTGGTATGCAGTCTGTGTAAGTGAACATTGACTTGGATTTATCATCCATACTAATGTGATATAGTATGCCCAACACATGTTCTCTGTGGTTTTCATTCTCTGTAAAAAAAAAATTGGGTCTTAACAAACTCTTCAACCAGGGAATACAATATTGTGCAAACCTTAACAGTACAGAACAAGCTTGACAAATATTCAACTTACGAAGTAATCCGACAAGTTTAGGAAGTAACCCAAACTTGAACATTTTACTGCGTAGTTCAGCATCAAAGGACAAGTTCACCAGTAATCTCAGTGTAATATTCAGCAGGTCCTCGTGTTCACATGGCACTAACTTTGTCAATTTCTCTATAATGTTTAACTCAGCCTACAATTGTAACAAAAGTCCACTTACTAATTCCACTATTATACAAACTCGATTCAAAGATAAAATTTGTGAATTTCATATCTTACTTTATATTTAAGCTACCTTGTTCTAAGTATTTTTTTGTTTTTTGTTTTGCATCATTTAGTTTACAACCTTTATTTGACACTTCCATATATGTTTGTTCTCACCATTTCTGTTTTGTTTTCTATGAATATGCTTAGTTTCTTGAGGAAGGACACAACCAAGATCAGCAGCTCAAAGTTGTCCCTCTCCAGAGTCTTGACGAGGAACTTCACAATACCCTTGTTCCTCATCTTCATCTCCACCTTCAGGTCCTCAGCAAGATTCAGTAACAAGTAGAATGCCACTAAAATGTACAGACAGAGACAGATTCAGTAACAGGTAGAATGCCACTAAAATGTACAGAGACAGATTCAGTAACAGGTAGAACTCCACTAAAATGTATAGACAGAGACAGATTCAGGAACAGGTAGAATGCCACTAGAATGTACAGACAGAGACAGATTCAGGAACAGGTAGAATGCCACTAAAATGTACAGACAGAGACAGATTCAGTAACAGGTAGAATGCCACTAAAATGTACAGAAAGAGACAGATTCAGTAACAGGTAGAATGCCACTAAAATGTACAGACAGAGACAGATTCAGGAACAGGTAGAATGCCACTAAAATGTACAGATTCAGTAACTAGCACTGCACCATTAAATGTACAGACAGACAGACAGATTCAGTAACAGGTAGAATGCCATTAGATGTAAACAGATAGGTTCTGTAACAGGTAGAATGCTACTAAAATGTACAGGCAAAAAGGTTTAGTTAAAAAAAACAAAACAAAACTGATAAATGTACATAAATTGTTTTTGTTAAAAATAATTGAAAGAATTCTATCAGAAAATATCAGGAATTTTTTTCTTTGTAAAGCATGTAAATTCAGATTCTTATATTCTGTATTTTTATTAAATTAGAATTTATTGCTTCTGTATACCGTCTTTTTGATACAGGAGTCTCTTCATAAACTATACCCATCCAACACATTCAATATTGTGCTAGCATTAATACCAGTTACAAACAAGGCAATCATTTTTGCTCATCATAGGAAACATGTATGTTACATATTTGTTTTAAATGTTTTCATTGACTTAATCCCAGCTGATTTTTATCTGTCTAGGGGTAGCACTTTTTGCACCCTGTTTCAATACTACTGACGTAACACTCACCCCGTAAAAGTTGTTCCTGCTTTTTGACTAGACCTTCATACTTCTGAAGACTTTTGGCATACTCATCCTTGGCCTTTTTGTCTTTATCTGAATTAGGTAAACTGGTTAAGGAAATCAATAACAACACTAACCAGATGATATCTATTGCAGAATAGAACTCAAAAACAGAATAGAACTCAAAAACAGAATAGAACCTCAAAAACATTAAATCATCCTACTAAAATTAATACAAAAGTTTGGATGATTTGTTTTACTCTAGTGACAAAATTGAAAATATTTAGAGTTTATGCAAATAAAAACAAAATTCATTCATTGCACAACCTTATTCTGGTGACCCAATCTTTTTTACTACAATTTATATGATATTTTGAATATTCTGTTGTTCGTTTAGAATAAAAAGCATTTACAGGAACAACATGATTGAGGAAATGAAAGGATATAAGCCTTCTTCTTTTTCTGTAATTCTTCGTTCCACATGTCATATTTCTTCAGTTCATGTTCTATAATGTTCATACACAAAGCCCCGATTTTAAAGTGAACAATGACTCCATGAAACTGTGTGAAGCTGGAGAAGCAGAAGAAGATGTAGACGATGTTGGTGGCAAGCTCCGTGCTCTTCTTCCAGTCCTCTCTTAGCACTCGGGCCAGTGCTCCGACAATCGTTTCTACAAATAACATTTTACATAAAGTATTCATATTGTTATCACTTTAACAAATAATTATATTTATCATTTACAACTTCTTATTGACAATATCATTTTTATGGAATATTGATTAACTCACCATTTTGAAATAACTCCTCCAGATTATCTGGATTTCGAGCTAACTGGAGAAGTAAGGCTGATCCCCGGACTTTTTCTGGAACATCTTCATAAAGAAGTTCCATGTAGTCATCTACATCATTGATATTGGCCACCTCATCAATCTCCGAGGCATCATACACGGGCACTTCTGGTTTTTCATGGAGCTGTGTTTTCCCAGACGCTACAGTTAAGTAAATGAGAGTCAATTTTTAATACATACATGTAGAACAACAATTCATCTAGCAATACCTCTTGAATAAAATTCCAATATTCTATTTTAACATAAAATTTATTTTTATCATACTTTCCAAAATATATCAATACAGTCATATATTTTTTTAATATAGTACATACATTCACAGGATGAATCTGTCGCTTTAGTACATTTGTTTACAGGGTAAATCTGTCTCTTTAGTACATTTGTTTACAGGGTAAATCGGTCCCTCTACTACATATGTTCACAGGATAAATAGGAGTCTTTAGTATATATGTTAAGAGGGTAAATCTGCTTATTTAGTATGTTTATATGGTAAATCATAGTCTTCAACATACATTTACAGGATAAATCCGTCTCTTTCATACATTTGTTTACAGGGTAAATCTGTCAATTTAGTACATACATTTACAGGATAAATTGGTGTCTTTAGTACATATGTTTACAGGTAAATCTGTCTCTTTAGTACTTATGTTTAAAGTGTAAATCTGTCTCTTTACACTGTAAAGCTCTCTCTAGTACAAACATTTACAAAGTAAATCTGTTGTTAGTACATATGTTTACAGGGAAAATCTGTCTCTTTAGTACATACATTTACACAGTAAATCTTGCTTTAGTACACATTTACAGAGTAAATACATATATTTACATGGTACATCTGTCTCTTTAGTATATATATTTACATGGTAAATCTGTCTCTTCAGTACATACGTTTACAAAGTAAATCTGTCTATTCAGTACATACGTTTACAAAGTAAATCTGTCTATTCAGTACATACATTTACAGAGTAAATCTGTCTATTCAGTACATACATTTACAGAGTAAATCTGTCTATTCAGTACATTCGTTTACAGAGTAAATCTGTCTATTCAGTACATACGTTTACAGAGTAAACCTGTCTATTCAGTACATACATTTACAGGGTAAATCTGTCTACTTAGTACATACGTTTACAGGGTAAATCTGTCTACTCAGTACATATGTTTACAGAGTAAATCTGTCTATTCAGTACATAGGTTTATGGGGTAAATCTGTCTACTCAGTACATAGGTTTACGGGGTAAATCTGTCTACTCAGTACATATGTTTATAGGGTAAATCTGTTTATTCAGTACATATGTTTACAGGGTAAATCTGTCTATTCAGTATATACATCTACAGTTAAATCTGTCTATTCAATAAATATGTTTACAGGGTAAATCTGTCTACTCAGTACATATGTTTACAGAGTAAATCTGTCTATTCAGTACATAGGTTTATGGGGTAAATCTGTCTACTCAGTACATAGGTTTACGGGGTAAATCTGTCTACTCAGTACATATGTTTATAGGGTAAATCTGTTTATTCAGTACATATGTTTACAGGGTAAATCTGTCTATTCAGTATATACATCTACAGTTAAATCTGTCTATTCAATAAATATGTTTACAGGGTAAATCTCTCTATTCAGTACATACGTTTACAGGGTAAATCTGTCTCCTTCCTGTTCTGTAGATAGTACAACAGCTGTTCCACCTCCGGTAGTTTAGTAGGGTGGATCAATTTACATTTATCAATGATGTCCTTTGCTAAACTGGCCAAGTCACTGTTTTCATTCAAACTTTTTACCCTTATACTGTCAAATAAAACATATATTCTTCTATGTTTGTTTATAATATTTTTTTTCAAATTTTAAGTATCTGTTCAAAAGCCATTACTTTAATCCAAGAAAATGAACTGATATGCATTGGTTAATAATTTATATAGTTGTTCTGGTGAATGACATGTACCAGGTATATCTAAAAATCTGTGTTTGATAATTCCATCAAATCTGACCTTGCATTTTTGTTTGTTTGTGTGTTTTTTTTTTTATTTTAATTTTTTTTTTAATCTACTTGCAAAAATACAGAATATACCACACACATTTTTTGGCATTCCTTCCATTCTCTCAGCATGGGATCACCAAGTTCACCCAAGATTGTTGCCTCCAATTCATAGTTTACAACCAAGGCTTTCTCTGTGGGGTGTACATCAATGTTCCCTCCCTTCACTTTTCTAAAAATAAATTTGGATATAATGAGGAACAATTCAATTGCAGATGCTCATAGAATTACAATCTGATTAAAATCAGATCCTTTGATCCACTTACATAGATCGCTACACAAGGATCTCAAGAAACCCCATTTAGGGTCATCTCCTGGTGACCTTTCTAATAAAAATATTCATTAAAATTTTGACCAATCAGAGAGATTGTACTTAAGCGACATTCAGGAAAATGAATGTAGAAGTGAAAGTAGCGGTGGGGAAGATCTTATTGTTTCGTACAAAACAAAGAACTAAAAAACAAGGCAAAAGCAAATACTAAATATATTTCTGTACAGAAAAGACTGTGGTCATTCTTTTGACAGGCTAAGGAAACCAGGTCACAATTTTCCTTTCGTGTATCATCAGGTCTTTCACTTCTATAACTGAATTCCAAGATACGTCTTAATTCTCTGAAGCAAAAGTTTGATTGGATAATTGAAAGGTCACCAGGAGATGACCCTGCATGGGGTTTCTTCAGATCCTTGTGTAGCGATCTATGTGAGCGGATCAATGGATCTGATTTTAATCAGATTGATAGAATTATCAAGCTTATTTCTAGCTCAATATATTTAGATAGAAATTTATCTTTATCAACATTGAGATATCTTTGATGTCAGCTGTGAAGAACTAAAATTGTAATAAAAAACAATTCTTAATCTTTAAAACTGAACTAAATGTTTAACTGTAATTGAAATTCTTAAATTTTTTGCATACCCATCTGTAAAAAAAAAAAGGGGGGGGGGGGGGAACGAACAACAAACAAATAAAAAATAAATCATCAAAATTCAAAAGAAAGGGTCATGAATAATATACAGTCAAACCTTGTTATCTCAAACCCCCACAAAACTAAGAAAAAACTTCAAAATATCCCAGGATTTGAAATATCAAGGTTTAAATACATAAAGAAAAGGTTGTTGGCACCTCACTTCAACATATTCATGGTGTTTGAGATAACAAAGTTCAAACTTTATTTATACTGTTCTCATTATTTGGCAGCAAAAACTATAGTATTCCACTTCACAACTTAAATAACTTAATCTCAAATTTTCTTAAATAATGCTGTAATTATGTCTTGAAAACAACGTCAAAAAAGTTGAAATAAAAATTTCCATGACAAACCTTTACCTCAAATGTATTGTAACAGGAGCATTTCTATCTACCTTTACTCTAAATAATAAAAAAAATCTAACAAACATCATGATGTGTTCTCTCTTTACATCAACTTTCATAAATACTAAGGAAATAAATGTCTTTTTAAAATTTTATTTTTGCACAGCATTTCAGAAAATCTGTTAACATGGGTTTAAAAATTTGACATGCTGTTCAGACGTGTTATGAAATTTTTGGTATTCTCCATCATACAGCCAAAAAATGTGTAACATAACTTACATATATCTGAAGATTTATCAACTGATTTAAAACACAAATGTTTCAATACATAACATCTGTATGGTGAGGGGGAATATAACAGAGGAAATTCTAAACTGTTTTACATCCATTCCTGAATAACACTTACCTTTTCAAATACCTAGCATCTTCTGCTTGCATCATTATTACAAATACTAAAGATTTTGTCCCGTAGAATGGAATAAACAATCACAAAATCTCTTGAAACCTACAAAACACTTCAATCATAGCGACGAATCAACTCTGACTGTCAGCCATGTCAAAATATTTGAACTCTCGAAGATAAAAAAATAAATAAATACATCATGTCACCATTATTATAAATCTATCATATAAACTTTTAGATGTTATGTTTGGAATATACGATGCATTGAAATTACATAAATCAATCAAAATCTATTATCATTCTTTTTTCTTTTATTTTAAGATTTATTATTTTATATTAAATCGTGCTATTAACGATTCGCTTCTGAGGATCATCTTGAAATTTCTTTTAATATTCTATCTTGTAAAGTACATTTCTTTGCCTTTAATTTGAACATTCTTTTCTCCTAATATTATAATGATATGTGCCTAAGATATGTGTTTAATAGCAACCTGATTTATGTAAAACTTATCTAATTACGAACGCATCCACCTGTCAATCTTTTCCCAGAAAAAGACAGAATATTATGTAAATTTTCATCAATGGCTGAGGCTCAGTCACAATCGACAGGTACCTCCGAAACACAAGTGATTGAAGCTACAGAACCAGAGGTAAATCAATATGTTTCATTGATCAAGTAGCTAAATTTGACATTTCTTTAATAGAACTTTCGAGAAAATTCGGATAGGCATTGCTGTGTTATCCAAATGAAATCTTACAGATTCTCTGATATGTTTACGGTGCAACCGTTAGGGTGAGCACAGATGCGTTTTACTGGATACCTACAGGTAAACTTCGTTATCTTGACATCGGCGGGACTATCGGAAAATGTCGAGATATCTGAGGTGTCGATATATCAGGGCGAATTTGTTTCTCAAAAACTGGTTTTAGTTTTGAACCAGTTTTGTAAACTGTTCATTTGTTCCACAAACTGGTTTTAAACTAGTTTAAACCCAAAACCAGCTTTCTATTTGTTTTTGCTGTAACTGAAACCAGTTCGTGAAACCAACCAAACCACCTCCGATGGTGGTTTATTCGGTTTACGAAAGAGCGGGAAGTATTCCAGTATGGCGGTGATGAAAGATGATGACTATTTTAATAAAGAAAAAAGTTATAAATGATTGTTTTTTCGAGGACAAACAACTCTTTTTTACTTTAATGCCACATTCTGATGTTTTATATAAGGCTTCAGAGAATAGATAAATGCTGCATATTGTAATGGTGTTTGTTCAATGATAATGAACAGAAAATGTTAAATTTTCCTTTTCAAAAATAAGTTTTGAATCATTTGGACAAATTTTAACATGTATGGTAAATTGTAGAACATACTGTAAAGACAGTTTTAATGTTGGAAATCTAAAGAGTCTAATTATAAATACCCGACTTTTTATCTTTCCATGTGTTAAAAATGTGGAAATTGATCATTTGATGAATCTTTGAAGCATTATAAATATAAATACTGCATTTTAAGTAAGGTAAACAAGGCACAAAAAAATATTTCTTCGATTCTTTTATTAAAAGATTTTTACTTTATTTGCATGTGTAATTTGGTTAATATGTTGTTCTAGCTCTTCATATTAAGGTTCCTACATTGTAAATGCACATGAAAAACGTCATAAAATTCTTGCAATTCTATCTCTTTTTTTTTCATCAGCAGCATTATTTCCGCGTTAAATTTCCAATTAACATGATTAATATTAATATAATTAATCATACATGCATCTTTTAGATGCCATCTTGTATAAACTGTTCATTTGTTTTACCGAGGTAAACCGGATCAAAACTTATAACCAGAAATTCGCCCTCAGAGTTGAGACTCAACGTTCAAGATTTCACTGCATATCATAATATTGCAAAACAATGACAAGTTTATTCCGTACATGACTTCAGTAGACCCTAGTCTGTCTTATTTCACCAATCCCTCTAGTCTATACTTACCGTATTAAAATACAAAATCTAAGGAGTTATTAAACATGTAAAAAAAAATATCTTATTGATAAAATGTGTTCCTTCTCCATATCGAAATCTTTCTAAATTGACTAAGTTTTCCATCCAGCATTCTGTATGTAACTTTTGTTTTATGTCAGAACAGAAAATGAAATGTGCTGTGTAAACTTCGAACTGTATAAAGTTGGTATCCGAGATACAGAAAAAAAAACTAAATGCGTATTCTTATTTTATTTCAGGGAGAAAACTCATTAAAAAACAAAATTTTAAAAGATTTTTTGTATTCGAACTAACGCAGTGATGTTACATATGCATGAAACATGACTGATTCAGTTAATTGTGTTGTTGATTGGATTGTTACCCTTTGAATGCATTTTTACCATGAAATATCTTTTGAAAAATTGTAAAATTCCTTCGTTGGAATTAAATTCAATGTGTTTGTTATTCATAATGTTCATTGTACTTCAGTTAACTTTTTCAAATTAAAATTATGTTAAGTTTCGATATAAATAAACGTCTGTACATTTACACAAAACTATGTAGATTTATCAATGATATTACTAAGAGTGCAACGATAAACCGTTTGACGGTATATTGCGGTATATTTTTCCACGGTATTTTTCACGATACGCTAAACTGATATCGCGGTTTGGTTCAATCGGTCCAGAATTACAGACCTCAGATTTAACACGGAGAAGGACTTTTTCATTCCTAATGTGATTAAAAGTTATAGATGTTAAGACAAATGATAAACCCTTTAGATCTAAACGTATTCTATGGTAATTCACGCGTGTATTTCAATGAAAATTCGCTGTCTTGTTGACTAAAACATGAGAAATATGACAACCGGTTTTCTAGGAAAATAAAAGGAATAAAAGAATGAATGTCTTCCTTTTTCATTCCAATTTAAAAGGAAGATCATTAAGAAAGGTCCCAGTAGTTCCCTTTAGATGTTTGTCATTGGTTTAGAATATTGTTCTACTTATCAATCCAATTCAAGTTAACAAAATGATATTTTAATTATTATCAAAAAATATGAACATTTGATATAACCCTGTCAAGTTTTTAAAAAACATGATGACAAACTTGAAAGACTTCTTAACCTTGACACATATCGTGATACGTATCGTATCGTGAACATACAGTGATACGTATCGTATCGTGAGGTTGGTGTATCGTTGCACCCCTAGATATTACCCAATTTGTTATGCAATTAACATCTCAAAGACTGCCAAGGGTACTTGGGATACTTCTACAAACACAGTCTATTTAATTAATTAAGCAGTGTGCTGTCAAAACATGGGTGTAATAGGTGTGATTTTCTTACTATGTCGAGATACACGAGTCATCGTGCATGACGAGCGACCATCTGACAAACAGTTAGATTTAATAGGGCAGAAAATTGCCGATGTTGACATATACAGCGATTTTTTTTCTACCCATTGGGAATGGGACCGGTACTGATTCAATTGGGGAAATAGTGTCGAAATAGACACTGATAGATCAAAAGGGAATTTTCTGTCATAACAACAAAGTACATTTATTAGGGCCCCACTCTGCGGGCGCCCTATAGTGATCAGTCTGTCCGTCCGTCCATCAGTCCGAGATCTCTTGTCCGGAGCATATCTCCTCTCTCCTTGGCCCAATCTGGCTCATACTTCATCCACAGAGTGTCTATGGGTAAAGGGTGTGCAGTGACCTTGAACCATGTTTCTAGGTCAAAGGTTAAGGTCATAGCAGAATTATATGAAAAATCCTTGTCAGGAGCATATCTTCTCTCCTCTTGGCCCAGTGTGGCTCATACTCCACTCACAGAGTGCCACTGGTCATTGGATGTGCAGTGATCTTAAACTAAGTTTCTAGGTCAAGGGTTAAGGTCAAAATTAGCCTCTCTGTTTAAATTCTTGTCCGGAGCATATTTTCTCTCTCCTTGGCCCAATCTAGCTCATACCTCACCCACAGAGTGCCTTTGGATAAAGGGTGTGCAGTGACCTTGAAACATGTTTCTAGGTCTAAGGTTAAGATCATAGCAGAATTATATGAAAAATCCTTGTTCGGAGCATATCTCCTCTCCCCTTGAACCAATGTGGCTCATACTTCACTCAAAGAGTGCCATTGGTCAATGGATGTGAAGTGATCTTGAACAAAGTTTCTAGGTCAAGGGTCAAGGTCAAAAATAGCCTCTCTGTTTAAATCCTTGTTCGGAGCACATCTCCTCTCCTCTTGGTCCAATGTGGCTCATACTTCACTCACAGAGTGCCACTGGTCAGTGGATGTGTAGTGACCTTGAACAAAGTTTCTAGGTCAAGGGTCAAGGTCAAAAATAGCCTCTCTGTTCAAAATCTTTGTTTGGTGCATAATTTCTTTCCCTCAAGTCCAGTCAGCCTCAAACTTTACCAATTAACTTAGGGTACGAAACATTTGTGATTTTCCTTTTATATTTTGATAGAGGATGTGCAACATTCGTAATTTTTGTGCCGTTTATTGATAGAGGGTATGGAGTACTCGTGATTTTCGTGCCATTTTTTATTATAAAAAGGATGACATAGAAGCTCTTTAGACTCAAACAACACATACCTTAATAGTACACAAATGTTCCTCTTCAAAATAAACCCTTTTCAGCTACCTTACATTTTTATGTTCATTGCTAAAAGCGGGGCCCTTTGAGGTGGCCACCATCTCAATGATATCTAGTTTTACATTTATTCTAGCTTCATTATTGCACATTGTAAAGAATAAACAACAAGCAATCATTGCTTTGCATATTAATATCCTTTGTTCTTACATTTCATGCTTTCAAGTTGTCAAAAATTTAAGGAACTAAACTGTTTACAACACATGTCTTGCCTTTATATGAAGGGATGTCTACTTTTGATTTAAGAAGAATTGAGAAATTAAGTCAACTTGTACAGCATTTCTGTACTATATTTATATAGTAAATACTGCCAGGAATGCGGACAGACATCAACATATCCAAGTTTGTCAACATATGCGATGTCGAGATACCAAAGTTTACTTGTATTCAGTTTTAACTTAGATCTGCCTCTTCAATCCGCACGAGACATTTGGAATGTCTAGACTGTGACGTCACATGACATCATATGTTAGTTGCATTACCAAAACGAAGTCTGAAAAGTGAAAATTTTAATAAAGAACCTTGATTAAACTATTTATCTGCAATATCAATTAAATCAAGGTGAGTTTATTATTTGGTGAACTTTTGTTGTTACCGCAAGAAGGTAGTTTGCAGTGAAATGCATTCATGTTGCATTGTGGGTCCCAAGGTAACTGGGAAAAAAATTCGTTTGGATCAATGTGCACAGTCCAAATTTGTTCTTTGCCCAGTTGTTGCTTTTAGAGCTTGCAGTGTGAGCAGCGCTTTGTGTCACTGTCTGTGCTCACTATTATGCTACATTACAGCTACGATTTGTATGGAGGTTTTCTAGCTGTGATGTTAGTGAAGTTAACATACTCAGAGTATACCCAGGAACTCATAGCAATCACAGCAAGCGGCGCAAAGCTCAGCTCGAAATGCGAGCTCTAACAACAACGCCTGGGCAAAGAGAAAATTCGGACTTTGCACATTGATCCAAATGAAATTTTTCCCACAGTTACCTCGAGACCCACAATGCAATGCTCGTTGTTCTCGCTGCTAACTTCATTCTCGTGGTAACAGCAACAAAAAATTCACAAAAAATATAAACTCACCTTAAATTAATGGATATTGCATACAGATAGTAGATTAAATGTTCTTTATTAAAATTTTTCACTTTTCAAACTTCGTTTATGGAAATGAAGCTAACATACGATGTAATATGACGTCACAGTCTAGACGTTCCAAATGTCTCATGTTATTAGTCCCCTACCGGTGAAACCGGAGGGGACTATAGGTTTCCTCTGAGTCTGTCCGTCCGTCCGTCTGTCCGTCCGTCTGTCTGTCTGTCTGTCCGTCTGTCTGTCCCTCTGTCTGTCTGTCAGTCTGTCCCACTTGGTTTTCCGCACTTTTTTCCTAAACGCTTGCAGATATTGAGCTGATTTTTGGTATGTGAGTGTATCTTGATGAGTTACAGATCAAGTTTGCATTTGGTTCCGCTTCATTGATTTTTGACGGAATTACGGCCTTTTCAATTTTTAAGGGTTTTCCGCAATTTTCTTCTAAACGCTTGTAGATATTGAGCTGATTTTTGGTATGTGGCTTTACCTTGATTAGTTATAGATCAAGTTTGCATTTCGTCCCGTTTCATTAATTTTTGACGGAATTATGGCATTTTCAATTCTTACGGGAACCAGATTACACTTGCCGGTAGGGGACTAGTATTGCTAATGCAATACTCTCAGAATGCTTGTTTGAAGAGGTGGATCTTAAAATTAAGTGAACTACTGGGCTCGCCCCAACGGTCGCACCATCAACATATTAGGCTTTTAATACATGCCAGGAAAAAAAACTCATTTTAAAAAAAGTAGTCATTTTTCTATCTGGTTATCTTGAACTCGATGGGACTGAAAAAAAATTAGTGATATCCGAGGTTTTGAGATTTCGAGGGTAATATATACTTAAAGAATAAGTGGTTTGGACTTCCAAAATCACTTTGACATATCCATGGTATTTGAGATATGGATTTTCGAGATATCAGAGTTCAACTGTACTTATTTTGGGTGCAAGTTAAAAGTATATGGAAATTGAGGAAAAAAGATTGATGTCAAAATCACAAATTTATTGTATATCCTTCCTATATATATATTTTGTTGAACTGGTTTTTCCAGGAAAGACAGGTGTTACATCTCAAGTTAAAGAAGCCTAAAAATAAGAGAGAGGTGAAATGGACAACAGACACAGTGGACAATGAACACATGAACAAAAAAAAGTCAAAATGTAAGCTCAATTTTTGACTGGTTTTAAACATAACTAACAAATATAGACAATTTTTGACTATCAATCATGGGTCAGCCATTATAAATTGTGTTTGATTGGATTTTCATTTTTTCCCCTCTGTTACTGATCTTCACTTGTATTTCAGGTTGTTGTATTTATGAGAAACCAAGGATGTTTGACGAGTCATCTTCAGAGGATTCTGATGATGAATGTCGTAGCTGTCGAGGACACAAAGATAAATGTTTTCGCACAGACAAGGATCAGGATCAAGGTATCAAATGTTATCTTGTTTTTTAGATAAGAGAGGTTTTCAGATTCATGTAAAAAATGAAAATTCTCACTGTTAGTACTGATTAGGATTAAATGTCCAAGAGAATTTTTTTTACTTGCAACAAGAATCACCAACAAAGGTTCAGAGGTCAGGGTTCTTTAAAATGTCTTATGATGTGAATGTGGTCCTGCCTTTGGATGACGATAACAATTCCAGCTAAGACAAGACTGTGAGTGCATTAAAATCAGGAGCACACTGTGCATGGCTAAGCTTTTCTACAGGATAAATGGCAAACAAATAGCAGTTCTGTGAGATAGGTGTCTTAATGAAAGTGAGGAGACACGAAATCTCATTGGTCTGTCCATCAGTCTGTCCATCCGTCTGTTAGTCTGTCACAAAAGCTTTAACCTTGGTCAAAACTTTTGAATGAGAGAAGATATGGCTTTCATATTTCACATGTGCATTACATGTGACAAGACCTTTCCAAAATACTACTATAAATCTTGTCCTTGTGACCTTGACCTTGAAGTTTAACCTACTTTTCAAAGTTCTACTATTGAATGGTAAAATTGTTATCAGTACCAATGGGTGCCATTGGTACCATTTTTTGACAGTGGTACTGTTGGTTACCTTAGAACTGTGAACAGATTTTTGATAGCTGATCTAACAGTGATTAAATGCATGGAAATTAACAATGTTTACCATTGGATATCATTGGTAACCATTGGATACTAATGGTAATCAGTGGATGTCATTGGCAACCAGTGAATACTAATGGTAACCTGTGGGTTTGGTAGTAAGACTGCAAATGAGCTCACGCTCAATTTGCTCAATTACATGTCAAACTTTTTTTTTCCTTTTTAATCAAATGTCAGTCCTTAGATATGACAAGCACCAATATGTACCACAAGTTCATCAATTTAATGAAATTGCCGTCTCTCAGTATTATATGATGACATATATTTTACGTCTTTTCCTCTGACAAGACATTTAAAGTTTTTTATCCTTTCAATGTCATCTGAAGTGGCAGTACTGCACTTGATATGTCACTGACATTCATGTGCACTGTGCTTGCTGTCATTTTGAAAGTATCTCTAATGAACAAAAATATCTGCCAATGCTACCATGAATGTGGTCGGCCTGCAAAAAAAAATCTACCAATGGTAACTACCTTTGATAAACATATCGTATATACTTGGCTATAAGTCGGTCCGCCTATAAGTTGGTTGTATTTTTTGAGGTTATTTTGGAGGGATTTGCCATTGACCCGCTTATAAGTTGGTACAACTTTTTGCCAGAATCAGTTGACAATTTCAAATCAATGGTGTAATGTTTTAACCTCAGGGTTAGAAACTCCCTAAAATTACAACTCGCAAATAATTGCGAGTACCAAGAAAGTGAACTCGCAATTCTATAAGACTACTCGCAATTTTCATATAAAGTTAAATTTATATAAATTAAATACATGTAACTTATGCATGTTAAGGAAAAAGTAACTACTGTATAATACACAAAATACAACTACAGTGTGACTTTTTTTTTAAATTACTGATTTTAATCAAAAGCATTGTGTTCTGTCATATTATATAATTTTGCTACAGTTTCAATGCAAAAAAAAAAAAAAAAAAAAAAAAATCAACTCGCAAGTTTTTGCAAGTTACCTAATTTTTAACTCGCTATTTAGGAATTCTAACTCGCGTTTTGCGAGTTGTATATAGTGAATTTCGAACCCTGAACCTGGTTTTGATTAATATTTTTTTTAGAAATGATGCTGATATTTAATTTTAAATCATGAGAAAAATATATAATACACACTTTAAGATGAAAATAAAATTATTAAAATATGTAAATACTTGTGTTTATGTATAATCTTAGAATACCTAAATGATTTAATATATCCAGACATTGTTCAGCGAAAATCATTGGAAATGTTTATAAAATACTACATTTCGCTGTCCAGAAAAATACTAATCCTTTTATGACTCGCCTATAAGTCGGACATAGAGTTTTGGACCAAATTTTAACTCCCAAAAAACCGACTTATAGGCGAGTATATACTGTAAGCACCATGGGTATACCAATGGACAGATCTTTCTCCCCAATTACATTTATGCAAAAGAATGTAATCATTCTTGACTATATGTTAAAAAAACTATTTGAGCCACAATGTTAAATAAAAGTCTAATTTGGACACTAAAAGACGAGCTGAAGAAAAAAGTCTAGTCAATTTTATTAACTTGAATTTAAGATAATTGTTTTAAAAGTAGCACATTTTTAAGGAGTAACTAAGTAAAAAAAAATATTGATTTAATGATCAGTATGATAGAACAAAAGTTGAGTACTCAAATAATCATTGACATTTCTAGTGACAATGGATTGAAGCTCTTTATTTTATTGTTTGCAATAAAGCAGGTTTGTTCTCCAATGGCCAGATACCTGTCTTAAAGCTCAGACAGTCTGGGTTCAAATCCAGAGTGTAATTTGTCACATTTTAATCCTTCAATGAAACAAATCTTTTTTTTTATTTTCAGATACTGGTCCTAGTTCTGAGGCTCCTAGTTAATCAGGTTCACATTTAATCAAATTGTGATAAATTGTCATATTTTTGTTACATTTAGTGTGTATTTTCTTGATGCTGTTACAAATAACTTACAACTAATTATCACCAATAATATTAAAATATAATTTTTAGCAGAAGTGTTTATTTGTACAGGAACCTTCATTATTTACTCTGTGCAAGAACTTTGTATATATATATTTTTTTTACCTCTAATTCTATATTATTAAAGATACAAAATATAATCTTGAAATGCCATTAAAAATTTATGAAGTTTCTTCTTTTCGCTTTTCCCCCCTCTGAAACAAAGAAGGAAAATTATCATGACCAAATGTTTTTGTTTGTTGTTTGAGGGGGGGGGGGGGGGGGGGATGGGGGTGTTGGTTTGTTGGTTTGTTTGGTTGTTTGTTTTTTTTTTTGTTTTTTGTTTTTTTTTTTGCAAGGCATCATAGAAGTTAATTCAATTTTTATTTTTTTTTTACTTTCAATTTTGTAACATGATTTCATGTGTGTTAATGAATATTTTAAATAAAGCTAAGATATCAATGTAAACAATGGTGATTTATTCTGAATTTTGTCATATTCTATAAACAGTGGTGATTTTTTCTGGTTTTTGTCATATTCTGTAAATAAGCACCCAATAAATCCACCTCAGTTCATTTCTTAACATTAAAAAATGTCATTAAGGAATGTCAAGACATAGAGATTAACATTTTTGGTATTAATTTTGGAAACTGTTTGATTTGATATCTGTTCTTTTTATCTATATAGAAGAAAAAATTTCTATCCTGATTCGTTATACTGTACAGGTAAAATCAGTTACTGTAATTTGAAGTGATTTCAGGTCCAACACTGTGTTATGTACATTAAGTTCAGGAGTAATTTCTTGTCTAATTTCTATTGAATAATTGCCTACGAATTAAAAATGTTAAAATTTGTATGTCCGCATCTTTACTTTCTGTTGTTGGATGGAACTGATTACGTAAGTTGATTCTGCTCAGTATCACACAAGAACAATCCTCTATTTTGTAGAATTAAGAGATAAATTTATGATCTCTGTATATTTTAGCAACTTTGGTGAATTGTGTTGTAACTTTAAGCTCACATGAGCTATAGTTTGTGTTTGATTGGAGTTTGTCTGCAGCTGTTAGTAGTTTTGTATGAATGTTGAGGTTTCACGATTTCAACTGCTGCTCCAGAACTACTGGACCAGTTTCAACTGAACTAACCACAGAGCAATGTCATATGAATCAGGATTAATTAGGATTCAATTTTTTCACTGCAATTATAAATATTGTGTAAGATAAAGTTGTTTAACTATCATTTTGTCAAATAGATATGAGAAAACATCCAGATACAGAACACACTTGAAATCTGACCATACTGAGGGAAAAACATTGCGTGTACATGGGACAAAGCATAACGCAGCATTATGAATGTAGACAGAGATTGCATTTCTGCTTAACTTATGTGGCCAAGAATTGGCGACTCCAAAAAATTGTTCAGCGGTAATAGTATCCCTATGAATAGGAAGTGAAAGGGGACTATTGATAAGGATGAAATATGGAATTATTGAACAGTATTCAAGCTGAAAGTCCATTTAGACAATGCAGATCTGGAGCAGAGCAAACACGGACCTCCAAAAACATCAGAGATGGGATCAGGTGCCATGGAGGAGTAAGCGTCCCCCTTTGATCCGTCACACCCGCTGTGTGCTCTCTTGTCATGATGGGCAAAAGGAAAAATCCGTAGACAATTCAGTGTTTAAATAATGATAGATTGTATTTGCTGAAAAGGTCATGTTTTGACCATAGAACTTGCAAAATGATGACTTTAATCACGACAGATATCTGTTTCATCAACTTGTTTGTCAATAGCTTGCCTCGTTTTAGAAAATGTGGAGATTGCTCTTACGTATCAGATCAACTGGGAGATATAAACCCCATATGTAGGTGACAAGAGTATATTGCTACATAAGTAAGGTTAAGTTGACGATGAAAAAAGTTGAAGTCATCACATTTATCATAAAGTTTTGTTGTTAGGTTACCATTTAAGTCTTTTTCTAGTAAAATATCCAAATATGAAACGGATGTGTCATACTATGTGGTATCTTTTATTTCAACTTCACTGGGATATACTGTGTCGACATATGAATAGAAATAACTATTGTTAATTGACAGTACATCGTTAATACATGTATATCAAAATGTCGAGTTGAAGGCACAGCAAGTGTCTTCTTCTCATGTCAGGTCTGTAGGAAGCAATTTCAGTTGGGGGGGGGGGGGGGGGGGAACCATACATTTTCAGTTGAGGGGCACTATCAACTACCAAAAATTCCTTCTTATTTAAGGGGCACAAACATATGGTGTCTATGTTTTCTATTGTTATCTGTATATCGGCAAAATTATAGATATTGTCAATCAGAAACTCAAGCATCTTTTTAATATATCGACTTTAAAGTACTTGTGTGTACATTCAGAATGTTTTTTTTTTAATTTTTTAACAAAACTGACTAGTTATATTACAGGACAATTTCTACAATCTCTTTTTAAATTTACACTTCGCAAACTCTGTGTCCAATTTAACGACTTTGTTTGCAAATATAACCTATCATTGTATTGTATCGTATTTTGACTTATTTCTTACCAATTGCTAGGTCTTTGTGTTTAAACTTATTTTGACTATGGATAACTCTGTGTACCTGATTAATACAGAGGGCTCACGCGGGCATGACCGCTAGATAGGGAATGCTTACTCCTTCTGGGCACCTGATCCAACCTCTGGTAGTTTGCAAGGGTCCTTTTTTTGCCCTGTTCACAATTCGTTTTGTTTGCATAGTTTATGAGATTAATCTCTTTTTTGCTATCTTCACCTTCAAATTATAGGCAACTTAGCACATTTATCTAAGTCCTATGTTGTTAAGTACATCACACGAAATGTCAATGGCACTACACTATAGACATATCAATTTATTAATTTTAACTTTTTGTGGATTTTTCCAAATAATTATAAAATATCGATTATGCAAATTTTTAAACTCTCTTGTGCAGGAAAATTTAACGGATATGTGTGCACTTTTTAATTATTTACATTTGCAAATATTTTTCTTAGATGAACCTATAGAAGAGAAAATATGTTCAATTCTGTTTATTTACATTTGCAAATATTTTTCTTAGATGAACCTATAGAAGAGAAAATATGTTCAATTCTGTATGAACTTATTAGGGGGTCAGAGGTCATGGCGTGACCGAATCACACAGCGAGACGATATCTTGTCTACATATTTCTGTCACAGTGACACTGGTTTCGGAACTTCTGAACCGTCAAAGCGATGAAAAAGATAAAATTATTGACACATATATTTTTTTTTTCGTTCAACAATTGATCGTTAGATCTTTCTTCGGTGTGAAGAATGTTTCTAATTAGCCTAAAATCACGCTTACCTTTTTAACCCGAAATTCCTTTGAAGGTATGTAAACTGAAGACGATAGCACCGCTTTTGACTTTATATATAAAGAACTCGTACAATAATAGTAAGATAATTCCCAGTAGCGATCATTGTTTTTTCATTATGAACAGATATTTCCTGAACTGGACTGCTAAACATCAATGTAAGTATTCAAATGTTGGAGCGAGGCGAACTCTCAAGACCAAACAACTTCTAGGTCATTGCGCGTCACAACATAGCAATACGGCGGGCCGTTCGTGTAATAAATGCAGTCCTATTCCGAATATTCGTCTCAAATGTAAATAAAAGTAATAAACAACAATGTTAAAAAGTTCACTGGGAAATGAACTTGGTTGGTACGTGATCAAATCTTCTAAGAAGCCCTTCGGGCTTCACAGGATTTGATCACGTGACCAACCAAGTTCATTTCCCAGAGAACTTTTTAACATTGTTGTTTATTTCTTAAATGAACTTATTAGGGGGTCAGAGGTCATGGCGTGACCGAATCACACAGCGAGATGATATCTTGTCTACATATTTCTGTCACAGTGACACTGGTTTCGGAACTTCTGAACCGTCAAAGCGATGAAAAAGATAAAATTATTGAAACATATAAATTATTTTTTTTTCGTTCAACAAATGATCGTTAGATCTTTCTTCGGTGTGAAGAATGTTTCTAATTAGCCTAAAATCACGCTTACCTTTTTAACCCGAAATTCCTTTGAAGGTATGTAAACTGAAGACGATAGCACCGCTTTTGACTTTATATATAAAGAACTCGTACAATAATAGTAAGATAATTCCCAGTAGCGATCATTGTTTTTGCATTATGAACAGATATTTCCTGAACTGGACTGCTAAACATCAATGTAAGTATTCAAATGTTGGAGCGAGGCGAACTCTCAAGACCAAACAACTTCTAGGTCATTGCGCGTCACAACATAGCAATACGGCGGGCCGTTCGTGTAATAAATGCAGTTCTATTCCGAATATTCGTCTCAAATGTAAATAAAAGTAATAAACAACAATGTTAAAAAGTTAACTGGGAAATGAACTTGGTTGGTACGTGATCAAATCTTCTGAGAAGCCCTTCGGGCTTCACAGGATTTGATCACGTGACCAACCAAGTTCATTTCCCAGAGAACTTTTTAACATTGTTGTTTATTTCTTAAATAAGCATGACTTCCATGTATATTTTCCAGAAAATTCACTTGATTTTACAATTATGTTTTGTAAAATTCAGCAGACGTAATTGAGTATTTGGAGTCCGGCCGTTTTGTGGTAAAATACCCTTCTATTTGAACCCAGATTTTTATGCCCCCGTATCGAAGATTCGGGGGTATATAGTTTTGCCCTGTCCGTCCGTCTGTCTGTCTGTTTGTCCACAAAAACTTAAACCTTGCCCATAACTTTTGATTGGTTGGAGCTATGGCTTTCATATTTTATGTGTGTATTCCTTGAGACAAGACCTTTCTTTGGGTACCATCATATTTGACCTTTTGACCTTGGAGTTTGACCCAGTTTTGCAAAATTTTACCAAACTTTGACCTTGGCCTTAACTTTTGAACGGTTAGTGCTAGAGCTTTCATATTTCACAAGTGTAATTCTTGTGACAAGACTTTCCTTTAGATACCAACAACTTTGACCTTGACCTTGACCTTGGAGTTTGACCTACTTTTGAAAAACTATAACATTGGCCATAACTTTCGAACAGTTGGTGCTAGAGCTTTCATATTTCATATGTTT